GCAATCAAACGAGCCCTTATTCAATTGTTGTTCAATGAACTCCAGTTTATGATAGATATCACGATCAATTATCATCGTTCCTCCAAACTAGCTCCAAGCTCCAAGCACCATGCCACCCACATCGTTCCAACACACAGTCATCTCATCACCCCAGACCCATGGGAAAAACCCAAAATCATAAAGAACTAACAATGACTGACCCATCTATATTCTAGATCCTTTCATCCGCTTACTATATTCTGTGCAGGTATATCACCCGTCACATATATCTCCACATCTGGTATTGTGTGGGAATCCCGCGTGTCGCAAGTGTGAAGCGAGAAAATAGAAGGAGGGGAGGAGTGGAAAGGTAATTTATTGGGTGGGTGACAGTGAGCTCTTCATTTATCCTGATAAGAAGTGAGGACTCATATCCGTTTTAAAGTGCTCGCTCATCATCAATGGGTGTCTATATAAATGTTATCCGTCTCATCTATCTCTTCTCATCACTTACTTTCGTATCATATCGTATCATATCGTATGAAAGCATCATAGGCGATTGAAGTTGAAATCATTGATTATCAATATGTAAGTACAAATATCATGCATGCCAGCAATGTAGGTAAAGCGAGACCCTAATTCATAGAATGCCTCCAATCCGATGCAATGTCCCTGTAAACCCGCCGAGTTCCCTAATCCTATCCCCGTGTAGCATCATCGACACGCCATCTCTGAACAATATGAGTAATGGAATTCATCCAGATACCTAAACCCATTGCATAATTACCATTCGATCTTCTTTCTAACCCAATACCAGTACCAAAGTCACCGAAAACCCAACCCCGAACCCATGCATCCCCCAAAATCAAACTACTGTTCCATCCTCCCCGCCAACCCCCTCCAAAAATTACACCTCTCCACCAACCCCCCCTCAATCTCCTCCATCACAGTCCCATTCGTCTCGATCTTCAACCTCCGCAGCCTACCCCCCGCCGCACTCACTTCTCCCAAATTTTCCCAATGCGGCGCCTCCGCATCCTTTCCCCGGTTCGGATCCAGCTCCCTCACAAACGCAATCCAATACTTCATCGTGACCCCCACAATCTGTCGATTGTAGCTCAGATAGCTACCTCCATCTCCGGTCTGCGTATTTCCGGGTCCGAAAATGGCAGGGAGTTCGAAGACGTGCGGGACGCCGAGGCCGGCAGAGATGTTATCCGTGTCTTGGACGTTGAAGCGGTAGAACCAGACTTGCTTTGCGGTGTTGAAGGTGGCGAGGTGGGTGGAGATGAAGAGTGCGGGACAGACAAAGGTCGTTTCGCCGTAGGCGGCGGAGGCGGAGGGAAAATATGCGTTGTGTTTTGGGAGGGGGGTGGTGAGGGGGTACTGTGTGTTGATGGAGTTGAGATCTGTGGAGGTGAGACCGGGGTAGTTGTTTTTCAAAAAGGTAGATATGTCGTTTGCAGAGGCGGCGTTGGGGGCAAAGACTGAACCTTCATTTGTTACGTCTATATATTAAAATTGGTCAGTAACATCTCAGTGAAGATTAGAGAAGATATAACAACAAACCTCCAAACACAATCGGCAAGTTGACAAACAATCCCGTCTCAAAAAGAACATAAGGATAGTCCCTTATAAAATCCCCATCGATAGTTGGCGTCCAATAAAAAAGCGGACTTCCACTCTGCCCGGGATACGGAGATGCAACATTAGCAGCTTGAAGAACCGCTGTACTTTGAGTTCTTAAGCATGCGAGTACATCGTCTGCTGACCCACAACCAGCCGAATTCGCATAACGATCGAATTGCCATTCTAATTCAGGTACGAGGGGTTGTGTTGGGAAGAAAGGAGATTCGCCAATTGCACCGATGAAGAGATCATCATTTCTTCCTCCGCTTTTATAGAGTTAGTAAAGGAGCATCTCTGTAGATGTGTAGACTCACTATGCAGTAAGATGAAGCGCGACAGAACCACCGCCAGCAGAATCTCCATGAATTACCACATGATCCGGGTTACCACCAAACTATACTTTCATTAATATTTACAAGTAAACAAGAAATCTATACACACCTGAGCAATATGATCCCGAACCCAATGTAACAAAAAACGTTGATCAAGAAGTCCAGCATTCAAATCACCATTTCCTCTCACTTTCTCGCTTGTCAAAAATCCAAATGGTCCAACCCTATAGTTAAAATTGACAAAGACAATTTCGTTATTCGATGTATTGACTACTGTCGAGCCATTAAAGTTGGCATTGGAATTGGAGATATATCCACCTCCTTGTATAAAGACCCATACTGGAAATTTAGAGGCCGGTGTAGCAGTACTCGGTGCCCACACATTAACGAAGAGACAATCCTCCGATTGTGAAGAGGTGGGACCATTGTTCGTAGCGAGACAAATTGGTCCAAACTATCAGAGAACGTTAGTATTAGTGAATATCGGATCTGGCATGTGATCAATTACATACCGTTTGGGCGTTTTGGATAGTATTCGAGCTTTGAGGTGGTTGAGGGGCGCGGAATCTTAAATCACCAAGAGGAGAAGATGCATATCGCATTCCTAGGTATTGAGTGATTCCTGAACTTAACAAAGTACCTTGATATTGAGCATATCCTAAATCTACAAGAGAAGTTTGATTTTTTTCTCTAATTTGAATTGGTGACGAGATAGCGGTTGTGATAAGGTAGCAGGCTGTGATTGCCGATCTCAGTAACATTTTGAATAATCCGGAGGCGATGAATGCTCAGTATATTTGTCTAAGGGGAACCCAACCAGAGCGAGATGAAAGGTTGTGGAACTGCGCCAATGTGCGGAGATTGGAGGAGGATAGAGAAGATAATTTAAGACGAGCGTAATACTGTGTATTTAGGGAATCCTCCAAATAGAAAGACTTGAAGCTCGAGAAGGAGAAGATTGGTTTGAGGGAAGATCACCTGCTAGGTGACTCTGAACACATGGACATGTATGTATGGGTGATATACAATATGTGAATAGCGACAATATGAGACTTGTATCGACAATCCGATGACAACAAGTCCTTGAATGCTCAATATCTTCACACCGCCACACTTATACAACCGATGAGACTTGCTCAAAAATGGCGACTTGGAAAGTATACACCAGAAAGTATTTCAAGCGCTATCCCATCAAATATATAAGCCACTAGCTATACCAGAATTTCTACACATGCACAACACACTTCTCATCATACTGAACATCCAAAGTAGCACTTGCTATAATCCTTGCACTATATATGTAACTATACTCATACATCTACACAATCCATTCGATTTACGCAATCCACGTAAGAAAAGAAGAAACACCAACAAATCTAAGTCACCCCATTCCCATGCACATCATTTTAGACACATGGAACTAAAATTACCGGCAATATTGAATCATGCCGCACGAACGATTTATGCTTGCGGGAGCTCATGCGAAGAACCTCGCAATCCAATCCAGCCACACAAATCCCAGCCAGTCGAAATAAAGTTTAGAAAATTCGAATGGAGGAATGACCACTCAATTGCCATGTGTGCATAAGCTTTTCCTCTGCAGTAGGTACTCATCGGAATTACAACCTTGTTGCACGAGTAGTGTGGGGTGGTCCAGGTGGGTTTGATATCGCGGGGTACCCAGTCTCTCATTCTGAACAAAATAAAACGGCACACCAAAAAAATAGTATTATTTCCACAATTATTTATTTTAATTAAAAATCGATTTTTTGATTTTAAATTGAAAGATATTATAATAAAGTTTATAAGTTATAAGGTATTTTTAGATTATTTATTTTATTTTTAGATTTCAAATTATTATTAAATTTTGAATTAACAATATTTTTAAAAAAAATCTCGATTTCAACAAGCTTGGTGTTGTGAGCGGAACCTTGTGCTGGTCACGTGGTCTATTCCTGTAGCTAGTATTTATAGTCCTTCTTCCTGTAGTTTACAAACAGCAGTCAGTCAGTTCCCACCCAACTTCTAGTACGTCTTGTGAAGCGCTATGTAGAGCCTCCCCCTCCTCTCCTCCATCTGAGGTGCTATGTTATAGTGACTTTTCTGTGGTATATGCGAAGGACTACTCTACGACCCTACCACCTTCTACTCTTTTACAGTGTGTTCGTTTTTTTATCCAGAATGAGCCAGTCCAGTATTTGAATGAATGTGAATGAATCGTATTTTAGCCGTAAAAGACTCGAGCACGCGAATTGAGGGGATGCGGTGCCTCGGGTGGATGTACTCTGTAAGGATGAGCATTATATATAAAAGAGAATGGATATGAAAATAAACGGAAAAGAGAAAGATGAGATGTTTTGGTATGGTATGGGATAAATAACCACAAGGATCCATGGTTATTATAACATAACTACGATCCTACTTCTCAACTCAAAAAGCTTTATATCTCGTAGGTAGCTAGTAGTATAATAATCAATCCCCCTCATAAAGATCCGACAAACACCAAAGCATTTCCCATAAATTTATCAAAATGGTTTAAACACAGCAAGCATATATACCGATACCCCCAAACCAACCCTCATCCACAAAGAACAACTTCTCTGCCCATCAACCCTCCATATCTATGGGGGCAAGCCCCCAAACCCCCATTTGCTCGCTGGGCTTGAGAGTTGGGTTTGTGTACTGGTAAGGTAGGTGTATGGTGTAGTATAGTGTAGATTCACATAACAAATTTAGTGAAAATAGGAAGACTGAAAATATAAAATAAGACTAGATATTAAGGCTGAAATTGTATACAGAAGTAACCTCTACATACGGGCATTTAGGCTTTGAAAATTTTAGGCCCATATAGCCAGGTTTGACTATATGAGGGATAATCGAGCGCAGCGAGCAAATGGGGGTTTGGGGGCTTGCCCCCATTAGTCGAGGTGATTGTAACAATGATGATGACTATGATTGCGTTTTTCAATCAGAAAGTTAAAGGTCGGTTAGATGGGTCTGATCTTGATTATCACGTTTGTTTACTGCTTGATTTTCCGCGATGGATGTTCAGGAGTCAGATCAAATCAAATCTATGTTAAATTTTATTATTATAATAGACCTTTTATTCTCTTTCTCCCTCTCGAAATATCACATTCCATGCATCCATGCATCCACGCATCCAAATAACCTATTCACCCCCAGCCAAGACAAAATCAAGGCGAAGCATACTTATACCCATACTTCTCCTTGGCCTCCTCCCCCAATTTCTTCAACTTCTCTTCTCCCTCTCTAAACTCTGCATCCTCCTCCAGCCTCTTCTTAAAGGCCTCATTAACCAATCGACTCTCACTCGGCACACGAATCCCCTTCTTCACCGCCTCCCTCTCACTAATCCTCTTCCACCAGCTCTCCAGATTCACAAATTTCGCCAAATCCACCCCCGCGAAATAAGCCACGTTGACCCAGCTGAAATTCGCAATATCGGCAATACTATACTTTCCCTTCCCGGGACCGACGATGTACTCGCGGTCGGCGAGGTGGGCGTCCAGGACGCCGTAGAGACGCTCGCTTTCGCCAATGTATCGTTGGGTTGGGTAGGGGATGCGTTCTTTGGCGAGACGGTAGAAGTGGTTTGCTTGGCCTTGCATGGGGCCGAGACCGCCATGTCTGAATTTTGTTAGCTGGATGTACTCTCTTTATCTGATTTTTCTAGTGTTCCCTGCTCCTTCTCAGGAAAGAAGACAAATCAAAAGAAGGAAGATGAACAGAGAAATGAAGAGATAAAATAACTATAAAAAAAACTCACTGCCAAGCAACCCACTGCTCAACTCTACTCCTATCCTCCTCCTCCTCAAAACTAAACTTCCTCTCAACATCATAATTCCTCGTCAAATAGGCCAGAATGGCCGCTCCCTCAAACACCGCAAAGCCGTTACGATCATGATCCACAATCGCCGGAATCCTGCCATTCGGACAGATCTTCGTGAACCATTCTTCCTTTTGGATATTCTCCATGATGTTAATCGCTTGATACGTGTATTCCTTTCCATAGGCGGCTTTGAGCTCTTCAAGCAAGATGCTGATTTTATGTCCATTGGGGGTTCCCCACGTGAGCAGCTCAATGCCGGATGTGGCGATGAGACCGCTTGGTCTGTTGGGGGAGTCGGAGGATGACATGGCTCGTGTGGTGGCGTGGAATGTAGGTGTCAAACGAGACGGAGAAGCGATGTATTTTTTACTAGAAGATTGGAAGAGTCGATTGAGGGATGTTTTGAACATGAGGAAAGGAAGGAAGGAGGGAAGAAGGAGGGAGGTGAAATGAAACAAAGAATTGAACACTTTTAGAGGGGTCGATTTATATACCTAGGCACTAGTTGAGTATTCGTACAATGGGATTATTCCGTTCGATGTCTACGTCTATGTCATCCAAACAAGTGCGTAGCTACGTGTAATGATGACGATGATGATAAAGCGAAGAGGGTCTCACATCGTATATTTTGCTTATAAATAAACCCCGAGACCGAATAACCTCCCACGGTCTTAGTCTCGGGGTTTGGAGGAGGGCGACAAATTTCAATGGAGCAAAAGTATCACATTTTTAATTGACAAGGGATTAATTGAGGATACTCGTAGATAGATATCGTATATGTTGAAGACGTCGGGAAATAAAGATTGGGTTAATTCATAACAAGATAGTAATACACAGATAAATCCAATGAATAAATCATATTTGTAGTCCATACGAACCTTGGAAGTATATAATATAATATAATATAATATAATATGCCTATCACCGTTGAAGACTCAAGAATGATGGATGTCAAGCTTTTAGAGGAAATTCCATGGATCGGGAGATCATCGAACATGCGGGGTAGCTTTCCAACCGTTGGATGTAGGTACGGTACCTAGGTAGGTGCCGTTGTAATTATCATGTAGATACGATAATTACCTAATGATTGTTCCATGATATATAATACTCTTATAATTAAGTTTTAAAATAAGGATAACAATTGAATCCTACTGCTATTCAGAATACTAGACAATTGAATTTTTTATATTCAAATGTATTTATTAAATCGCGTATCAAATGACCGTACCGCGTACTGGTACAACCAATTCAAACAATCACAAATGACATCATCATCTACCTTCTAACTCCAATCTACCCTAAAATTCTCTACTCTCCCCAATATCACAAACATCAAAGACTCCCGTCTCAGGTATATTCTTCCAAGTCAAGGCTTTCTTCAATAATTGAGGTGGTTCCATAACTGCTTCAGGTGTCAAAACCCATGTTCCCCAATGAATCCCCATAGCACGTTTACATTTGGTATCGAGGAATATGTTTACCGAATCAAAGGGGTTAGCATGCATGGGAGAGAAAATGTGACGGGGTTCTAGAGGAAGATGTTAGTTTAGAGGTGTGAAGGAAAGGAGATAGGGAGCCGTGAAAAGTGTGTAAAGCATGACGAGAAAGAGAATGGAGCTTGTCATTCTTCCCACACGAGGAGGGAAGTAGAGGAGTTGAACTGAAAGAAAATCAAAAACATACCATAAGCACCGATAGGAATAAGTCCCAAATCAAAAGGACCTCTTAATTCTCCAATCTCTTTAAACGCGGGACAAATAGGTAAATGTTGATATTCAGGTCCATAATCATCAGTTCCTTTAGGAACTTGTGGAACAGCTCGGTAGCCAGTATCTCCACCAAACCAAACAGATTTCGAGTTGGAAGTAACAGCAAATGAACACCACAGTGTATGTCCTTTATCAAAGGCCGTACGTGCGGATGTATGTTGTGAGGGAAGACAACTTATGCGGGCTGTGATGGGAGATATGGATGTGGGAGATAAAGAAGGGGGTGACGGTGGTGGAGAATTCTTGGAAGATGTTTGGGAGGAAGTGGAAATACGTTTCTCTCCTGTCACAGGAGATAGAGTAACATCGATATCTTCCCACCAATCCATCTCCACGCAATTCTCAATTCCACATTCCTTGAACCACTTCTTCAATCCCAATCCTACAATGAATTGTGCGTTTGGATGACTTTTATGTATTTCCATAACTGTAGGGTGACTTAAATGATCATAATGACTGTGACTTATAACCACAAAATCAACAATTGGAATTTCAGATAACTTGCAAGGGATAGGTGTATAGCGTTTGGGGCCCATAAATGAAAATGGTGAACAACGTTCTTCAAAGACAGGATCGAAAAGTACACGTAGACCGGAGGGATATTCGACATAGTAACAGGCATGTCCGAGCCAAGTTGCACGGAGGGAAGATGTAGCACGAGTAGGTAGGAAGGTAGGTTTTATGACGGGAACCGTTGGAGGAGTTGTATCTGGTGTGCCGAATTCTCCGGATAGCTTGGCTCTGCAAGATAGAACAATGTGATTAGCAAGAGTTTGCTAATGTATTCGAGTAAATAAATAATTCTTCGATAGTCCCATTAGATCCATACACTCTCCTTGTGCTCGAAATGACGCTCCGCTGGCCCTCCGGGGGCCACTGCCGTGGAGGCAGAATATTTTAGAAAGAGCCACCAAAAGTAATGGAGACGTTGACAAGGAAACTTCCCTCAACATCTTCTGTCCGTCCACGGAGACCACTGTGATGGAAGTAGGATATATGGATACAATACACCAAAATCAACAAAACCATCAACACAAAAGCCCTCCCACTTCAATTGGTCTCCTATAGATCCAATTGAACCATCACTTATTCATTCATCCATTTCCCACTCCCTCCTCTCGAAACAAATAGAAAAAAAACCTACTTAGCCATAGCCATCCCAATCCCTAAGAACCCCATCTCCTTCCACGAATCCCATGGATTCGTAAACCCTTTCCCCTCTCCCTCCTTCAAATGATGTCTCTTCTCCTTCGCATGTTCCGGGATCTTGTCTAGCGCTGCCGGACTACTCATACTGGCCGCAAAGAGCGTTGCGCCTATGACAGAGCCTGACATGGCTTTAAGAGTGTATTTGGGGTTGGGCGTGGATGGATTGGAATTGGTCGAGGAAGAAGAGGATGATGATGTTGATGATATTTTGCGCAGTCGTGTTAGTTGTCGTGGACGATGCCGAAGCTTGAGGAGGGAATTGAGGGGAGAGATGCGCATTTGTATGTATAGAAAAAAGAGAGAGGGAAGAAATGAACAAAGGGAAGAAGTAGATGAGTTTTATACGAAATATATGGAAAATAATACTTCCCAATCTGAATCAATCTTACTCTCAATACCCAGGTATCTAGATGAATAGGCTGACGAGAATTGCGTTGCCAGCTACTGGGTATGTATCATCTCATATGGTATAGTATTTAATTGTATGTATATTCTTTACCTACACTTTACTCTACTATACTTTACAATTATTTACGTACATACATGATACATCACTTCAAGACACAAGCAAGGACCACCAAAAAAAGCGAATGCGAACGGTGGAATAGTCTTATCGTCTTATCTCCGTCTCGTCCAAACTTTAAAATGGAGTTCGGTACGGTACTTTGGCACATCATGGACATCATAGACATGGACATGGAGATTGCCATCACCCGAGGGCCGAAGTCGAGAAAAGGAACGACCTCTGAATACCTACCTAGTATTTTCAGAAATTCAATCATTTTCTTCAACTTTCATCCAACCTACTCACCCAGCTCATTCAGCTCATCTCATTCCATTTGTCTAACTTATTAATACTCAAATCTTTGCAAAGACTATCTGCTAAGATACCTAAGCAATCTTCAGAGTATACATACTCATCCACCTACTTACCTTCCTACCTACTTACACGTCCTCTTACTCACCTACCTATCTGCTTGCTGGATACCGAGTGAATATATACAATAAATACATCTTGGTTAGCTGATCGTTCCTCCCATACCCCCCTGCTCTACCTATTCGATCAATCGTCTTCCTGACTTCTCTGTACTCGCAAGTGTCCATTATAGTTTGGGTGCAATATATTTTCCCCTACACGTTATATATATATATATATATCTCTTTCCAAGTACATACCGGTAATAGGCAGGCCCTTTGAATATATATCTTACTTGTATCGAGCATGACCATCACAGAAATCTCACAAAGCACGGATCACATCAAATTCGCAAATAAAATAGCCATTGATTTCTAAAATACATGTCATAAGGGTGAGAATCACAATTCAAAGTCGTGTTCACCCCTTGAAAGAAAAAGCATGTCCTCATGTTACAAGTGATAAAAGAACGATCCCCGGGTATGCTTTTAAATGAGCAAATGAAAAATAACAAGATTGAATAGAGCCAACTAGCGAAATCCGTGTATTCACATCATAACCTTACGTGAGAAGACCTAAAGACGTTACCTCAAAACGCCCCTTGGCCTGTTCACTGTGAATCATCAATAGAAGAACATTTCATATCCCACCCGGTTGTCATTAAAAATCTATGTTATGTGAGCAGAATCCAAATGGTTGCTTTTGCAACCGATTTGGAAAGGATGATTTACCAGTAGCGGCCACGACGGTATCCGTCGTCAGCATATCCGGCATCTCTTGGTGGGTAATCTCTTGGAGGAGGACGATCATAAGGTGGTCTACCATGTCCATTGACGTATGGGTCAGCTGGAGGGTAATCGCGACGATAAGGATCATCAAACCCTCCACGACGTGGTGGTAGGTAATCATCGATTGGACCACGAGGTCTAGGTGGTGGAGAACGACCATAACGACCACGATCATCGTCATAATAAGCACGACGAGGTGGGCTTCGATCGCGATAGGCATCACGTCGAGGACTGTAACCTCGGGGTGGACCACGTCGATCATAATCATCAATGGGGTAAGGTCGTCCTCGAGGCATTGGGGATCGAGATCTAGCACGATCACGTGGGATATCAGGTTGGGTCTATTTAATCTCGTTAGTATCATCGGGAAAAGGTATTCGATGGCGAATGCTAGGTTGAGATGTGTGAATTAGGAAATGGAATAGATCTCACATCAGCAGTGCAAGTGACTCGAGCACCTTTAAATTCACGGCCGTCGAGCTTTTCGACGGCAGTCTTTAAATCTGCAGCGGTTTCGAATTCGACAAAGCTTCTGTTTAGTCAAAAGTTAATAGTTATCCAATCTAAATTATCCAAAAGTCACTTACCCTTTACCATCACGGTCGCGACCAGTTTCCGAATAAACGACGTCGAGGCTAGATTGACGAGCGAAGTCTTTAAGATCCTATATCCAGAAATCCACGTAAGTTGTTGTCCTGGACTGTTGAGCTTTATGAATGCCAAAGGATGGATGTTGCCCTCGAATTAGTAGCCAGGAATCTCTCTTTAATAAAGATAGCGCAGATTCATCTTCCAGAGGTAGACCATCTTTCCAGCGCCACAATGACCACGATCCGGTTATGCAAGGGCAATAGCAAGCAATGATAGCAAAAAGGAAGTCGTGACATGATAAAAAGGGCGAATAGCGATTAACGTTTGTATATGTCCATGAAATCCTAGTCGCCCGCGCAAATGCACTTGCATATTGTTATGGTGTGAAAGACACAAATTCCATGACAAGCGCGTCGCTGACCAGGATTACAATGGTAACTTGGCCAGTGACGGTATATTTAGAGGGAAGGCGTCCAAAACGATTATGATGTGGTATATAGTCCAAATAGCAATGATTGGGATCCATGAGTCCGGATGAAGGAACGGGGTAAACAGACCTGCCAGCTGGTCTCACCTGGAAGTCCAGAGATTTGCATTCGATGAGGGGTACGTCTGGGACGAGGAGCAGTTCGCTCAGGATTATTGGCAAAGGTATCTCTATTACGAGTACCGCGAGCAAATTGTACAGTCAAGCGTTCGCCCATAAAGTCGGAACCGTGGAAGGCTGTGAAGAAGAAGAAGTTATTAATTATGTTCGGGATCGAGATGATTTGGTGTAATTGTTGATTTCCTTACCAGGAACGACATCGCGCGCATCCATTGCATCTTTGTATTCGATGAATCCGAAACCATTCATAAGTTTAATCTCGGTGATTTCGCCAGTGCCATGAGTGTTGAAATGAGCTTCAACATCAGCTTTGGTGGCTATTGAGAAGTAGAAATGGTTAGTAAATGGATCGTATGGGTGTCGCATGTCAATTAAAGATGTTGGATCAGCTTACCACTGCGAGGGAGATTCCCCAAGTAAAGTCTGGTAGAGGAAACCTCTGTCATTTTGATGTAATTGATGTTGTTGAAAGTTGAGAGGTTGATTGTCGATGGAAGGGATAGTTGGGTAGTGTGCGTGTGTTGATCGTTGAAAACTTTCGGCTTCAACTTTTTTTTTAACTTCGGGAAAGCGGGAGCTTAATAAGATTGAGAGCCACGCCGTCGTCGCGATCGCAAAACGAGAAGAATATCTCGTTTTTTAACTCCTGGAGAATAAGTTTAAATGCAGTTGATCAAACGCGAAGTGTAATTAAATGTCAATGTAATGTAAATTGATCAATGCTTGCTGCAGCTACCTTAACCATCAGGTACTGGGTATGATATGCGCAAGAAAGTGGGGATTTTGGGAAAAAGGTGGATGGACGGATGATGAATGAGAATGCAAAGATTTGAATGAATTGGCTAATTTGGCTTTAAGGAAAAATGAGTTTAGATTCAGATTGGAGAGAAGGCTTGGGAGGAAGGACTAGCGCACTATGTAATTACCCAGTAGGTGTACAGGAGTGCGGTGAGTAATAATAGAATGTTTCCAGGGGTGAAGCTAACAATGCGGGCGAATGATTGTATGAAAAGCGGGATCGAAGGGGGAGGAGCACTGGTGGAGGGAACTGATAAGAAATCCCAAGAAACCGGGCCGGTTATTCAATTACCAATTTTCACATGAAACAAGTGAGCGATATTGTTACATCCACACCTGACTCTTACTAATCCATACCCGATTACCCCAGTGCATTCAAGGGAAAGAGATTGCCTAGGTAACCAAAAGATTCTCAACGCTTCGACCATTTCCTGACCTAAGGTTCACTACCTGGCTGAGCCTGGTATGTATGTACCTGTCACGTGTCTGACTCAGCCTGTTATATTTACCTGTCTTCCTGTCGAGCCTGTGTACCTGGTCATTGCTAGTAATACCTAGCTATAGGCGATCTTCAAGTATGGGGGGATTGCAGGAATCTAGTCCATCATTCAAAAGAAGTCCATGGTTGCGATAGGTCAACTCTTTGTCAACTACCGACCGGTATGATCAACATGTCAAACCTTAACAAAACATAATGTATTTCTTCCACTATTTTTCATTCTCGTCTCAAGTACGTACTTTACTCAAAGAAAATAGGAAGAGTAAAAGTCACATGAACAGCAGACAGTCCCTAAGTATACCTTTCACCACATTGCATCCCTCCCTTGATTCTCTCATTAGGTACTGGTTCTTACCTCAAATCCATCCAATCACATTCAACAGATTCCCCTCACTATTTCCCTTGCTCCTTGTTGCTGCATGCAAAGATTACATTCAACCAATTCATAGATTTCTTTCCATCCCCCAGCCCGTCCCAGCCCCTGTCCCCAATTGTTTCTCTGACCATAATATCAACTGCTATCAATACCATAACACTATCAACACCATCAACGCCACAGACAAAACTCCTCAGGCAGTGTAATCCTTTGAATTCAAAACATTTCTCATAATAGTACCAATGTACCCTCTGCCAGCAAGAACTCCAAAGAAACAGAGCCGAGTGAACCAATGACACCATACTCTCTCATCCAAAACATAATTGACTCCTTGCTCATCAACTCCCGTTCCTTATTCACTAGAGTAGGCTCCATTTGAAATACAAAAGACCCCGTTGACGTAAGACTCCAACAAAATCATCAAAGAATAGAGATACAATAAACACGTTCATCCACTCATATCAACATCTTGGGTATCATCTCGGATTTCATCATCACCTCCTAGCTCATGCTCAACCTCATCCCCAACAAATCCTTCATAATCTTCAAGATTCTTTTGAATGTGAACCTTGAACTTGATGATGTCGTTCAACATCTTCTCAATCTCTGTGTGCAATTCCTCACGAAGAGTATTGGCTCGGAGAGTCAATTGTTCATACCTACATCATGTTAGTGGGAGAAGGTATCGGAGTGTCTTAGCTTTACTTACTCAATGTTCGTATTCATCTCTCGTTGCTCCATTAATTGCACAGATTCCGTGAGACCAGCTCGCATCTTAGCTAACTCTTTCTCCATCTTCTCGATTTGTGCATCGGAAGCCAGCTTCTGAGTTGTTGTAACCTAATCGTATATTAATTACTGTTGAATACTCGGTGGTTTTGTAATTCTTACCTCTTTTGTCTTTTCATATTCATCCTCCGCAGCTCTGACACGGTGCGATAAAGCCTCTACCTCACTCCTCTTGTCGTCAATGGCTTCTTTAATGTTGTCGAGTAAGTCATTGTGTTTTTCCATTTCTTCAACGGCTTGAGTCCTCCGTTCGGAAATCTCTTTTCGAAGGCTGATGAAGCTGTTCTTCACATGACCTCGAAGATCCAGGTTCAAAATATGAGCTGGTTGATAACCGGTCGTAGGATCGGCAAGAAGTCTATCACCGTCTCTCGCTCCAGCATGAGAGCTTGCCATTTGTGATGCTGAGAAATTGGGTCCTTCATTAACAACAACCTGAAGTTCGTAATTCTTTCCTTTGGCGTTGATTGCAGTGGATGGGATAAGTCCTATTTGGTATCCTAGACTGTTGTACTTTTCAACTGTTCTCTCCAGATCTTCCAATTTGCGACTCGCTTCCAGCTCCTTTTCGGCAACCTTTCTTCTCGCTTCCTCCAATCTCTGTTGCGTAGCTTCATGTCCCTTCTGAAGTCGTTCCATTTCAGAGTTCAAGCGATCAATGTCTTGCATACTCATTCCTCGACTGTCTATCTCCTCTTGTAGTCTTGATCGCTCATCAGATGCTTCTTGTAGTTCTTGTAAGACTTTGTCGAGCTCCTCCTGTAAAAATTGTATGCGAGATTCATATTTCTCGGACTTTTGATTCATCCGATTGTCGAACTCTTCAAATTTTACTTTATCATCTTCCATGATCTTAAAGTTTCGATCTAAAGTTGCAATGTCCGAGCCTGTTTTCTCAAGGGTCTCTATTTCCTTTTGTAATCTTTCGTGCTCCCCTTCAAGAACACGCATTTCATCGAGGTATTTAGAATTCCCTCTGTTGAATTCCTGCGCCATAGCTTGGATATGAGGAGCAAGAACTTGGTCCTGATCATCATCTCCGGCATCTTCGTCCATGGAAAGCCAATCACGGTATGCACTACTGAGAAAGTTGAAAATGATGCGATCTCCACTAACATCGACACCAGCTTCTGCGCATGCCTCGTCATATCGATCGGTGCCGTACCCATCCAGCATCTGAGCAAGCTGCATCATCCAATGTAACAATCCAAGGAAGAGTGGCCAGGAATTTGCGCCTCCAACCGCGGATAATGCAGATTTAGTTATGCTTTTCTGGTATGGATAACGTAGCTGAGCCATAATTGGAGGTACTTCTTGATCGATAGCCTTTTGGAATCGATAACTTGGATCAATCCTGTGGTAAAGCCACTGGAACATGAAAACAAAATCCTTCTGAGTTGGCGATTTTAAAGTATTGGCCGATACGTTATGGTTCATTTCAATATCGTAATTATTGTTTGCCATATACTCTAGCAACTCTTGACCAATCTTTCCCTGATAAGCCCGGTCTCTTAACGGACGTGGATCTTTTGGTACTCCAGCTGGTTGTGGTCCAGTTTGAAAGAAACTCTGATGTCCCATCGGTCCACTTGTCGAAGTTCGGGCTCGATAAACACTGCTTCGACGTTCTGCTCCTTCACCAGATGCGCGACCCATTTGAGGAGGTGCATAACTTTTTCGGCCACCGCTTTGTTGAAATGAAGTCCTTTTTACAGATGAAGTTCCTATATCCGCTAGATTTGTGCCCGATGATGATCGTGAGAATAAAGGTTGATTTGGTCGCGAAGGTGCAAGAGATTGTCTGGCTCCAGCACTACGAACATGACTGGCGGTAAAAGGTGCATTATTGTAACCACCGATTGAATTCGATCGTTTCATGGCAGATGCTGGTTGTGGTAAACTCGAATTGTAGTTGATGCTTCCTAATGTCTACACGGAATGAGCAATGGAACAATCTAAATTAAACATTTGAAGGGGGGGTATAAGGATCCTTACCTCTCTGGGTCGGCGCACGGAGAAAGGACCAGTGTCTTGCGACATTTTCAGTAATTATCCTCCAGAATGAAGCTTCCCTTTGTGGAGAATAAGTGATGAGTCCTTTCTCTATGAAAGATAATATTGAATATCGTAAAAGGTTGTTATGTGAAGTATTTTTATTTACATAAACATGCAGATTTGCGACAACAAAACTTCTGAGTTTGGTGTATCGAAGGGCCAACGCTTGGGGAAAGTAAACAATTCAATTTGGTTTAGCTTCAAAATTAGATAAGACGATCACGTGCTATCAAGGGAATCTGAACAAAGATGAAAGGGAGCAAAGGTCGCGGTACCTCGGTTCCGGCCATTCATATTTTAGTGTTCAGTTCCCCAGATTTCCCAGCTTGGTATTTGTTTGACGGTGAGAAGAAGTTTGGTTTTCATTTTCTCCTTTTCATCTATACTCAACATGGCGATTCGTGAGGAACTTGTGGTATCTGCTGTAAGTTATTCCAACTCCTGTCTAAAACCTAATACTCATGCTTCACTAGGTTGCATGTGAGAATATTCCAGCTGAGATGGCTTCAGCATTTTTAACATTTCAATAGTTCTTCAAGACCCAAGTGTCTCTGCATCACCCTTAGAGAATCGAATCGCGTTTTTACAATCAAAAAATCTTACACAGGAGGAAGTCGATGCGGCATTAGGAAGAGCCAGCGGCGAACAATCGCCAGCACCACCAAACTATCCGAATTATGCACCACAACAACAACTCGTGAGACAACCTCAACCTGGGTATGGGGGCTACCAACAATATCCCTGGCAACAGCCTCCTCCGCCCGAAGTGCCAAAGCGAGACTGGAGAGATTGGTTTATCATGGCCACGGTAACAGGTGGCATAGGATACGGGGCATATTTTCTGGCTAAAGTAAGGGTCTAGCTTATTCGGAGGCATCGAGTCTGCTAACACAATCAGCGTTATATCTATCCAATAATTGCTCCTCCCACCCCTCCTCAACTGGAACAAGATAAGAAGGACATTGACGATTCTTTTGAAAAGGCATTCTCTCTTCTTGACCAGTTAGCTAAAGATACCGAAACTCTCAAGACAACCGAGCAAGAACGAACAGAACGATTAGACATAGCCTTGACCGAAGTAGAGACTGTGATCAACGAACTGAAATCTGCGAGCCGAAGAAGGGATGAAGAATCTCGACGCATGGGCGATGAGGTCAGGGGGCTCAAGGATTTAATACCCAGAGCCATGGAAGGACAGAAGGAAGTGACAGACAACAGATTGAAAGAGTTGGCTGTGGAAATGAAGAGTCTGAAGACATTGATGGGCCAAAGAATGAATCCAACCTCGGCAATTAACCCAACCTCGAATGCAACTCCATACAACAGAGTTCAAAGTTCAGCTTTACCATCGACTCCTTCTCCAATCACTTCGATTACCACTCCTAGCAACTCGACCCCTGCCGCGGATTCACCGACTGAAACTAACACTCCTAGACCAGCATCAGTCGGTACTAGCTCAGGTACTGAAGCTGTAGCATCTGTTCAAGGTCGAAATGTCACTCCATTCAATTTCAGTACTGGTGCGCCAGCAGGAGGAGCGAAGATTCCAGCTTGGCAAATGGCAGCTGCCACCAAGAGCACTAGCTCTATCCCAACCACTACCACCACAAATGGAACACCAGAAGCAAGCGGGTCAGCGCAGGCATAAATGCAACATCAGCATATCTGGAGTCAATGAAATTGTATGGAACGGCGCGTTAGGGTGTTAATGATTGGAGACGGAGATCTTGGAATATATCGCGTAGGATGTTAACAATATAATATAATGAAACACAACTATCTGTATTGATTCTGTTATTCAAACGGATAGCCCATATTTTTGTCAATGGCAAGGAAGTTTATTTGTTTGGCGCTAGGTTTATCAGTCGTCTGGGGACTCATTTAACTGTACACTGAAAAGCTTGAGACCAGGAGGGACAATAGTCATTCCCATATAGTCATATGCATTTAGCGTTAATTTATGTATGATGTCAAGTACTTTAGTTCAGAATATCATCTAGTTTCTATTCTATTCTAAATTCTTATCGGCATAAACTCAGAGTCGTGCCTTTTTAGTTCCACCACCATTTACGGTCCCATTTTCCTCTTTCACCTTCCCCTCCTCTTCCAAGATCCTCGCCTGTTCCTTCATCCTCTCAGTCACGACTTCATCACTCTCTTCCCACAACCCTTCCACATCAATCTTCGTCTCCTTAATCCCCTTAGCATTATCACTAATCATCACCCCCCTCGTCTCTACCCCTCCATTCTCCCTCTCCTCTCCCCCCTCATCATCTACCCTCCTCCCCCCAACCTCTTTACAAAACCCCGCCCACCCCTCAAAACACCTCCTCGTCCCCTTTAAATGCGGCAGCGCCAACGCAAAGCAATGCGGCATCCATTCATACTCCTCCCATCTCACTTTGACCCCCCTCCGCGCCAATCTCCGCGCTAGTATCTTATTCTCATCGGTCAACAACTCCGTCCCCACCATGAACAAAATCGGCGGACTCCCCTCCCATGCACTTGCCGGCGCCGCCAGCGGCGAAACAAGTGGATGGATGAGCATCGCGTCCTCGCAGTAAATATTCGATCGCGGAGACGGAGTGGGCCAGAGTTTACACCGCGGATAGGGAATGGAATGGGAGGGGGAGAAGAGAGATGGAGGGGGTATGTAGTCGTATTTACTGTTTGTTTCCATAGAAGGTGAGGAGCGTAGGAGATCCGTCCAGAGAGAATTAAGCGCTAGACCTGCTGGTAATGGAAGGAGCCGTGATACACCGTTCCAAACTATGGGGGTAGATGTTTTGTGTAGATGGAGAAGCAAGAGGAGAAGCGATAATGAGAGGTTTCCGCCTGCGCTGTCGCCGGAGAGAATGATATTTTCGGTGGGGACAGCGGTGTGGAATGAGTTTTCAGGTGGATAGAGGAGGTGCAGATATGCGACGAGACAGTCCAGCAGAGCAGCCGGAAAAGGGTTCTGAGGCGCAAGTCTATATCGGAGAGAGAGGACTCGGCCGCCTGTTAGTTTGGCGAGTTTCTTGCATGGACCGCGATAGCTGGCGGGATCAAGAAGCCAGTGTGCTCCCCCGTGTATATAAAGAATTGTCACGGGAGAAGTAATTTCTTTCATCATCTCCACATATTGTTCAGCTTCGGAGATTCGAAGTCTCGGGGCATTTTTAGGGGCATAGCCGCGATGACCGGTCCATTCGCCCTCTACAGGGAGTAAATCTGGTTTTTGGAATCCTCCTTCTTGTGGTGATTGTCCGGAATTCAATGGGTCTTTCATATCCTCTATGACTTTGAATAGTTTCTGACGAACATCATCTTCAGAGGGGATCGCCAGCGTGACTTTAGAGATCCAGATCCGGCCTTTGATGCCAGAATCCTGTAGTGTCACAGCTTGAATTTTGGAAATGGGGGATGGGGTGGCGTACAGGAAGGAGCGTAGAATTTTGACTGTGAGTTCGGTTTTGAGATCCCAGTGGGTAGCATGGGGCGATATGCCTAGAGTGTGGGAAACAAGGGTTTTTCCTATCATGGGCATCTTTGGGAGCATAATTTTTGCTATGGAGAGGGGTGAATTCGTCTCCATGATTGATGCTGATCTGGGTGGCAAATGCGAGGAGGTGTTCGAGAATGTATGGCCTAAGGAGGGACCACGGATGTGAAGAAGATGGGCAATGTACAGATGGACCAACTGTTGGGTTGGACTTATTTTTTTTGTCTCCAGAATGATATATTTTGTGAAAGAAATTACTATGAATCCACTTGCATTCAGCTCAAATCTTTATATCAAATGTCCAAGCCATCTCAAACACGGAAATCCAGTTCAAATTAGGGTAAATACATGATATTGCGGGACGCCACTCGATTCACCTTCCTCATGCGACACTAACACGCCTCTAATGAACCTCGGCTGTTTGATGCATCATTGTTCAGAACGTGTACATTAATGCTAGTTGTATGGTTCAAACAATGCATTGAAACTGGTCAATGAAAACTCCCGTCTCGCAAGCCTGCGCGTTTGCGTCCAATGTTCGGGATAGATCTAAGGTTAAGAGGCTGAAAGAAGAGAGGGGTAAGAATTTTGTTGAAGCGAAATGCCCGTTCAGCAGTTGGTGATAAATTGTCACAAATCGGTACGTGATGAAAATCCTTGAATCACGATCCAAAATTATCATTCTCATATCTATCATTGTTTGTCTACATCCATGTTTAGGTCAAGACCTAGAAGATTCAACCAGCATTCATACGATGCTTTAATCTTGCTTTTGTTCTCCCCAATCTTTCCGTCATCTGTATCAAAAATATTAAAATTCCTATTTCATTGAAATCATCCCAGGCACTGAAATTTCAAACCCGTCCCTCCCCTTCATCTCCCAGAAGCTGTATCTACAACACTCTTAGTCTGCCTAGACGCTAAGAGTATGTGCAAGCGAATATCGAGCTTTATGTAGAGGATATAATTGTGAACATGCAATTCGAAGAAAGAAAGTAGCCGTCCCATCTAATCTATGCAAGTCGCAAGCAGAAAGAATCGCTGCAAAATTAAAATTGATTTTGAGAATTTATGCCTTGATTTCATACTCTCTGCGGAACATGTCGTCAACGCTCTTGAGGTAGTAGGTACCCTCGGCAATGGTATCAGGGCTACCCTTGGGTGTGTATGACTTTTGGAGATGGGCTTCCTTGCGGAGAGCGCAAAACTATTTTGTATTAGTATTGGAATCAGAGGAGTAAATTTCAGAAAACATTCTTACCTCTTCGTAAACTTCTGGGGCGACGGTTCTGCGAGCGTCGAGTCTTTCTTGCAAGTTCAAGGCCTTTGCCATGGTCTCAATGGAGCCGTTGATCTTCAAGGAGAACAAACTTGCAGCCAAACCACTTCCGTAACTGAAAACACCAATTCTCTTTCCTTGGAGGGTGGCGCTATCAACGTTGCTCAACAAACCAACCAATCCACCATAAACACTGGCAGTGTACATATTTCCACAGAATGTTGGGACTTGAATACTGGGTTGAACACGCTCATTGAAACGCTTCTTGGTCAATCCCATGAATGTCTTCTCGACGACCTTGTCGGTCAAAGACTTTGCGTAATCCATATCCCTTAACTCAGCTGGTACATCAGCAAAGGCTGATGCGGTTGGGTTGGCAAGGTAGTCGTTGTAGAGCATACGGGCGTATGATTTGGAAACGAGCTTGCAGGTTGGGGCGTGGAAAGACATGTAGTCGAAACGATCAATAGGAGTCTTTGTTGATTCCTCAGCGACGGCACCATTGGTATGTCCGTTAGCCAGGGGCTTGAGAGTTTGTTCCCTCTTGTTATATGCCTTGTAGCAAGCATCAACTGCTTCGGTATAGCATCTCAAAGAGAAGTGACCGTCAACGATTGGGTATTCGCTTGTAAGATCTGGCTTGTAGAAATCGTAGGCATGTTGCATATAGGTTCCACGAAGACCTGGCTCGACAACAACTGGAGCATTTGGTCCAATCAACATGGCAACAGCTCCAGCACCCCCGGTTGGACGCGCAGCACCCTTGGCATATAAAGCAATATCTCCAGCAACCACAATTGCATCTCTGCCATCCCATGCAGACGACTCTACCCAGTTGACAGCGTTGAAAACCGCGTTGGTACCACCGTAGCATGCATTAACAGTGTCAATTCCCTCAATATTCGAGTTATCTCCAAATAATTGCATAAGAACTGATTTTACAGATTTCGATTTATCGAGAAGAGTCTCTGTACCGACCTCAAGACGTCCAATGGTTTTGGTGTCAATGTTGTACTTGCTGAGGAGGCGAGAGGTAACGGTCAAGGCAAAAGAGTAAATATCTGCGAGATGCCACGCATAAGTAAAAAAACAGACACCTTCTGCGGACACATGAATTCTTACCTTCTCTATCGTCGCAGAAGCTCATCTTGGTTTGACCAAGACCAATTGTGTATTTTCCTGCACTAACGCCATCGAATTTCTCGAGTTCTTCTTGAGCAACACACTGGTGGGGGAAAGGCACACGAGTTAGTTTTCCGAATTAACAAACGGGATTTTGCAGCAGAGCAGAAAAAGGAGATCTGGTGAATTACCTGGCTTGGGAAGTAAATTTCAATGGCCTTGATGCCGATGTTTTGAGGACGAGTAGACATGATTGCGAGGGGCGGTGTGTGTGTGTGTGTTTCCAAAGATTGAATTGAAGATATAAGATAAAAAGGGATGTAGAGAGCAAGCTCTTAAATATCGTTTGTATGTACAGTCAAGAAAAATTGACGAGACTGAAGACAAAGATTGATGTTAGTATTGTTCGAAATTACTAGTAACACAAGTGAATTAGAAAGAAGAGATTGTTCCCTTCCAAATAGAAATAGAAACAGAAATAGGGGGAAAATCTGATAAAGAATTATTATCTTTATAACTATCGAATCTGAATTTTTTGATTATCTGTATCAACAAAATAATTCCAATTTCCCACTAGATCACCGCCAACACAGCCCGATAATCGGTAGACGGCCGAGAGAGGAAACAATCCCATGTCCACTCACCACCCTTCACGCCATTCGTGGTAAGGTTTCCCCTCAACAGTTTCTAACTAACGAAATTAAGAAAGACAACAGTGGAGATTTTGGCTGACCGATATATGAGATGCGTAGACGAGTACTGGCAACTGGTGGTATGATATGTATAGGATGATATATAGAGAAGCGAGTTGGACTAGATGAAAGTTTGACGATTCAAAGATTCGATCTTAACACTCAAGCGATATATACAATAGACGGATGTATATACCCAGGATTTCAACAACTCTTTCAATGATTGATCATCCCAATTCTTTTCACCGTTGAGGGAGGATGTCGGTACGATTTATACTTCCTCTATCTCTCTCACCTTCTGAAAAAAGGATGGCTACAATATATACTTTTACGTGCATACATCTGACAACGGATCTGCTAAAGACAATTGAACCCTTCCAACTAATGCAGACCCCTGAATTTCCATGACAGGATTCTTCACCTCTACTCCATCAGAGTCCATCTTCACATTCTGAGATCCTTGAAAATCATATAACGACATCGGCCTCAAGAAGAGAAAACTTGATATCATCAACTGCATTACCCGACGAGGTGGGATAAATGAGCGAACGTGGCGTTTGAGTCCAAAAGTTTCACGTACGGGTGCAGCTCTTGTGTGGTAACTTGTGCGAGTACTGGCGAGTAGGGGTCAAATGAGGTTGTGATATTGGTTAGCTCATGCAGGAACGAACATCAAGTCAAGCCAAACTCGTAAAAGCTTACTATTCGAGAAGTGGCTGGCAGATTAGCGACTTTATTCACACCTTACTTAGCTCTGGTCTATTTGTCGAATACTACATGCAGTATCTACAGTCTTCAATAAACTTCTTTCGCCCTCCATGGTTACGCTCGCATAAGATCAGAAAGGGACCAAAATCATAAAACCTCTTTGATATGAGACTGTGGCACAATGCTGGAAATGACATTATCCTCACGAGTATGGTCAAAAAGCTACAGAGAATATTCAAATATCGATGAAGTAAAATGTTTCCTTGGCTAGGTGGATAGTTTCCATGGATTTCTTCATAGTAGCTCGCCTCGGACCCGGAGATCTTATTTATCTTGATTATCTTTTTGATCAGATAAGATTAAAAATTTGATCTTGGATATTCTCCATCGAGAGTGTCCACAACCTCTCCACATCAGACAGGATCTTTATATGTTATGTGTCATGATATCGGAATCTTGGAAGAAATTCTTCAAAATGGTGTCAAAAATAATCTGAGAACCTTGAGGACGAGCTCAAGATTCATATAAATTACCTCACGGTGCGGGATATACTCCGATATACAGCATTATCACTATCTCCACATGATCTACTAATCATTCAAGGCAAGTCGAGACTCGGGAATACACATCTGTTTTCGTTCAAGGCAAGTCGACACTTGGAGACTACAGACCGCTGAAACCGGATCTCGTCTATATATATATCTCACGCCACACTCACTTTCTCGGACAGATCTGCTTCGTTTAAGATTTCTACGATGTAGGATATGACCGGAGGATGATGTTGGCCTTCAAGGAGCCTAAGCGCCGAGTTTCCTTTCTTTTATACTAATAAAGCTCAATGATCTTCAAATGTTCCGGAAGAAGCTACTACGTGAGAATCACGGTATCGAGCGCTCAGAAACCAGGCACAAAAACCCTACCGGAATTCACGAGGTCCGATCCGACGCGGGAACGTTGGAGTGCGTCTTCCCTTGTGTAAGTGAGTTTAGTGTCGGATTCGTATCGGTGGTGGGAAATAAATGGCGAGTTGCGGATTCACCCAGAGATATAATTGCCAAGAGTAGCTCGAGTAGGTAAGATAAAATTTTGCAATAGCAATCTTTTATTGACACGAAATTTCTGTGCGAATTACCATCAATCATATCAAGAAGTTGTATCCTCAGATTTCGAGGAAATGTTCATCTCTCAGAGAGCCGGCTGGAAGAGGAAAGGAATGCGAGAGGAGGGTTAAGGGAAAACTTTGATCTTTTCCTGTACTCTTATGAAGCATTGCTTCTCTCAAATCAAGGAGATCATTTCCATAATAGGCATTTGAGGGTAATATTCCCATCGGCAAGAGGAATCTTTGCCGGAAAAAGACATCAGTTGGTGAGTCAAGGAGAAATATATGAGTCCTTGTGACATGATTCAGTATCGCCTATTGGTTTCCTCAATCACAGAGCTTTACCTACCTATTTGACGGAGAGCTTTTAGAGCTTTCATCACCATCAAAATTGAGCATGAAATTATAGATTTCAGATTGTTTTTGGTCTATTTACAAGTACAGACAGTAACAGTATCAAGCTTTCTCGCAAGACTGGGGCTTTAGAAATATTTGAATTGAAGGAAGACCAGACGAGTGCCAAGAGCCAAGTCATTACTTTTGAAATTTGACAACCATTAGTTGAACGAGACAAAACGGCGAGAGATAGTTTGGCTACTGAGCCACTCGTTCTCATTATTCCTCGTAAATACGCAATTTAGAGGGGAGCCATAATGTTTTCTGGAATGTCGAGATTCCTTCTTTCTACCATAGTAGTTTCTCCGTAACGAAGATCACTAAACAGATGATGCAAGTGCACTGTAGCGAAAATGTATCGTGTGCTTCGACGTGTGTCGGTGATATCCAAGTCGAGTAACTTACAGCAGTTGGTTCGCACGGTTCGACGCGAAGGGGTGTGAAAAAGATTTATCCCAAGTGTATCCCATGTTCAATGTGCGGGGCTTTGGTGTGCTTGGTGTAGTATCAGACACAGGGAATTGATACCGACGAGGCAGCAGCTTAATAGATAATGAAATGAATGATTGAATGAGATGCATGAACTGATAATACTTTAGACTTTGAGAGTTTTGACTGGTTTATCATTTGGGCATCAATGGATGAGAAATGAGAGAATGGAGGGTGAAAATACATGAATGTCCTCTGGTCGTTTTGATACAATAAAACACTTGAGAGGAAATACCCCACGAGCCCACCACCTCAGCCCCTTCATCGCCTCGCTACGAGAGAACTTGTCCAATTCAATAAACTGTTACTTGCCATTCCTACCAAGATACAGGTGCAAATACAAAACTGTATGTAACATTCTGCTTTTTGAAGTCAGCAAATGTATATTAATGAATTTCAGAAACACCATCTATGGATTCTATACCCGCAACACCATCTTTGCTATTCCTTGTAAGTTGTAAAGCTCTGTTGGTCTCACAATTTGAAAAATTGTTCAAATTCTGTTTTCATCTCCACAGATTTCCCGGCATTTAACGATGATATTCCGAAGCAAGACTTTCATCAAAAAAACATCAAAGAACAATTACAAGTGAGCTTTGAATTGATTCGAATTTCCAGTACCCTCAAGTGGTCTCTCGATTTTCGTAAATATCATCGGCTGATAGACGAGACGGATTAACTTCGAATCAATCTAATCTGTCTACTAGACTAATATGAACCTCGTGCATACAATATATTGGTATGCTGACGGCGGACTTATCTCCCAAGTCAGCCAACTTCAGCAACAATTCTTATAACATCGTCATCGGACATTTTTGAATTTAAGGTTATTAACTCTTCAAATTTAACTCGAAGCCCTGAAAATATTTCAAGGGCCCAGTTTCTATCCACACCTTTAATACCTTCTTCGACGATATGCTGGCTGGCAATAGGATTATGGGGGTTCTTTGAGCTGGGGTAGGGAAGTGAATAATTGGTAAAGTGTGTATGTAGTTTTTCCACTTTCTGTACTTGAAAGCACAACGCCTGGTTAAATCCTTCACCTCTAGAAAGGTGATAGATTTCAAGAATAAAGGTTAGATATTTTCTTGTACATCCCAATTAGACAGTATAAATAAGTCCGACCGAATAAAAGGCAGTAACCATATACCGGAATTTTAACGATGTGATCTTCCATGTCTTTTGCTGTACCTGAGTTTCTAGTTAGGATTTTTTTGGGTAAATTGCCACTCATTTTCCTCTTTGGCCCTCGTCTGCATTCCAATCCAATCACGTATTACTCTTGTATTTATATTTTTCCGTATCGGATTTCCTTATTGGTCTTCATAAAATGTGCTAACTAGGCAGGTTAATTCCGAGCAGCACCAGAGGCACACCACAACAGGCACAATACGTAGTCTAGATTTTGATACAAACAAGCACTTGGGGTTTTCAAGCACATCCTTCTAGTTTCCTACAACCTTATCTTATTTTGGAAAAGGACTCCATAAATAAAGTGGCTACTTGTTGAATAAAAACCAATAATAATCAATACGAAAACCAGGAACCATTCTAAGCCATACAGAACAAGGAACACTAAGCCCGTAGACGATTAGTGTTATATTTTCAAGACTCATTACCCTCATTACCAGCATTTTTCATTCTTGAACCATTGTCGACTGACCATTTGATTGGATATCGATCCTCATTAAGCGAGTAAGTTCAATCCACTATATCGTCTCGGATTTGGAACTTGGCGTACTTGGCGATCTTCTTCTCACTGGTCTAAGCAGCTTCCCTCAAACAAGTCTCTCCTGGAAAATACCCCCAAACCTCAATTTTTACTCACTGTACACCCAAAATACCAAGGAAAATCATTTCTTTACGACCCATTCACTCATTTTATACTTCACACTTCACATTTCACACCTCACACCTCATACCTCATACCTATCAACTTCAATCAATAATAACACATCATATCATTTCGATCATCATTGGATGTCAACGCGAAGAACGACTACGACTATTGATATTTATACCCTTTCGATCCTCTTCTGGAACCCTTTTGATGAATAAACGACCGATTATATATAACTTCACTTGCTGCGAGAGGGAGAACACCATTTAGAGTTGTACTTGCGGACTTTTAATTGAGGCGTGTTGTGTGTGTGTGTGTGTGTGTGTGCGTGTGTGCGTGTGTGTGTGTCGAGAGTGTTGAACACTCGGGAGTGCGGACATCCGTGGTCATATAGGCGCTCACTCAATCGTAAAAAATGGGCGAATCTAATCATTCTTCACACATTGAACATAATAGAAGGGAGTCTCAAAGGTCGACGCGATTATCGATGCAAATGCAGGACGAAGATGAAGAAGATTATGCTTTGGCGGCTATGGGAATATCGAATGGTGGTGGTTACAGACCCTCGGACTCACATCAACATACTTACACTCCACCACCACCACAACAAGAGCCAATACAGGAACAACAACCTCAGTCCCCATTATCACCTATAGAAAGACGAAGAGTATCAACACCACCGCCACGACCTTCGAGTACAACGAAACCAAGAGGAATCGATTCGTTCGCATTACGAAATGATGGTGGGAATGGTCAAATGTCAAGGGGTCCAACGTTCGCGTACTCGGGGGAGAATGGAAGTGGAAGTGGTTATGGATTAACAAGGACATCCACTGCAACAAGTATGTCGAGCATATCGAGCGAATCAATTATGATGAGACCGGAAAGCCCGTATAGAGGACCTACAGGACCATCGCACCCATATAATATGTATAATCAAGATTCACGATTAGCGAGAACAGCGAGTATAGCGACGACTTCAACAATGCCGGCACCACCACAGGAGATGTCGTACACGGGACCAAGCGGACCAACACATCCTTACGGCATGTATCCGCAGAGTACAGTTTCGAGTGATTCCGACCAGTTGCCGATTGCACCCATCCCTGTTGGTTTCCCAGGTCTCCATAATGATTATCAACGAAGATTAGGTCCGGAAGGTGAGGAGGCTGCGGATCTTATCGGGCCTGATGGACACACGGAACAACTACCACCTTATACCAAATATCCGGATGAGGCTTTTGCTAGAAAACTACGACCTACATCTGTACCAACACCCGTACCTGTACCTACCATTCAAATGCCAGCTCCTATCGTTCCTATATCTGGTGCTGGTGGCATGGGACTAGCGACTCGAAATCCCGAATTTGCATCTAATGAAGATCTTCGTTCATCTCAATCACGCCAATCATCAAGGAGTATAATGTCAGATCGAAGTTCACATCATAGCAATCACGCCGATATGGAATATTCCGAAAAGCCTCCACTGAAGAAATGGCAAGTTGCTGCCAAACGAAAATTATGCGGTATCGTTCCTGTATGGGTTGTTGTTTTGATAGTCTTGGTCTTCGTTCTCTTTGGAATTGTACTTGGAACCGTTTTTACTATTTTGAGGCCGAAACATGGTGGTGACCCTAATAACGGTAGCAGCAAGCAACATCATGATAACCAGTTAGTTTTCATCATCTAGTACCCAAGCCCAGGATACTAATTTCTATAGATCAAGCCGAACAACGGTGTATGCGACCATGACCACCACATTCGATGCAACACCTCTGTCTACTGTACCTGCTTCGCTTCCATCGCTTCCAACCGGAACGTACAATATGCCCCTCACCGTTCCTTCAACTGCTCAGAGTAGCTGCATCATGAACACCGCCGAAAACTCAGCTTGGAGTTGCTCCATAGCCATGACACCACTTGAAATGTCTATTATAGACATTCCGGGTGGTGACGAAGTCGCCAATAAGGAAATATCTATGAATTATGGCAACGCTTCCTTGAATTTCTATCCATACGGCGCCCAACCACCGATTTTATCGTCTGCTCAGGTGCTATCTCTAGTCAACGATTCGGAATACCCTAGTCGAGGTCCAGCCTGGTTTTTCCAAGTGCCATACAATAAGGTGGTTATATTGCCGCAGAAGGCTCTCTCAACAAACATGAAGCGTCAACAACCTGCCTCGGGTTTCATGAATCGTAAAGGAGTAGCTCAAGCTGGAGATCAACCTTGGTTTTGTTACTGGAATGGAACCTTATTAGAGGCATTCATTTACGCCAATGAAACTAGTAGCGCAGGTTCTTCCTCTACGGTCACTTCTGGTGGTTCGTATCCAACTAGGACTGGTAATGCATATGGTACGAGCACTTACTCATCAGATGTACCTTCTTCTACAGCTGGAGTTCAATCACAACAGTCTTCGTCATCTGGGTCTTCTCAAAATGGCCCTCAATTTTTACCTCAATATCCTAAAGTTTACAAAATCGCCGAACGCCGTATCCCTCGAGGCGGACAAACTGTTCCGGCTTACTGTGTAGCTCATCAAATCTTATCAAATGGCAACGCTGAACCATTAATGAATTCAACTGGTCAGCCTATTACCATCTATTTAAATGAGACCGAACCCACAAGTGTCTCGCCACTGTCGTCTCGAAGTCTTGTCTCAGACTTCTTCAAACGGGATTTGGTGGAACGAGACGGCGATGAGAGTTGCGGTTGTGTGTGGCTGGAATCTTAAACTTTGATTTCACTTGGATCCGAGACGAGACTGGATTTACAATAATTTATGGGCGTACTTTATGAGGATTGGCGAGATTTTGGGGGTTTTCAAATGGAAAGGATATCTATTGTATATTGAACTCGGTTGGGAACATGGTGTTTGGAACATGGGATGGATATGCATAGCAAGAGCAAGCCTACTTGATCTTTTGCAATATTGTTATTCGGAGCAATGGAATTTTGGGTATGTAGGATTCGGGTTTGGGTTTTTAGGTTATATTATATGTTGTGGCTATTTCTTTCTATATCTTTCTGGACATGTCAAAATGGAGAGGATAGGGTATTTTATAAGGAATAGGTTATGAAAGAGGAGGATGTATGGCTAGATGGATGAATATCAAGATTTGAATAAAGATGGGGTTTATGAAGAATGGAATGGAGAAAGAGAGAGTGAATGGTGATGTGGTAGGGAATGTGGATGATACCTTTTTTGATAGCAATTAGCAATGAAAATGGTAATTGATTGACCTAAATGATTGTAATGTGAGGGAGTCATATGAGGGAGCTTCGAGTGTGACGAACGATTTTCGAATCTTATTAAGTTATCCTAGGCTGGTCGGTATCTGGATATCTAAGTATCTCTACATTCTACACGCCATCTTTCTATCTCTCCTTTACCAGTCAACGTCTCTCCCTGGCCCTCAAATCTTAGAACATTACCGTGTTTATATGGAGGTATCTATTTGCAAGTTTTAGGAGAGGGAGCTTAGTATCGTTCGTTTAGTACCCTTCTTATTCATTAATTTATGGATGTTAGCGGGCGGGTCTGTACACTTCTTTCTTCTTTCTTAATCATTGTGCTAGGGAATTCACACTTCTCTGTCAATATTAAATATCAAGAAGCATTCATTGCGAGATAAAGCAGCTTAGTTTCGTATATATATAATATTACAACGAATTCATGAGCGCCTCAATCTATTCCCATGCCAATATCCAACTCCCTCTCACATATCTACATCGCCCACTCAAAAGATGTTGAGAAGCGAAGAGATCTCCCCCACAATTCCCGTGGCAGCAGCTGTCCCCGAAGTGGCCGGTGCACTGGTAATGCTTGAGGCGTCTGTAGCGGCAACACTACTCACACTTTCCTTCGTCGTACCACTTGCGACACTCTGCACGCTCGAGGCACTACTGCCCGTCGTAGAAGCCATCGTAGTCATCCCGCTCGTTCTCGTCGACGCCGCGCTGTATACACTTAACTGGCTTGAGTAACCGGCGGCGCCGGCTTTGTAAAACGCAGCATTTCCAGCTTCGGCGCTCACGACGGGATCTCCGTAGCCGGTTGGAATGACGATTTTACTAATGGATGCGGAGGAGGAGATGGTGGATGTGGCGGTTTTGGCGCTGAGGGAACATCCGATGGTTCGGATGGCGGTGGAGGAGATGGTGGAGAGCTTGGTTACGGATCCGAGGGTGTTGGTGGCGGGGGACACGAAGTAGGTTATGTCGGTTACGGTGTTGGAGACGGAGCAGGAGATGGAGCTGCTGGAGGAGGAGATGAGGGAGGAAGAAGTTATGGTGCCACTTCCTGGGATTGAGCTTGAGCCAGTTCCTGATGATAGTGGTCCCGTGGTGGTGAGAGATCCACTGGTGACGGAACCGGTTCCAGAAGAGATCGATCCACTCGCTGAGGCAGAGCCAGTTCCAGATACCAAAGACCCAGTGCTGGTAATGGAACCAGTTCCTGTCGGTACTGATCCAGTACTGGTGAGAGATCCGATGGTTTTTGAATCAACTCCAGAAGAGATTGATCCACTAGCTGATGAAGAACCAACTAACGTACCAGTGCCGGTAAGAGACCCGATTGTTTTGGAATCTATTCCAGAAGAAACAGATCCACCGGTCAAAGTAGAACCAGTCCCAGATGCCAAGGAGCCGGTGCTGGTAATGGTTCCGGAGACTCCACTAACACTGGCCAACGAACCAGATGCTGAAGACGATAATTGAGCAGACGTGACTACAGAAGTAGAACTTTTACTGGATACCAAAGAGCTAGAGGTCTCTAGGCTGGAGAGCGAAGAAACAGTGGAAGATGAGACTTGAGATGTCTGAATAGAATTCACCGAAGTAGGAATTGAGCTGGTGCTTAAAATTGAGGATTTGGAGACAGTACTCGTACTACTTGGTGCCACAACCGAAGTCGAAGTCGAACTGGTCAAAGTAGAAGTAGGTTTGGTGGATATGGATGACGTAGTTGGAATCGAGGTTGTCTTGATTGAAGCGGTGGTAGGTGCCTCGGTGGTTTTCACCGGGGTAGTCGTAGGTGTAGTTACCACGGCCGTATTTTTTTGCGTTGTTGCTGGAGCCGTGGTTTTCTGTGTTGTTGGTGCAGCCTCTGTCGTTTTAGCTGTAGTTTTGGCAGTTGTTTTCTTCGCGGCTCTTGCGAAGAATTTGAACAACCCTAGATTTTCAAGAATCCCTTCCGAAAGTGGAGGGGTCTCTAAAACAATTGCAGATGTCGTTGTAGCTAGGACATCAGCAACGGGATCTGCTTGGACTCCTGGATATGCTTGAACAGCAGAGATTAAGAGAACGGAAGCAATAAGAGAATGAGAAGAAAAGTACATTTTGAAATGAAAGAATGGAAGAAATGAAAGGTTTGTAAGGACTGTTAATAACAGAAAAGACTGTCTAAAATGTTCAAGCGAAGGTTGAATTGAAGATTCCAAGTTGGAGTACTACATCTTATATGATAGAGGTAACATTCGGGAACACTGATCAACGTCGTGGATAATGGTCACAATCATGGTATCGGTAGTACAAAGGATCAGGATCGTATCTATTATTGTTATCGTTTGGTTTCAATCATGAGATAAATGATTAGGGGTCAGAAACGAAATGAAAACATAAGCAGATTTCCACAAAATAAGCGTAGCTATTGATTATGTCAGGCGAGTCGTAAGTATTGTGGGTGATATGCTGATGAACTGCGCCTCAAGCGATTTAACCTTAAGATCCCACAGTATGACAAACTTAAGGTTCCTCTCGGCATTTTCTCTTGTACTTCTAAAAGAAGGATGAAATAGGATCAAACTGAGGCCATCCGGTAATGCCTTGGCATAGGCTTTTTTTGGGCTGTGGGGAAATTGTACAGTGAGTAAAACGAGCCATGCAGATATAGCATATTGTGATACGACGCCTTTCGCATCGTTGAATACTGTATATATTCTCTTCTCCCAAATAGTTGAAGAAGATTAAATCCATCCAAACACTCATTTTTCTCATTTTTGCTTGCATAGCAATTGTCTGTCTTTACCTTGAAGTATTGAAATCCGTCTAACATTTTCATTTTCCGTTTCTGATTCATATTTTTCCAACTCTCCCAAAGAGCCTTCAAACAACAAAATGCAGCTCCTACCATACCTTTTAACTACCGGCCTAATTGGCCAGGCCATGGCCGTGAGCATGAGCAGTCGTTTCACTGTTTCATCTACTTGCTCAACTTCTAAGGTAGATGACATGTTGACTGAAACGATCGATATGGTAGATACTGCTATTCAAGGGATTGATACACTTCTCAATGCTGGAGTTAAACTCAACCCAAATGTTGCATCCGCTGCCATAAAGTCTCTTACGAAGGCTGCCACCACCGCTTGGGGTGTTACAGAACCTAAATGGTGGTCATATTCATTAAGTGCAGCCGATACAGCTCAACTAAAAGCAGCTCAAGGTATGTACCGAAGCACAGGCTAATAAGCAACTAAAGCACCATATCTAACAAGAATATAGCAAACTATCAAAAGCTTTACTCAGCCTTGAACTCCGGCACTGGAATGACCGCAAGCGAGAATACATTATTCTGTGATGATTCAACATTAAAATGGACTACTGTATGCTTTGATCATCACCTGAAGAGATACTCAATCTAACAACGTCCATAGAAAGCAATCGATATTTTCCCAGACGGAGGTACCATGACCACTGAACAGTACTGTGAGTATTAAATGAACTGTATAGTACAGCACTAGCTAATAAAGCACTCCAGTCAAGGCCCAAGGTTACACCGATACCAGTGTTGTCAAAGGATTATGGAAGGATCCCGACCACAAACGTGGTAAGAACTTCAACTTTATCATTGACGAATATAACGGAGGTCAGATGTGTGGAACAACATCTGCCGAAGCCATCACATACTGGCAAACCGGAAACATGTTCATGTGCCCCAACGCATTCAACAGTGCAAACTACAAAACTAGCTTGAAAAGCATGAGGACTTCGACAGCTCAAGTCGAATGGAAAGATGTTCGATCGCTTCCTGGAACATTCTTGCACGAAATGATGCATTTCCTCGATTTGAAACCACATGGTAAGGCTTTCCTTGTTCTGGGAGTTAGTTAGGACCCTGCTAACAAGAAGAAATAGTTATCGATCAAAAGGTTACTGGTGATACTGGGGGACAAGTCGCAGCTTATGGTCTGATTGCAGTTTGGATGCTGGGTGGTAAAGCCGGAGAAGAAACTGTAGACAGGTCGAAGGCTTTGACAAACGCTGATTCTTACAATGTTTTCGCAACGATGGCATATCTCCAATCGGCAGAATTTATTGGCTAAACAGAAGGATTGAGAAGAAGAACGGAAGAACGTGTAGATAGAAAGAAATCGTTCAATATTGATCAGTTTTTCGGTCTCTTTTTGCTCAGGATGTTCTGCTTGCTGTGCTGTGGAGGCGGTGATACGATCAGACATGTAGGTTAGACGATCCGCGGGTCTTGTTCGAACAGAAACTCGTAGAGCACCAGCGTGCGCACTACCAATGCCTCGAAGTTCTTACATAGAAATTTCCACCAATTCATTACTTCGAATATTGGATAACAATATACCACCGTTCCCAAGAAATTGACACGTAAGACGTGCCAGCATACACTTTGAAAGTCATATTCCGGGCCTACTATCTCAACTCAAAATTATCAAGCAGAGGCAAAGTAATCATGCCTGGCGGTAATAAGAAACGGACTTTTGCTCGGTGGAGAGATCCTGCCACTGGTAGATTTTGTGCCGCGCCCAAACCTCAGCCCCCAGATCCAGCAACGGCCGCCAAATCAGTGTTTGAAGAACAGTACAATGTACTACTTGATCAAACGGTATGTTCAAAGTTCTCCGACTGAATATATGTATTAATATGTCAGATCTCTAACGATGTGTTTCTAGCATAGTGATAAAAAAGGGTACCTGGAGGATTTGAAACGGGAGAAGTCCAAATTTGAGCAGAAGGAAAAGGAGGTCGAAGAACTTAAACGGGAAGTTGCAAGATTGAGTGAAAACAGCAGAGATATTGACAGGCATAGGCAGGAACTTAAAGATAAATATCTCAAAGAGTTCGAGCAGCAAAAGCAAGAAGCCGAAGAGATTAAACAAGAACAAGAGAGGAGAGTAGCACATCTGCAGGAAATGATTCGGGGAAATGGCCTGGAGGAAAACTGCGACATTGCATGGGACGGCGATTTCAAAGAAAAACTGAAGAAGGCGTTTCGGGATCGACGTTCGAATTGTTACACCAGCGTGAAGGTGTTAATAGTTCTTTGGGCTTCGGATGATTTAGGTCTTTCTGAAGAGGTGGATAATTTGGCAATGGTATTCGAAAATTTATACAGCTTCAACGTGGTGAAATTCGCCATACCTGATCTTGATCCTGCAAACGCATTGGCGGAACGGGTTCAAGAGTTTATAGGAGATGATTCTCCGGATACTCTTCTCATCTTTTCGTACAATGGTCACGGCAGCATCGAAAATAGTAGCTATGACGCTATTTGGTCTGGGTAAGTTTACGACGTGCCACCATTGCTCTCTTTAGCTAACAACATCGAAGAGGCGGTAGTTCTCGTATGCATTCTAATGGTATCCAGACCCTCCTTGAGGAGTCTAAATCAGATACCCTTCTGTTGTACGACGCGTGTCATTCTGCAAATACTGCTATATCACTTAACCCTCCAGCAGGAAGTGTGACAGAGTTAGTCGCGGCATGTGGATTTGAAACCACTACCCGAACGGGCAACAACTCTTTCACGTCCGTATTCACACGGGAGTTATCTTCCGCTGCAACAGAAGGAGCTGTGTCGGTTTCTGGACTGTACAATCGAGTACTTGCTCGTCTGAGAAATGATCGGGACCGCAAAACAAATGCGACACCCGTTCGTTGCACGTTGGTATCCGACGACGATCGGACATCCATTATACTCGAACCGTTATTGTCACCCCCAGTTATCGCGTCTCACCAGTCATCAGAATGTTTGGATGGCGGGAATGCAGTGTACAATATTGGAATTGTAAAAAGAGGAATCGAAATGGGTGACACTTCGGCCTTTTTGAGATGGTTGTTGCGAGCCCCATCTGATGTTATCGACGTCCAACTACGCCGCATCAACATTCAGAAGCAAACCTTATTGAATGGTGGTCATGAATCTTAATATAGAGGGTTTCGACTCCAGAACCAACGATATGACACGATGCCATCAAGCTAGAGCGATAGATGGCCATTTAGCTTTAATGCCGATAGTGTCAAGCTTGAGGGCCAATTCGATCGCTACCCTTGGTAGCACGCTGACTATCTAGGTATTGAAAACCTCACAAGTTTTCTCTTATCAACTCCTGGTAGCTGTTTTGGTGATATTCTATAATCGCATGTGGTATGTTCATAGGGGTGTGAACGGTCTTTTTAAAGTAATTACCAATGATACAGTACAGTACTGTTGTCGAGCCTCGGCTATTTTTGTTATGCGCAGTGCAGTATCGAGGATTTTGTAATTCCAAGACCTTCCTGTTGTATCTTTCTTTAGACACAAAAAAGGATGAGAAACTGAATACCATAAATATAACCAAATCATGTACCAATATTTAAAAAGTGCTTGTCAAATATTTCTTGTATTCACGTGATATATATATATATATATTTAGGCTTCTTCTCTGTCGTTACAGCACAACCTAAAACCAGGCTCTCACAACAACAGAAGTCACCAAATCATTAACTATGGCGGATAGCACACGACCAGACCGTGAACACGGTCGGAGAAAAGATTCTCGTTCCAGATCACCTAGGCGACATCACTCACATTCTCATCGGAGACGATCACCGCATAGTGATCATCATCGAAGCAAACGTCCGACCGAAGCAGCACCAGAACTCCCATACAACTGTAGGCCGATCACGAAAAATGATTACGAGACATTCAAACCGATGTTTGCATCGTATTTGGATATCCAGAAAGGCATATTTCTAGACGAGTTAGGGGAAACAGAAGTCAAAGGGAGATGGAAGAGTTTCCTTGGAAAATGGTAATTGCGAATTCTGGCTTCTGCCCACAGAAGTCTTGGAGTACTGGCTAACATATGTGAGGAATCGTGGAGAACTTTCAGAGGGTTGGTATGATCCATCAACATTGCGAAAAGCCCAAGAATCGGCGAGGGAATACGAGGAAGAAATCGCTCGAGAATCAAATCCGGTCCAGTCAAACGAACCTTCGTCGAGTTTAAGTCAGCGCGAACCTGAACAGAAAGACTATGAAGTAGACGGCGATGGAGATGATAGTGATGATTCGATGGGCCCAACATTACCAGGGGAGATTAATAAATCCAGAAGGAATAAGCCTGGGCCCAGTATACCAAATATGGAAGATTTGGAGCTTAGGAGAGGTATTTACACACGCCAGTGATAATTAGAAGTACCGCAAAGTCTAACTGTTTCGCAGAAATGGCTCTTGAAGATGGGTTAGCTCGCCGCGACGACATAAGGTTCGAGCGGAAAATTGATCGCAGACAACAAAAGGAAGCGCTAGATGAACTGGTTCCTCGTGCTGAAGCTGGGACACGAGAACGGCAATTGGAAAAGAAGAAAGAAGTGAACGAAAAGATGAGATCATTCAGAGAAAAATCTCCTGGTGCGGCAGAAGTTCCGGATACTGAGTTGATGGGCGGCGATGAAGGAATTGAAGGATTTAAGAAAAAGAAAGAAGAATTCCAGCGCAAGAAGAATGAGAGAGAATTGAGAAAGGAAGAAATCATGAGAGCTAGACAAGCCGAAAGAGATGAGAGGCTACAGGAGTATAAACAAAAGGAAGATGGGACTATGGCTATGCTCAAGGCTTTGGCTAAGCAGAATTTTGGATGATCGCATTCAATATGGTTAACAGGACAGAAGTAATACATACGACTTTGGCAAATCAAGTCCTTACGATTCCCTTCTACATAAATTGTATTGATATCTGCCATTCCGCAAGAATCCATTGTCAAGTTTAAGAGAAGCACATTCATTCAGCCTTGTGAGACACAGCCTTGTGAATGCCGAGCCGGATAAAATAAATCTATCACTTCACTTCCATCTCAACACAACATAACAAAAACCAATTCAACCTACATCAATGCGACATATCTCCATGTGATCTATATTGGGGAGCTGCAGGATTAATTTACATTACAAGTATATCATAGGAAGTTAACCAATCACCGCAATCTCCCGAAAATAAAGTATTGCCGGGGGCGAGGCTGTCGCGATGGAAATCATCAGGAAGAGGATGATGCACACTGGACTGAGGGTTAATCGTCTGCGTTGTTTGAATGAAGTCAATCGTAGCTCTGATCTATTTCGCCACTCAATAAGCACAACGACAATTCGAACTGCGAAACAAAAACCCCAAATACCTAAAAAGCCCTTGAGATCTCAACAGCAATACAAGTAGAGCTTCCACCTCAACATACATTATGTACCTTGCAAGATTTCATGCTAACCCCCCTGCAGAACTCCAAGTCCAAGACAAGTTTTGGTCCCTACTCCACCCCCTCCTCCCCCTCCACCAGCAGCGAAACAACATCCACTTCGAGGTAGGAAATTCGCTTTACTAGGAAGTAGTATCGCTGCTTTGATATTTGCCGGCTACTCTTCCTATTTATTTGTTCTACTCAATAAAGAGCCTACTGAATCTTCTTCCTCTAAAATTCAAGCTGATGTCTCATCCCGCTATGACACCATTGCGTCTACTTTTGATTCGGAAGTTGACTGGACGGAATGGAGTATGGGAATTACGAAGATGCGCAAAAATTTGACGCAAGAAGCACATGGAGATGTACTCGAAGTATCCATTGGTACAGGCAGGAATTTAGAGTATTATGACTGGGATTTCAAAGGATTCAATGGCGTTGGGAAACTTCAAAAAGTGGGTGGTATTAAGAAGGGGAAAGTCAAGAGTTTTACGGCTGTTGATAAAAGTGGTGAGATGTTGGAGGTTGCCCATGAAAAGTTCTCGACAATGTTTCCAGGAGTTTTGGGTGTGAGATGGATAATTCAAGATGCTTCCGAGAAAATACCAGGCCCCCCTCGAAATGCAAACGAAACAAGCGGGAATAAAGACGCGAAATATGATACAGTAATTCAGACTATGGGATTGTGTTCCGCTGCTGATCCGGTAGGATTGTTGAAGAATCTGGGAGAGTGCGTGAAAGAAGATGAAGGGCGCATATTATTGCTGGAGCACGGAAGAGCAAAATGGGATTGGTTAAACAGAGCGTTGGACAACAGTGCAGAAGGGCATGCAAAGCTTTTCGGATGTTGGTGGAATAGAGATTTGGGGAAAATTGTCGAAGAGAGTGGGCTTGAAGTTGTGAATATTAAAAGACGACATGGTGGAACGACCTGGAGAATTGAGTTAAAAAAGCCCAAAGCCACGCCAAAAGACAGTGGCGTGAAGGTTGCTACAGAAGAAAAGATACAGGATGCAAGCAAAAAGGGATAGTGGTAAATATCAATCGAGCTCGCCTTTCTTTACACTCCTCTTACTGTACCAACATAACAACGAATCACAAATATATGCGCCGGAGTTGTCGTATTACCGCAAGGCGATATCATAGTAATTATCCGATATTCTGCAGGATTTATCCCCATGCTGCCGTAGCTATATCCATGCTCAGTGGCCACCAATCGCTCTTCTCTCAACTGGCCACCCTGACCTGTCCAGTCAACACAACTGAACCAAAATGATAAGCGAAGGGGTCCAGATTTCTAGTCGAGAATGGTGAGTACGAAATTGATTTTAGAAGTCTAGATAATTGGTTCGACCTCTCCATGAATTCCCCTCAGTTCTCGACATCATTCAGGACCTTGGGCTATTCACATAGTTAGCAAGATCAGCAGAATGTCAATTGACGTCCTTGTCCGCACGCCGCAGACGTTATGCGTTATCCCCTGTACGGCGATCCCGCTGATGACGTCCGTGAGTTCTGGAAATTATGATTACAATTACGAAGTACATGAACTCAGAATTTCCTGGATATCTGCCCGGTAAGACGATTATGATTTCAATCGCTAGGTTAGCAAGCTGGGGTGCCATGCAACTTTCAAGTTTCATAAACATCTATTTGTTTTACCCTTTACCCTTATCTTCATTCGCATGATTACAATTTACAAAATGATATATTCTCATATCTAGCCATCACGTGCCAGGGGTCTAGATAGGGCGTTCCCCGGCCGGAGAGTAAGGTTACAGTATAGTGGATCTTTACTAGTCAGTTAACCCTTCACGGTCCCGTGTCAGTGTGTCAATGTGGAAACTAAAATCAGTTTAACAAAATCTTTTTACATAACATCTTCCTTGACTTGTCACAAACTGCATGTTGATCATCCAAGGGCGCTTGACTATTTCCTTCTTGTCATTCTCTTATCATTTTGCGGGGTCGATAACCTTGTACGTACGCGGTGGGTAAGATATTACCTTCTAGGTATTACTCGTATCTCTTCAAAGTTAGATAGTGAGAAATATGTAGATATTTCTGTCGCTTTCCCCGTTTCTTTCTTCCTGCATATCTTCATCTTTTCTCTTAACTTTCTCCTTCATATTCGGTAGTCATGCCTCGAAATCATGATGCCGATGCTGATGCGGCTCAATTGGCTGCTCATGGTCACAAACAAGAATTGGAACGCAATTTCTCTTTGCTTTCTATGTTGGGTCTAGCATTTGCAATTCTTAATTCTTGGACTGCTCTAGCTGCGAGTTTAAGTGTCGCATTACCAAGTGGTGGACCAACTTCAGTACTCTGGGGATTGATTAGTAAGTTTATTCTCAATTTTGCACTCAATCTATGAATTTGATGCTGACTATGGTTTCAACAGCCGCCGGAGTATGTAATTTATGCCTTGCCGTCTCTCTTTCCGAATTCCTATCCGCCTACCCAACCGCAGGTGGTCAATATCATTGGGTTGCAGTCATAAGTTGGAAGAAATATGTTCCTATTCTCAGTTGGATCACTGGATGGATCAATGTTTCCGGCTGGATTGCACTCGTTGCTTCGGGTGGTCTTTTGGGCTCTCAGTTAATAGGAGGAGTTATCTCACTCATGCACCCAAATTATGAACCACAGCGTTGGCATCAGTTCCTCCTCTACGTCGCATACAATATCATTGCCTTTATCGTCAATGCATTCATGACATCGCTATTACCTCTCATTACGAAATCGGCATTCATCTGGTCGATTGTCGGATTCGTCGTGATTTGTATTACCGTTTTGGCGACAGCCTCTCCAGATTACAACGACGCATCTTTCGTCTTCACCGACTTTATCAATAGTACAGGATGGCCTGACGGAGTTGCGTGGCTTCTTGGTTTGCTCCAAGCTGGTCTTGGATTGACTGGCTTCGATGCTGTCGCTCACATGATTGAAGAGATTCCAAACCCAGGAGTTCAGGGTCCTAAAATTATGATTGGATGTGTTTTGATTGGTGTCTTTACAGGATTCATATTCCTTATGGTCCTGCTATTTGTAGGAGGTGATGTTAACGATGTTATTGAAAGTGCTGCGGGTCCATTACTTCAAACTTTTTACCATGCAACTGGTAGCAAGGCCGGAGCTATCTGTCTTCTTATCTTCCCACTCGTCTGCCTTCTATTCGCGACCATCTCCATCACTACAACCTCCACGCGTATGACATATGCGTTTGCTCGCGATAACGGTCTTCCTTTCTCAAGAGTTTTTTCTAGAGTCCATCCAAAGTTGGCTCTTCCACTAAATGCATTGTACCTTACAATGGCATGTGTATTCCTCTTTGGACTCATTTTCTTGGGCAGTTCATCGGCTTTCAATGCAATTGTTAGCGCCAGTGTTGTGGCTTTGGGTGTCAGTTATGCGATTCCTGTCGCAGTCAATTGTTTGAGGGGGAGAAAGTGTTTACCGGAGACAAGAGCATTCAAATTGTCGGAACCAGTGGGTTGGGCTTGCAACCTGGTGAGTTCCCTCTAATATACTGATCATGCTTTTGGGAGAACATATGCTAATGAGACGTATAGGTTGGCATTGCTTATGTGATGGTTACTACAGTTCTGTTCCTCTTTCCACCGGAATTGCCAGTTACAGGAAGTAATATGAGTATGTCCCCCCCCCCTCCCCCTATCTTCAATCTTCATTTCTACAATACTAACACATCACACAGATTACTGCGTAGTAGCTTTCTTCCTTGTCTTCGTCATCGCAGTAGTGCAATGGTACGTCGACGGCAAGCAAAACTTCACAGGTCCAAGGATCGATATGGATGCTATGCAACATGGAGAAGTTGTGGGAATAGTGGTTGGTGATGAAACTAGTGGCACTCCTAGTGCGGATTTTGGCGATGTAAAGGAAGTCAAATAAACTCGACCCTTTACAATAAAATCACTTGTATATGAATTTCAGATACATTAAGTTTTAGATGTAGAACATTTAGATCAAAAAGATATGAAATTATGAACAAAAATTAATTAAATAGACGCGAGCATGAAAGTCGCATATGCTGGCTGATCTTAGATCGTGCCGTCACTCCGGATGATGTGGAATTTTTGATAAATTCATCATTCATGAAAAGTCGAAACTAAAAGCCAAGCCGAGGATAAACGGCAGTGCCCGAGAATGGGGTTTCCAAGCCTGGGAGTTCCAGGGCTTCAGGGCTTGGTAGGCGTAAAGATTGGGTATGTGGAGCCGGATAGATGGAGTTTGTGGGGTAATATTCGGGAAGAGAGAATCTTATGTCTTGGAGGTTTGGGGGCAAGACTACCGAGTCATGAGCCGTGGGAGGCGAGGAGCGGGGGGTGATAGGGGTGCTGGGTGAGTATGAGGGGAGTTTTGCTTTGCTTTGGGTATGTTGTGGAAGTTTTGAGATTTTCTGGGGAGAGTATGGAGGAAGAGTCGATTTCGTACATGGGATGGAGGTTGGGAAGTGGGAAGTGGCACACGATGTCTTAATATAATTAAAGGTCTTAGGGGAATTTTGGATAAGTTGGAGGGATGTGATTGAGGATTGGATGGCGCAGGAGTCGCGAGTGGTTCTCTTTAGAAAGGCAAGTGGACGAAGAATGGTTCCGTTATGTCACTTGCCTGTACGGTCAAAATTAGAAGAAGCTAATGGGTAATGTGATTATCAACCAAGTAGTTGATGCTATTTTGCTCTGGTCCCTGATATAAAATGACAGCCTGTTCTGGGGGTGGTACCTGAGCATCGCCACGTTCTCCTTTATGTCGTTCCGCCGTGTCAATTACGACTAGATTGGTGAGGAATATGTAATCGTACAAATGATTAACAATGTAATCTTACAAAAGATCAACATAAGTTCGATTGCCTGGTCAAAATTCCACCCGGATTCACCAATGAGGAAGAATTGGCAACGTAAATGTATTCATGCAAACCTGGACCGATACTCGGCTCTGGACCCAGAAGTAAAGGATGCTTAGATATGACGAGGATCACGATATCATGATGAACTGATCAGGACCTAAATCAATCTTAATGTTTGTAGAGATGATAGTAACAGTGACATTGAGGAACAGAGAACTATCAATGAATTCTAGGAGACTATTATCTGTGATTGATGCGCCGAAGATCAAGAATGCCTTCCATAACTCTGTGGCTGGGAATTCGCAGCGAGATTTTTTGAGTTAGTTTAGCCTGGGTTCTCACCGTACTTCCTGATCTAACCCATAAGTATAATATTATAATAACAAAACGCTCTTCGACCAGGAGAAGGTGGAGCTCAACACGTGTCAGCGGGGTCGAGCGTATTCGTCCCAATAATAGAGAGCGCTTCCCGCAACGCTAATACTTGGGCCGAGCCGTAGATCGCGTAGCCCTTAATTCTTAGAGATCCTCGCCTAATAAATCAAAATTCAACTTTCTAGGTGCTCATCTACCCTATCCGACGCCAAAGAGTATATGAAACATCTCACCATACCAATATCCACCACCCAGACTCCGTTGACTCCGATGGTTAAGGAAGGCCAACAATCATATTAATATGCTTGCGGTAGCACGAAACGCCTCGCCCTGCTCCTTCGATAACAAGTTCCTCAAAACCTCTATGACATCTTTTGACTTATGCCACATCCACTGACCGAATTGCCAGGTCCATTTGACAGCAGTTCTTCCTGCATAAAACGCACCGAGGATCACAGATGCAAAATAAAGAATCTCAGGATCTTTAAAAAACATCAACATCCACACGAAAGGCTCCCAGCTCGGAGTTGTAGCGTTCCAAAGAGCTGTGAGCCAGCCATTTCGTACCACGTCATGGTAGAACCTCATAGCCTTTATGAGGCCATTGTAAAAACTGCGAGGGATGATATATAATTTACCTCCGGCAATTGCGGCATGAGTCCCAAATTGAAATGTTGTAAGGATAAATTTGGTGAAGCCACTTATGGAGCAGAGGTATGACCAGGTGTCATGAGGCTCGAACGTTTCGAACCCTGCGTTAATTCTGTTGAAGTCGAGGCCCAAATATGCGACTGTGCCTGCGACGGCAGAAGTGAGGGCCGCCGCCTTGTAGATTACATCAAGTGTCCCATTGGGCCATGTGAAGTTCTCGATGGGGTCATCGATAATCTTTTCGGCAAGGCTCTTGATCTCTGTTTGACAGTTTACACACAGAGGGTTATAATGCTCTGATGGCATCATTTGTCTTCCTGTAGATTAATTCAGCATTGGATCATACAGTACTTGTGAAAAATATGTACCAATTTCGTCGATAACATCTACACCGAGAGATGTATATCCAACAAGAAAATTATTGTATATGCGGTCCGCTGCGCTCCATTTCACTGAGTTGACAGGCTTTCCCCCTTCGAACTTTCGTTTTAAAAAGCCACTCTTCGTAACTTCGAAATAGTGTCCCTGACTTTCGAGTATCCAATGCGCTACAACGGAGTAGCCAAGCATGCGATTGATTTCACCAAGGAAGGTCATGAAGTTATTTGGGTCTGAGGGGCATTCATCAAGATCGATGCCGCTGGACTCGCGTTTTAAGGAAGCTTTGAGAAGTGCAATTCGCAACCATACCGCGTGCCGAGCCATGGCGATTCTGATTTCCACGAAAGAGAAAATAAGTGAGTTGAGAAGAAGTGAGGGATAATAGTGAGGAGTGGAATAGAACCTGATTATTATGAAATATCGAAGAACATCATATGATTCACACAACAAAGTGCAACTAGCACTGTAGTCATTATAGCCTGGATCGGCAGTGCTGCATTAAATCTTGAATTGTGCCTGCACTAAAAAAAAAGGGCGTTCATTAGTCTGTCTGCACTAGCTGAGTTCAGAGCTGTCAAGTTAGGTCAATATTCCTTTTGCAAACATATTCTCGTATTCCAAGACAGGCAACTTTGCTAAGCGCCAATCGGAGGGTATTCAATGTACGAGGCTGAGATTTTCGCAGGGAAACTTCTGCAGGTGTCTCCTTCATCCCATCTTATTCTTGCTTATTTTCAGGAGAGGATGTGTTAGTCATGATTGCACTTGGCGCGAAAAGCTCTATTGAAATGCCCTTCGACTCCTGGACACCGAGAAATATTGGAACTATACCAGCCATAGTACGTCATTAAGTACCATCAAGCAATATGTTATGGAAAACCAAGAAATATTGAAACTATATCAGCCACAGTACGTCATCAAGTACCAGATCAAGCAATATGCTGCGGAAAACCATTGCCCGGCTGGGCATCAAGAACTTTACAGACATATCAAGAGATTTTCCATGATGCAGTCGATGATGAGGCCGCCAACGGTCTGGACCTGGTAGCAAATGCCCACCATGAGTTCTCGACAATATAACCTCGCAGCCTAACCAGCATTGATTGGCCATACAACACCATTCCAATTCCTCGTACTCTTCTCAATCCTTGTTCTGCAACCTTCGATCATCTCCTGCTTTCTTGTCATCCTATTGCAGAGTCCAAAATCTTCAAACAATCTCATCGATTCCACAACGAGTTAATCATGCTCGGCGTCCTATATTTTCTCGGACTCAATGCCGAGAATGCTCGGGGCCTTCACCACTTGCCTCGCTTTCTCTTCTTCACCTGGTGCGATCATATGAAGACTCTGGAAGGATTCCAAACGACATACATCCCGGATTCTGCAGCAAGAACGGGTAATGATGCAGTTCATGCCGAAAAGCAGACACCCGAGACAGTATTCGCCCTCAAATGGATACAAATTCGAATCGCGGAATATAATTCTGTGCTGATAACAGTAAGTCTTGATGTAATCTCCTCAATATTCGTCTAGCTAATGACATGTTAGAGCATAGCAATATTTGCCCTCGCAGGAGCAGCAATTTTCTCAGACACTATTGCCTCAGCAGTATGGATGTCAAGATTCGTTTTCTACGTTTCTATGATTTTCTCCTTCACTGCTGTTTGCAAAGCTTATCAGCAAACACGCATGCTACTTCGTATCAGTTGTTGTTCTGATCCAGCACCACGAATGCGATGCCAACTAGGCAATGTGGTAAGGGGCAAATGGATACCTTGCCACAGAAAGATTGCAGCCTGGGAGAGCTCAATCGTTTTGTTGAATGCTAGTGTTATTACACTCATGCTGGGTTTGGGTGCTTTGTTATTTGGTTCTTTACAAATTTGCAATGGGAAGTGGGAGTGTGATGAATCGAAGGCAGGTTATTGGACGGGAATTTTGTTGTTGACTTGTGCTAATTACTTGGCAGATCGCGTATCTCCTCATTCCTGTTGCTTTCTACGCGGCAATGGAGTTTTATTCCTCGAGTGTTCTTATGTATCGAAGTATCGAGTATAATGAGAGGATACAAGCTGCTGTATAGATGCGGATTGAATTGGCGAGAGACCATTATGATTAGCTACTAAGAGGAAGTAGCGTGATATAGGCGGCTCGAAGATTGTGGCACAATGCATATAGACTTTGTCGTTGTTAGCTTCGAAGTTAAAGCGTTCATCATGATCAGAACATCAGATTGCTTCAGAAGGGTATGAGATCAATGTAGTCATAATTGCTTTTGGTTACCTCAGTATCCAACTCTTGCTCGATGTGAGCCGATCAGCAGGAAACATCATGGCTTGGCCGGAGCTATTTCAACAAAGACTGAGAGCAGACTAAGATCGAAATATGTGCAATGCGCGGTTTCTTGCTCGCAAGTGAGTTTGCGCAACTCGATGGTCGAATCGTGGTTTGAAGTGGGTTTCGGCTATGCTTTTGGAGAGTGTTGTAACTTTGCTGGATTCTGCTCAGAATGTTGTTCGGGGTTACGGCATGTTTTATTTCTGTATTCTGGTCATGGTAGTCTTATTATTAAATGTTGTGTTCACATACAATAAGAAGGGGATTAAGGTACAGAATTTGTGGCAAGTTAAATATGAATATTCTTCTTTGCTGCTCTTCCTGTCAGTTGACTTCATTCAGTCCTTCAAGAATTGATTTTCGAGGGACAGGCTGTTCAATTGTTCAATGTTTGCCCATTTATAGGTGCATTGTCATTGTTTAATCAGCTTCCACAATCGTATGGCGCCCGCAAAGCTACTACCGCCCAAGTTCTTGGGCAGCTCAAGCCTCAAATTTGGGGCTCCGCACAGGATTTTCAGCTGGATGGAGGCTTAATCGGCGAAACTTTGGCACCGCAGTCCGGTTTTCGATGGCTTCGTTCGAGCATTGTTACACGTAGCCTCGTCTTCGGCGGACTAAAATCGCCGTTCCGACTGTGTCTGCATTATTCTGGTGTTCATGCTGGCCAAATTTGCCGTTATATCTTGTTTTAATGCACTGTCCTTGCTTTGTAGCCAATTATATGGTAGTGGGAGGTTATTTCGCCCTGGAAACCGGGCGATTCTGCCCAAAAGTCGTATGCTTACATTTGGTTCTTCGCAGTTTGCGTATTCATCGCGTCCGAACATATAGCGAAGTCCTTTTCCCATCACGTCTAAAGTTATTCTGCAACGAATTGCTGCCCAAATTTTCAAACAAGGAAGGGTTGACCCTATCGCTGGCTCTCCTGATTGTACAATTTGCGCGCACACGGAGAACACGGATGACCTGGTTGCAGTGCGCAGATATGAGCGTCATCCTGCTGTCTCAGCTCTGGCTCATATCCCATTCCCTCACACCTGTTTTTCTACTTGTGGGAGTGTCGTTACTCCAACAAGGGCGATGTAGCTCAATCGCCTGCCGAAGAAGCTTGATGAGAAGCTAGAGAAACTATGTCTAGGGACACGATCAGACGGTGAAATCATTCTCAGATGAGACGTCGTGGCTATTGAAGGTATAAATAAGCGGAGGATCTCGCGATTGACTACATGTGTGGCTGCATTTGCTATAGTCATCACTGTGGCCTATTCGACTGGAAAGAAGGATGTGTCGAATACCCACTGCGTTTCGCTCTCCCGGCAGGGAGAGCTCTGCTAGGGTTTTACTGGCACGGTCGCTCATAGGCACATACCTCCGTACCTTACATACGGAGGTATTTTGTCACCAGGGTAATACTGCAGCCAAGACCAGGAAGTATATAAAAATTTGCGACTGATGGCCAGCTGAATACGGTATATAGTAAGGACGATAAATCCTTGCTCGCTTACATAACGCAGTATTTGGTCCATCTCCCACTTTTGTCCGGACAAATCCGGCAGATAGGTTTTCTTAAACTTTGTATCTTTAAACTTTGAGGCTATATTTAACCTTAATAGTAGCTCTATGCCACAGTTCCGAATTCCAAAAATAAGTTAATAGCAAGTTTTGATACTCTTGATAAAATCATCGACAATATGCTCAAAACATAATGTTTTTCTGATTGCAAATTAAGCCTTATAGATAAATAGCCAAAGAATAATATCGAATAAGCTAGATCTTTATGAATCAATAGGATGAAGATTTAAGGTCTTCGAACTTAAAAAATTTCGGCACACAGGGATGGACGCTATATCTTTTACTAATTTAAACCAGTATGCGATCTTTTTATAGATATTCTTCTCGTAATGGTTTTAGTCTAACGCCTTAACTCTGTGTGCTGACAGTATTGGATGGTGTTTTTCTAAAGCCTTTGCCCAGTTATAACCAAAAGCTTTGAGAGGCCTTTCGGTGGTGGCGCTCGATTCGTCGTATGTCCAGCAGAAAAATGTGGAGCGTAGGAAATTTGCAGCGAGCATGCCTTTGTTGGAATTGGTGGATCCATCTAGATGTGCGGTGAATGCGGGCTTGTGTTATTGGACAAGTAGCCCGTGTGTATAGGATCGTAATTAACCAGGTTGCCAATTGTAGTGGTGTCACACCTTTCGGAGGATCTAAGAATAACAATCCTGATGAGGCCTGCGGAGTGACTCCAGCGAGTCTTTTAGATGCTCTAGCAAACTCAAAGGCTTGGCTATGAAATGAAACAGAGGGAATGAACATGGTAACCAGGAAATAGTAAAAATAACAGCAATGTGTTTACAAAGATACGATAGTTATTGGTGAATGATTGGGCCACCTGCTTTTGAAGTGCTTTGTCCAATACTTTCGAGGATTAAGCGATGCCCCCTTCTCTCCGGCAAAAGAATAACGAGATCGTGTGACACCCAAACAAACAATGGACTAAGTATACTTTGAGAGGTGGGCTTTCATATACAGCAGTATTCCAAAAGATGATGACTATTGAGAGATTCAAGATTTTGTCTTCAAAGCTTGAATTTGAACCTCTAGGGAAGTCAAATCTGCACTCACAACTACGAGCTGATCCTAGAAAGTATCAAGAAACGAAAGTCAGAACCAGATAACAAAAGCCACATGGAAGCCCTATTAACCGATGAAACAGTGACCAATGTCGATTTTCCAAATCATACTATTAAAGTAATGTACTAAAATCATTAAGAGATACATGTGCAGGCTCTGAATGTATACATGATTTGGGGAGCGGCGATCTCTTTGTAGAACTCTGTTCTATGGACCTGCTTGTGGGAATCGGATTATGTGCTTAGTATCAATCGGCTACAGTGTCGAAGAACCCATGAGGTCATCCATCAGGAATATACGCAAGCAACGGCGCAGTGACAGCGAGAGACGCCATTCTCGATCCAAAGATAACCTTATGAAATATATCGATATTGATTCTGTTCAGGATTGTACACATTTGCGTATAAGAACAGTGCAGTGGAAGACAATTTCGATAGGAAACTATTACATTGATATTGATAAGAAATATGATTTCTTACATCAGATCATGATCTTGTAGTGCAGCATGAGTTGTGTTCTAGATTTAAATGTACGAGATTTGCACCTGTAAAATTAGCGTTCGCTAACCTAAGACAGTGAATAACAGGCTTCCTTCCTTTCCATCTCAAATGTTTATACAACATTCAACCACGACAACCTCTTAATTAACAACAACCACATTCACAATGGACGACGATGATGATTTTGGTGCAGATGCGGATTTCCTAACAGCTCTCGCACAAACCCCTGTTACAGCTCCATCTACAAACCGCGTTCAACAACCTACCCCGCAACGCGTCCAACAGCCTACTCCACAGCGTCTCGATCGAGCACCACCAACAAATAATGCCTCCGCAGGTCCCAAGGTTGTTCAACCAATTCCACAAGCTATCGCATCGCGCTCTTCTGGCTCGACAATTCAAGTGTCTCTGCGGCAGAAAGGCAATCCAATACTGACAAATCTCAAATCCTTTCCATGGGAATACTCAGATATCCTGGCCGATTATGTGCTTGGTACAACAACATGCGCACTCTTCCTATCACTCAAATACCACCGATTACATCCTGAATATATATACAATCGAATAAAAGGTTTACAGGGTAAATACAATCTGCGGGTACTTCTTACAATGGTTGATATTGGAAATCATGAAGAGAGTTTAAAGGAATTATCCAAGACAAGTTTGGTGAATAATGTTACCGTCATATTATGCTGGTCCGCTCCTGAGGCTGCAAGATACCTTGAGTTATACAAGAGCTACGAACATGCAAATGCTAGTGCTATAAAAGGTGTTGAAAGTAAGAGTTATGGAGACAAAATGGTAGATTTCATTACCGTTCCAAGGAGTATCAATAAACGAGATGCTGTGGCATTGGTCGATGCATTTGGAAGTATCAGAGGTGCTATTAATGCAAGACCTGAGGAAATTGCTGTTGTTGATGGATGGGGAGAGAAAAAGGTTAGAAAGTGGTGTGGGGTTGTTGATGAACCATTTAGAGCACGAAAAGCAGCTCGTAGAGGTTTGAGCAGGAAGGAAGTAACAGACGATGGGATAGAACGGCCAGAAGGAGTTTTAGAACGTGCCATACCTTTGAGTCGTGTTCCATTGAGGGAAATGAGCTCCTTAGGAGGGAAATCTGTTGAATCCTCGTATCGAAGCCAGAAACCCCTTGAGGAGCGACAGGATGAACAGATACCAGGCGATGATGATGAAGAGGCTGCAATCTCGGCCGCTCAGCAAGAAGAAGAAGAAATAGCAGCTCGAGAGAAAAAGCAAGAATTGGCCAGGAGAGATGAAGAGCTCAGTGGAGGGGTCGCCGCAGCTTTAGCAAAATTACGAGAGGAGCATTAAAATATTTAAAGGTTAAGATATCACATGCCCATCTACATTGAGTATCTGGCCTGGAAATGGTATCACGCTAAAATTGAACGGGAGAGTTGACATGAGAAGGTTTTCTTTTTTTACCTCGAATCACGTTATAAATGGCTAGTCCACCAATCCACGATTGTATCAAATGCAGATTTGACGATTCTCATGCTGTCGATGATCTCTGTTCTATATATGCACCTAGACCTTATATGTTGCTAGAGCTAGAGATAGAGCAGAGACCAAGTCAATCGATTGCTTACACAAAGTCTACATTTAACGCAGCTCCTTCATGGCACTGGGATATTTCACAAAAGAAATCTGTATACTTGCGAAAGTTTCTTTTTCTGGAACAGCTATGTATAGCACATAATAATGCATTCTTTGGTTTTAGCATAGCGACCAACTCTGTGACCCCCAAAAGAGAAAATTTCTCCTCTCTTCACATCTTTCTCCGGGCTTGAGAGGAATAGGCTCATGTCTATCTGTCTTCATGAGCTTTACGCTTAGTTTGCCGTGTATTTCTGGCCCGAAGAGCCTTTGCGTCTTTTCGCTGGCATCTTCCTTTCTCAGCCGTCTCATCTGGCCCAAGTACTTCTCTTTCGTAGATCGGAGAGGAACTTTTTGTATTGTGCCAATCACTATCATAAGGTATGGTATTGCAAAATGTTCATTCATCAAGCTCTCAACCTCCAGGGTGATCTATCCAGGTACTTCGCCTTGAAGTTTGATAGAAATTTGCGCATGACTTCTTCCTTGGTGCGGTTCCTCATAGTGCTGAGTCTGATTCAAATTATCATTAGTGGAAGTATCTACATTGATTTGGTCGGTTATAGGGAGACTTTGGGTAGCCGTGCAGGTTCTATCTACGTGACTGGTCCTCCCCGGACCCCTTAGCCAGCCTCTCCATGAAGTCGTATACTTTGGTAATGTATTTTTCTCGCATAAACATTGACATTTTTTTTGTATGCATTTTAGCTACTTGTAATCTCAGCCTCGTTTTTGAATTTGCGCTTCAGGGAATGTCTCTAAAACCAAAATGCTCCGATTTCTATCACCTCTATAGCTGGTTCATACAAGAATGAGGGGCTACGTCCATAAAATTCTTAGTATGTTGGACTTGCGCTTGAAATTGATAGATTTCAAATCAATCAATGAAAGTTTTGCTAAGGTATTTAATAGGCGAGTAGATGAATCTTTGTCTTATTCAAAGCGGACTTGATGAGATTAAAAATTCTTTTTGTTTGAATGTATTCAGTGTGGAATGGACATAGGCGAAGTTGAATTCTTTGTTCCTATCAGGAACCATTCCTGAGCATCTAAGTAGACTTCAACTGTTTAACGTTGTTGCTGCATAAAGCCTCACCAATTGAACCTCAAGCCTCAACCCAACTAAAAAATCACGCAAAAGATTTGATATGATTTTCAACAATGCCGCGAATCGTGCTAACCCATGCCTTCCGCCTCTGCCACCACTTCCACCCGCATTTGGACTGGATGGCTTCGAGGTCGAAATTCCCCAAATTCCAGAGACAACATCGGGATCAGGACGGTCTTGGTTTGATCGGGGATTAACTAACAATGCGGTCGCTTTAAGGAGTATTGCTACTTTACAAAATAGAAATACAAACCTACAAAGGGAAAATGGACGATTGCGAAATCTAGGTGAATCATGGCAAAGGGAAGCTGGACGACTGCGAAATCAAGATGCCAGACTGGACAGACAGGATGAGCGACAAAATCAGATTATTGAGGAACTACGTGGCCAGTTGACCGAATTGAGGAGACGAGATGAGCAGCATACGCAAACGATTCAAGGGCTCAGGGAACAGGTAGAAGGATTGGGTGAAAAGGATCAGATGATTGATGACCTATGCATTCAAGTCTCGGAGTTAAGGAGGGAAGATGCTTTACATGCGCAAACTATTCGAGAACTTAGAGATCAGGTAGCTAAAGCAGGTGAGAAGGATCAGACAATTGAGAGACTACAAACCCAATTGTCAGAGGTAAGGAGGGAGAACGACTCACATACACAAACCATCCAAGGACTCAGAGATCAAGTAGCCAAGCTACTCGATAACCCATCCATCGAGGACCTCGGTACTCAAATAACCAACCTATCAGAGACCATTGATCAAAAAAACCACATCATCCAAAACCTCCACAAGCAAATAAGCATCCTCACCGAACAGCACAGCAAACAAGTAACGGAGCTCCGCTCCCGCCTCACCACCATCTCGAAAGAGAACGACGAGCGCGTAAACATCATGTCAGAACTACGCGTCAAGCTCACGGGGGAGAGTGAAAAAAATATGAAGCACGAATGGACCATTTCTTCTCTGCGCAATCGATTAAATAACGAAGCGGAAATGTGCGAGGTGCGGCGGGCGTGGGCAGAGCGACAACACGAGACGGCGATGGAAAAGGTGCAGTATGAGCTTGGGGAAGTGCGGGCGCAGAATGCGATGCTGGAGCTGCGCGTGAAGAAATGTGAGGGGGAAAGGGATGAGGCGAGGATTGCGCGGCGGGCGGCGGATGATGGGTTGGAGGAGGTGGTGGAGAGGTGGAGGGGGGTGGAGGCGATGAATGCATTGTTGGAGGGGAGGTTGAGGGGGTGGGAGAGCAGAGAGGAGGAGGAGGTGGAGATGGAGGCGGCGGAACAGCAGGGTGTGTATGAGGAGGAGATTAGGGTGTTGAAGGAGGAATTGAGGATTGCGAAGATGGCTGGGGCTCAGAAACCGGCTGGGGGGAAGTGATGTTGAGTTTGAGTATGTAGTCTAGAGTGAAGATGGGGTGAGAGGGTATGCATGTGTCTAGTTGTGTAGATGGACTAGCTTGAGAACTATCCAGTTCGTACAGGGACATTTCGAACTTCGTGACTATAGAAAAAAGAAGCGGTAGCTGATAGAGAATGTGTAAACAATTCGGAACTGCATCAAAGAACTGCAGAGAAAATACTCGACCTGTTCACACATTCTAAACATATCTTTTGAAGCACACACAAGAACCAGAGACATGATCATGAAATTCAATCTTTGGTCATGTATTCATTTTATTTGAACTTCCTTTCCCACTTCATTCACTACAGTACTACAAACAAATGAATCAACCCCTTGCTTTCTCCACGAACATCTATAATCCCGAGCCCCATTCATCGTCCCTCTCTCACCTAGCAGCGAGCGTGCATGCAATTCCCGCATCAATAGCACACACCCACGCCACATCCATCCCATCTCCCAATCCCATCCATAAAATCCAACCCAATTCCCATCCACCCCGAAGTAATATGGCCAAGCCCCATACCCCTCAATCAATATAAACAAACACAAACACCATGCTACCGAGTCAATACTTCCGAATCAATACAGCATCAATCCATTTCCATTCATTCATGCCCTCCCATTCGTCCCGCCCTTTATGTCGATTGACAATCAAATCTCAAATCCAGCGCCCAAACCTAAAAAAACGCCATAGACTCAACCTAAAGAACCCCAGCCTGGTTAAGTCATCAATCCTGGACCATCCATGGTATGACGTTGGTGCACCTAAAACAAAGGATATCGCTCAAAAACTCCATACAATGCAACCTTACCCTTTCCACTTTTCAAATCCACTCGTTCGCTTTACCCACCCCCAATAATTACTTTCCATCACTTCTTGTCATTCATAAAAAGCATCGCATCGCACCGTACCGCACCACAAAGCATCCATTCAACGACGCTCGAATAACTTTTCCGCCACGAGACAAAAAGTCATCGCATCGTTCTTCGTAGCTCCGCACGTGAATAACTCCTCTCATTGACCTCTCAGTCCGAGATTGATCCTGTATCCACAACCTCTGATCCGTCCACCACATTACCTCCAGTCCTTCCTGGCTCCCAGCCTTCCATTTCATCCCTTCCATCTTCCTTGATCAAGTCCAATAGCACCATACTATTCTTCTTAATCCTCTCAGGTCTATCCACGATTCCTCTTTCGAGAATCAAGGCTTCGGCTGTTTTGGCCCACAATTCATGTAGATCAGGCACACCTTCCACCAGCAATCCAAGTACGTCTCGTCCTAATGGACGCATCGGTGGACCTTTTGAAAGACTTGTTCTCCATACCAAACTCCCATCCGATAAATTGCGTCTGGAGGCAATGCAAGTAGACTTGTCGCAGAACCACTCAGTACATCCTGAAGAATCGTGGCCGGAAGTATCAGGCTGAGAATGAGCCATAGGCTGGGGTGCCTTCTTTCTTCCTAGATGAGCGAATTTTGACATTTTGGATTTAGGTGTAGCGGTGTTAGGTTCGACAATTGGGAAACGACAACTTTGTAGAGAACCATACCATTGATCGACGGCGGCTCTCCTCGCATTATAACCTTTGGTCCGCCAGAAATTTTCTGCCTGCTGGAGCCCGCCTATCGTGAGAATAGCTGAGTACACTTCATCGGGTGGTCGATCCTTCAAATAACCTCTGATAGATCTTTCCACTCTTCCAACATATGAAGGAGGCCTCAATCGACGAGAGAATGATGACATGAACAAAGGAAATATCTGATGAACATACAATAACGTTCTGTCATCATACATGTTCATAGCAAAAGTCTCGAATGGATTGAGCGTGTACGGCAATCGAGTCAAAGGCGCCCCGCGTCTTTCAAGATGTGAAGCATATACGTTTCGGTAAGTTTCGAAGAAGTGAAAGATTGTAAAGATAAGTGGTATTAATCTTTGACGCATCCTTTCATATTGAGGTTGAAATTCCAACACTTGAGCTTCAGTCGTCCGTAAGAATATCTCCTTTCGAGCTTGTAGAGAGATCAAGGTAGATAATTTTGATGCAACATGTAATCGATGCCATATTCCAGCCAGATAGTGTAAGTTCAACTTCGCAGCCTCTGGCAAAGGAAATAATCGTATGGTGTAACCAGGTAGTGTATGAGTTGCATGATATCTCGCGATTGGTGCTTCATTTATTGTAATCAAAGCATGAAATGATCTCGAAACTTGTCGCAAGTCAAGAATGGTATGAATTGGTAAAGGTGAGATAATTTGAGCTTGTAATTCGGTTGGGAGAGAGAGGAGAAGGTCGGAGAGAGAAGCGCTTATGTAGGTTAGCAATTTATCCGAATATTCGCAAGAGAACCTGAAGTTTGTTTACCTTTGTCTTTCAAGTCTTTCTTGGATGATGTCTGGATGTGTCTCGACAATTGATGGAGCTCGATGGGTAATGTTCACTTTGGATCGTAGAGCACCTAATGAACCACTAAAACTTGGTCGACGTTGTGTTCGTGAAGAAGTGAGGTCGTGTCCCAGTGTACGTTTTCTTTGATCGCCAAGTCGGAAGGCCAAATTCTCATGATTGCTATTTTTCTGCCTCGAAGGTAAATTGAATGTAGCTGCTTCTAATGGTGATGGCTCATGATTAATTAGAGGGATCGACGTAGAACCAATCTGTGAATTTTGTGTTGTTCCAGGTGCAGTCCCAGCAGCAATCGATCCAGATCCGGACCCTGATCCATTCTCAGCATGCCCATGTCCATTCCTATCATTTTGTCGTAATTTATCGAAATATCGCTCTGAAGCGAATTCAGTAAGATGAAGGGGTTCCATTTCTTCCCCTACGCTTGGTCTTTGGTACCAATAGGTCGTAGAGTTGAAGTTCTTTGTGGGTGTTAAATCATATCAAGATTTATGGACGACGCTCTTCGAGAGGGAGGGCCGCCCAAGTTGCGCCGAGTTGGAATAAAGTTGAGGAAACGACGTCGCACGATTGAACTTCATGCATTATTGAAAAACACCCGTTGAAGTATTTATGAAGTCAACAAGATCAATTCGAGTTATTGAGGGAAGGTTGTAAGATTTTTAATCGGAATCGAGAAGTTTGGTGAGACGGGTGGTTGTTGTAGAAGTGAGAAGATGGGTTGAAAGTCGAAAGTCGAAAGTCGAAAGTCGAAAGTCGAAAGTCGAAAGTTGAAATCGAAAGTTGAAGGGTCGGAGAGGGTCGAAGGGTCAATCAATAAGGGATTATTGGGGTTGAGATCGGAGTCAAAGTGAAGAGAGTACCGAGATAACAAGTCTTGTATATCCAGGTATCCTATCTGCCTATATAGATTATGGTATAATTGAAATGTCCAAAGTTCAGACCGATATATTCTAACAAGAATGAAAGTAATCCGAATTAAGAAATATCTCTTCTTCTTTGTCTATCTGGGGACCGAAGAAAAACGAAGGTGTGATTATTTCGATTTGTTTCGAGTCGATCTGATTATTATTGCTGAAGTGACCTTTTCGAGTGTAACTTTGAAATGGTGTATATAAAGAGAAGGAAGTATAATGTCTGTGTTATTCCAACCACAAGTTCAAGTAGATGACTTATGACTTCCGATACTGGTTTAATATTGTAAGCTGTTGAGTTGGTAGGATAGATGCTCTATTAATCCTGGTCCTCTCTTCTTTTTGGTGTGTGGTTTCTGATTTTTTCCGTTGTCGAGTGTTGTTGAATTCAAGTAGCCATGTAGCTAGTCAAAAGTAGATAGAGAGATGATGTCCGGCTTTCTTTCCCTTTGTCAATACCGAGAGACAAATAGAAAATAAGACGAGAAGGTGGAAGTGAGAAAAGGGGGAAGGATGAACAACAAACGACCAACGAACGAAGGAAATCTGGACCTTTCTCTTTCTCTCTCTCTCTCTCTCTCTCCCAAAGACCAACTGTGGAAAGTGTGGCGGCTGAGATGGATTGATGAGATAGATAGATGGGTGAGATAAGTTTCTCGTCTCTTCCCAGAAATAAAGGGAAGGGACTAAAGTCTAAAAGGAATTCGGTATATCGGGGGAACTAATGAAGGGAATAGATGGGGATTATGGGACTGTGGGATCTGAAGGGATAGAGAGAGAGGGAAAGACACGTTTTCCCCTTGACGTTTTATGGTTTTCTTTATTATCTTGTTTTCCTATTTCTTTAGGTACAAGACTACAAGTAAGTAGTGCTTGGGTCGTACTTCATGTATGGACTGAACTCATGGAGTAAATTGGGTAAAAGCAGCTAAATAGTAATACCGATGTGATATGGTAGAGTGAGTGAGAAATGCTACCTCAGCAAAATAATGAAGCCGAGCTGTGAATGGGAGGTAGGGTAGGGTAAGAGGAGGTGGAGGAGGAGGAGGAGGAGGAAGTCTAGGATATCTTTTTTATATGTGTATGTATAACGTATGTATAATGTACGAAGTATATGGATATAAATTCCACTACGAATATCAAGAAGTTGGCTGTTAATTGAAGTGAAGATTGAGTGAAGGCTGGGTGAAGATTGAGTTGTTGATTGAGTTATTGATTAAAGTAAACATGTCTGTCTCCCTTCTCTATTCTTTTTTTGTTTCTTTCCTTTCTCTTCATCAGTTTGTATACAGTAAGTAGTACTTGTTTATTTTCTTCTCTTTCCTCTCTTCTCCCAGCTCTCCTCTCATTCTTTCTTCTCTTTCACTCTACACTTATACACTCATACTACTCACACTCATACTCTCATACAATCATACTACCTACACTCACACTCACACTCTCACTCTCACTCTCACTCTCACACTACCTACTCTTCTTCTTCTTCCCTATCGGCCCAATTATTCAATCCCTTCCCCCCAATTCGCCCAACGGACATCTCTCCAAAATCTTATTTCCCAATTCCGATCCAAATCTATACCCACTTTGAGTTTAGCATCAAACGAACATTCGGTCGGCGTCTTTATGGAGACTCCACACTCCACTGATTGGAAATGTGGAACACCAGGACCCAGGCACTTTAGAACCCGGATAAAGTAAGACGAGAAATGTAGAAGGTGCTAGGTAATATGGTAGGTAATATGGTAGGTAATATGACTGATGAATTGACGAAAATTAAGGAAAACATGACTGATGCGATGGGGATTCGGGTGTGACTGTGAAGAGGGAATGAGAGTGGGGAGATGATGATGATGATGATGATGATGATGATGAACAGAAAGGGTTTTGATAATGGGATATGTACCCAGGTCGAGTAGAATCCTAGAATACTAGAATTGAAGATACAGTACAAAAACTAGTCCTGTCTGTTGCGCTTGGAAGTTGTGCACTCGTGATTGGATCGTGGTTGATGATTATAGGAGAATGCTTACGGTATGAGATGGCATCAAATAGATCTGGATCACGATATACTGACTAGCTACCTCGTAGATAAACTACAAATTATATATAGATAGATGCACGACGACAATATCAACGAATAGTACTTCTTAGAGATAGGTATGTAGTATGTACAATGATTGAATGGGTAAGTATTGTAAAACACACCAAAAAGCGGCCATGCTTTTCCCTATATATAAAGACTCTAATCAATAAAAACATTATATTCTTTTAAAATTAATATAATAAACTTTAATATATCAAAATATTATAAAGAAATATCTAAATATATTTAATTATATTAAAATCTTATATATATTCCATTTATTAGAATTATTATTTCATAATATTTTTTTATAGATTTTAATAATTCCTTTAAATAATTTTTTGAAACTATTTTTTATATTTCTTTTATAATCTTTTTCAATATCTTATAATTCAATTTATTTATAAAATAATAATTCCAAATCTATTTTTTTATTCAATTCTATATATTTTTAATAGAATTGAAATTAAAAGAAAAGAGAGATCAATTTATCTTTTTAATTCTTTTTTCAAAAAGATTTTGAATAATAATATTTGTAGAGTATTTTAATATATTATTTTATATAAATATATAATCTAGATTCAATTTTATTTAATTATAGATAATAGGTATTATATATATTTAATAAGATTTAATATTAATAATTCCTTAATCCTTTTTTCAAAATATATTTAATTCTTTATCTAATTTATTTGAAAAACAATTCTAAAATATCCATTTAGCTTTTTTATACTTTCTTTCTAATATATATATATAGAATTAAGAGTTTTATTTTTTTAATATATAATATACATTTTTCTATATAATTCTATAGTTATTTATATTTCATTTAATTATAAGATAATATCCTATTATTTTTCAATCCAATAAATATAATCTAATACAAATTAGAATTGAATTTATTAATTTCTTTTTGATATAAAAAGTTTTCAAAAAATAATATAATATTTATATTCTACTTTATATAAAATAAATTAAATAGTAAATTCTTTTATTTCTTTTTAAGCTAATATAATAGCAATTTTTTAATATAATATCCATCTATTTGTTTTTGATTTACTTATAAATTGAATAAATTAATCAACTTAATTAATAATTAAAATAGAAGATTGATCAAAACATTTTTAAGAAATTACTTATATTTTAATAATATAATAAATCTATTTATATATCAGATTTACTCCTTTTTTTAATAAAAAAATCAAATCTTTTTAGATTTTATATTAATATAATATAAAATATATATTTCGATTTATTAATCTCAAATTATTTTTTAGTATTTAGATATAAAAGGTAATAGTAATATAATAGATGATAATATAGATTTAGTATTTAAAAATATCAATAATAAAATAAATAATAATAGATTGATTTTTTTTATTTTAATAGATTTAAATATATTTTTTTTTAATATATTTATTTTAAAGAAAATATAAAAAATGAACTTTCTTATAATAATTCCTAAAAATACTTTCTAGAATTAATTCGAAATAGATTTTTAAAAGTAGTATCAAAATAAACTAAATCAATTAATTAAATCTATTTATTTTGATATCCCAGCTACATATGGGGTCAATTAGCGTTTTACACGACTTACCCATTCAACCATTGTAGTATGTAGTATGTACAGATTCGATACCTAGTAGGTAATGGGTATCAACTCGGCAATTATTCATGCAAAAGATCTTACTTGTTAGTATGGTACCAGTACCTAGGTAGATAGATAACATCTCTTCTCTAAGTTCTCTACTCTATCCCATCCCATCCTCTCCTCTCCTTCACACGAAACAACCCAAAACCCAAGACCCTTTTTACTGGGCAAGGTTTCTCTTATCCTATCCGTCCATCAGTGCCACCCACGGCTGTACCGAAAATAGCACTTTTCGAATTCTTCCGTGATTATCCCCGAATCCAATAAGATCATCAGCATTCTTACTTAATATTGCCCCAGATATTGTCCATCCATTCAGGAGGGAGAAAAAAAAAGATGGAAAAAAGGATATTTGACCGAGAAAGATGATGAGATCTTATGAGGATGAGTTCAGGAGCCAAGGCGTATTGTATTGGATACGATGGGGGTGGATGGGATGGTACGCGTGTAGGTACTAGGTGTGTACAGAATATGATACGAAATCAATTCAAATTTCGTGGTCACTTGGAAAGTTGAATCGCATTACCTATGTAGGTACCTTACTCTCGAGGTGCTTTTCAATTCCGTCCCTTTGATCAATCAATGTTGCACTGTTTCACTGTTTAACTGTCTCGACACTGGATTCTCGTACATCGATCTTAATCATCACATATGTCGGTACTTGGAAAAGGCTCATTCAGATGTTACCTATGATTAACGGACTTGATATCCCTTGTTTTTCACCCAAACTAACTTCTGCAGTGTTTTGATTAACAACCCATTTTCACCCATCCATTCATAATCCATAATCCATAATCCATCCATCTACCTAATACTATTCCCACATCCCCATTCCCACCTCGTCTTTCAATGCTTTCCCCAAACCCCAAGCTATCGGCAAACTTGACTACTGACTACTGACTACTGACTACTGACTACTGACTACTGAGTACTGACTACTGACTACTGACTACTGTACTGCACTACACTACACTGCACCTAACGCTATCCATGACAAATCTAGACCCTCCCACCCCGTTCTCCTGCGGTCCTCCAAAATTCCCGTCAGGATTTTAGATTACTCGTACCTCAAGTAACGCCGCTCCATAGCCGCACCAATGCTCCATATCACAACGTCCTTCGAATGGTGGAGAAAAAGACAAAGGGACATCATTATGGAGAACCCAAACCCACTCTTTCCCACACACACACATGACATTCTTAAAATTTTCGACGCAAAACGGGATCTGGGGCAAAAAAAGGGTGGATTTTTCCCCATTGCCCCATAATGATGTGAAGCCGAGGATGTTTTCTTCGCATCTTGGTCCTTGGATGATGTGTAATCTCTTACATCGTGCTAAATTCTAGTACATGTCACTATATATATGAATATGACCGAGAAGCTACGATATGATGAGTGAGCATCATGAGCTAACGAGGGATCTCGTAGCTCGTTACAGAAAAATCAAGGTAGAAGGTTTTCCGAGCGGAAGATCTTTTCAGAGAGATTGAAGAAATCCAAGTTCTGCTGTACAGATGCTTGTTTTGATCATCGAACTTGGATGAAACTCAATGATGCATAGTATAGTTCATTCATGCGATATGCCGTGGAGAGGAGGGAACGATAGATAGATGCTAGATAGCGAGATATATACTCAATCATCAGCTATAGCCCTTTACGGGTAGCTGCACGAACATATACTATAATTGTAACGTTCATTAGATGAATTATGATCAAATGTATTCAAATGAGTCAAGTATATCTATATCTATCTGTACAGATACTATGTATGTCAACCAATCCTTCTCAAGAATAACCCAAAAGAGGATATATGATATATTCCCCCAATCCAACCTCTCTAACTCACACCATCATCTTCATCCAACATACTATTGGAGTAAATCCCAATCAACCCTCCATCTCTCTCGGCATTTCATTTCCATTTCATCTTTTCGTTATCCGCATCTAACTCCTAAGAGAAAGAATTCCAAACAAAAAAACAAAAAAATGTAACAACAAATCACACAATTGGATCCCAAAAGAAAACTCATTCGGCCCTATTCTCAAACCTTCATCGGGAAAGCAAAAAACGCACGCAACTGAGCGGCTGATTTCCCTTTTTTTTTCTTTTTCTTTTTCTTCATTACCTTTTCCTTAGAAAATATTCCTTTAGGTAAGGTAAGATCTTTTGAAAATATATAGGGAAAGATAATGGAAGATCTGTGTTAACTATGTGGGAGTTTTTTATGGATGGATGGGATGAGATGGGCTTTCTGATTACTACTGGTGGAAGTTCTGAAACGAAACGAAACGAAACGAGACGAGACGAGACGAGACGAAAAGAGACGCGACTTGGTATCTTTTTTGGAAGGGAACAAGATATCATATCAGGGAAAAGATCTTTAGAGATGCAACTCACTCACTCACTCGCTCACTCAGCTATAAATTTATAATAAACATAATACCTAGGTAAGGTAGATATGATAAGTAAATGCTTTCGTCCCAAGATCGGCCCCATTTCCTTGTAGAGATAAGTACCTAGGCATACCTAGGCATCTTGCCAATGTTTAGGGGAAAGAGAGTGTCAGCATAGCAATTGATGAATTCCATACGGACGCATGGTACAGCACGTGCGAATTTGGGGTTGATTGAAATGGTACGTACTACATACATACAGTACTTTACTACTAGATACACGTTATCGTACATGTATGTGTTTTGATAGTCGTACAAGATACTTGGGGAATTGAATGGATATTCTTTCTTTCTTTCTTTCCTGTCGGCAGCTATGCTTTTTGACCGGCTAGAAGTTCGCTGTTGAATGATATTCCGCTAGTTCTCCGGTAGCTTGCGAGATTATATACTTACTATGCAGATAATGCTCCGCTGGCGGGGGAGGGGGCGGGCAGACTGTTTGTGTTTTTGTATAAGATAATTCTATGGAATCAACACAGAATTCGACCGCAATGACGCTCCGCTGGCCCTCCGGGGGCCACTGCCGTGGAGGCAGACTATTTGGTTAAGTGAATACCTGGTACATTGTACATTATATAGAACAACCTTTCGAGCGCAGCGAGCTATGGGGGTTTGGGGGCTTGCCCCCATGAATACTCCTCAAGCAAGATACGAGAGCAGGATGAATCTATTATTTACTCGGTGCGAGCTTAGAGTACATCTCAATGCTGGCCACTTAAATTGAGAGGTAAAATGTCAACAAATGGCTATACACACTCATCAATAATTTAAAAGCTTCCCTGAATATACATACACGTGAAATTATGGAGACCTATCAAACAAATCGTGGGGTTGAAGCTTAATGTTATTCATCTTGTAATATAACATCCGCATCCACATCAACAACCACGTTCCTTACACTAAGTCTTAAACTTTCGACGTCTAGTTTACCCATGCATCGAAACAAATAATCAAATCGAATACATAATATACAATTCAATCTTTCAAATATCTGGCAATTTGAAGACCAATCCTCAATAATGTCTTCCTCGCCGTCTCCATATCCTACTTCAAGCTACACCCCTCATCGAAATTCTCAATCCTACTCTGGTATAGATCCAAATGCACCACCACCACCACCGCCTAAACCAAATTCCCGAGATGTGAGTCGTCAAGGCACACCTGCGGGAACTGGAAATCAATCATTTTCTAGACCTGGAGAACCATCAGTGCAATACGAAGGAAGACAAGAAAATGTTCCACGAGAACAACTACAGCAAATACAAGATCCGGGAGATCAATGGCTTCCGAAAATATTGATGGATAAATCGTATGTATTACCTTGCCATATGCAAATGAACATTTCTTCTGCAGGTGCTTCTTATCCTACCTGTCCTACCTATCATGGTTGTCATATATGTCTCTATCAATATCATATACCCTCTCTTTGGCGTACAACAGGCTTAATGAGAGTTTGGCAAAAGGAGGATAGCAACATCGCATTATTTAGTGAGCATTGTTAACATAATTCAGGAAACAAGACCTCGCATACGCACTATCCAACCCTGCCCTTCTAGCCGCTCTCACACATTCAACAGCTACCGCACACCCATCCATTTCCACATCACAAGAACCATTAAAATCTGCATTGGATGACAATATCGCATTAGCGACTCATCTATTGGAACTTGAGTCTCGACTTGATCACCTGCGCTCCTCAACACAAGCTCAATTATTATCCACACATGCATTGGAACGTCAATGGAAACAAAAACAGTCCGAGATGGATAGAACTTTAGCTCCCTTCTCACCGAGCTCATTATATCAAAGACTAGGACAAGGTGTTCAGGAACAAGAAATGATGTGTAGGGCAATGGAAGAAAGTTTTCTGGAGGGTGACGGAGTTGCTACGGAAAGGGAAGCTAGTGATTGGGTTAGAAAGTATAGGGAATCGAAAAAAGTTTATTACTCCAGGAGGGAAAGGAAAGATAGGTGGGATGAAGGAAGAGTTGGGGGTTGGAGATGATATGGAGGTTCTTAACATATCATTTACTCGGAGTCTCGAGCGACGGATATTTACTTACAACTTGCGACGAAACGACCATCTGGATATACAACAGGACCATAGCAGTCGGTGATCATTGAGGTACTATATTGCAAGCTACATAATGTCACTAGTAGAGTGATCCAAAAATGTAGTACAGCACCGGTAATAAAGGCATGGAGACGTCGGGTGTGGTATAAGAGGCTGGAGATGAAAGGGCAGTATATTTCCTGGCAAGAGACTACGGATGTTAGAATAGGGAACACGAGACGATAAATGAATACCGGCATACAAGAACGTCATGGTTTGGTAACGTTTGTGTACAAATTCTCGGTTGGCTTCCACGAAATTTTACAAGTGACGAGTTATGAAACATAGTTTGTGCCACCGGTCGAATGAAGGCGATTGAGAAAAGTATAATATATCGATACAGTGTGCACAGGATAGAAATCGTGGGGCCGTGGGGATTTAAAGATGGGCGTGGAGAATTAGAGGGGAATGGGGAAGTGGACCTACCCGGTCTTGGATAAAAGACATTAATCAATCCAATAACGCAATATCGGCAATCATCCACACTTCCCCGGCTTCTTCAAGAACCAAGATTTATTACCTCTAGTTTTGTACGACTGATTGGAGAGCTTGAAGATAGCCAAGCAAATTCGAATGTTGGTAAAGGTCCGAATAGATGCGGTGGTTGACCAATTAAAGACAAGAAATGCAACTACCGGGAGAGGGGAGAGATTGGTGAGATGGCATCTTGTGTTACATGCTTGGGATAAAGATGGATGCGGCGAAACTCTATCTCTCTTGAAGGTATTTTGTGGTATGATTTGTGGTATGAAAAGTATCAAAGGCGCAGTACGAGGGTAGATTATGCAATGTAAACGTGTGAATCGGACGGGTATTTCCGTTCTCACTAGAGATTTTGCCTGAATTCTTAGTGGGTGGTCGGTGTCTTCTTCAAGATTTGCCAAAGTGGTTTATGGTGTTACGTCTTTCTGGGAGGAGGGGAGGGGGTTTTCTCATGCAGTTGGGCCTGCTTTGGTTGGGGAAGCACAACAGCAGATAGATTAGATTACTTCTTGGGAGATCCCGAGGTATTGTAACATTAACTATAGCTGTAGCTGTAGCTGTAAGCACGCGATTAATAGATGGGTTTGATGATTGGGGAATTAGGCTTTGGCGAGTTGACTTGACTCGGTGGGATGGTGTGCTGTGCTTTGCTTTGATGTGTTGTATGTGTTGTGATGTGTTGTGTTGTGCTGTGTGTAGGGTTAGGTTAGATGGATGGATAGATGAATACGAGATTGAAGCGGTCGGTCGGTCGTTCGGTCGGTCATTTGTTAGGTTCCGGCTGCACCGGATGGGATGAGATGAGATGGGATGATTCGGATTGATTGATTGATCACGGTGTGCTGTTGATACGAGGTGGAGATGAAGATGGAAGGCTGTTTGAGAGAGATGGTGTAGATGATGCGTTACAGTTTATGCATGGTGGGTTTGTGGTTGTGATTGTGGTGTTGGTTTTTTTATGAAAGAGTTTTGATTTCGATTTTGTTCTTGTTTTTGAGTATTTGGTTTTGTTTTTGAAGCGGGAGGGGGATATGGGGATATGGGGAGTAGAGGAGATGGGTTTGAGGGCTTGATGGTTTGTTTGTGTATATGTATATATGTATCTATGTATGTCTAACCGAAACCACAGAATTAGAATAAATGGTTTGTGAGTGCGCTGTTTATTGGTTTGGTTTGGTTTGGTTTGGTTTGGTTCATTGATTTGCATACATGTCACGAGAGGGTGGATTATCTTTATCTTTATTTTTATTTTCTTCTTTATTTCTTCCTTTCTCTTGCTTTCTTTTCTGATCTGGCTTTGCGAGGTGAAGTGAGGTGAAGTGAGGTGAAGTGAGGTGAGGTGAGATATTTGTTAGAGTCTGGAGAGTGGAAGTGGAAGTGTAGTGTAGTTGCTGGGGATAATGTTTGGTAGTCAGATGGTAATATATTGAGGTGTTGACATATCTATTGATATTATAAGTTTGCAAATGAATTGAAATGAATTGAACAGAATAGATTCGAATGGAATACATGGTTGGATAGATATGGATTGTTTTGAATCTATTGATAGTTTGTGTTTGTATTGTATTGTATTGTACTGTACTTTATTATATTGTATTACATTGTATTGTATTGTGTGCTGAAATGGGATAGGATAGGAAAGGGAGATATGAGGAAAGGGGGAAGTGGGAAGAAAAGGGGGGGGGAAAGAGGGAAAAGGAGAGAAGAGGAGGAACACAACTTTATATTTTCCATCAGCTACACATGTAGAGATTAGAAGATAGAAAGAAGATGAGGTTTACATGGAAGTTTAAGCAAATCCATTGATACTCCATGATGTGGTATGTAATAAATATCTAACATGTATTTGCGTTGTTGTTGTCCTTCCTGCAGCCTGCTTGGTGGCGATAGGATGAGATGATGGGCTTTCTATCTTGTCTTATCAGATATAATTTTCTCTATTTACTATTCAACTCTGGATTCTTTGGTTCGTTCCCTCGCGTGCACTTTAGGATTTTTCCTCGTACTTCGCTGTGCAAAATTGAAGTCGAGAGTATCTATCCGGTGGTTGGTATCGTGGGAGTTTTCCTATATCACGTTCTTGCTTGTTTCCTTTTTCTTTTACATATATCGTGCACTCGGGGTATGTTTACGCTCTACTAGTTTGTCATTTGTACTATTTAAATCTTCTCTTCGGGGTAGGCTCGAATGTATGGAGTAGGTAGTTGTGTGTTGAATCTCATTGGTTTGTTGGATCACTTCTCTATTCGTCAACTCCTCTGTGCTCTGGGATTGAGAGAGCTAGAGAGCGGATTGTTGAGGGCTTTGATGATGAATTGGATGAGGAGATATGGATGGAGATAGAAATTGAGTGTGAAGGGGCAGGAGGGTATTGGAAGTAGGATTTGAAAAGTGGTGGTAATGTTTGGGGCTGTGATGGGAAAGAGTTGAAGATAAAGTGGGAGAGGGATGAATGGATAGGGATGGATTATGCTTGATCGGAATTGGTGTGATGAGTGGGGAGGGCAATTGAGAAAGGAGGAGGGGGTCCAGTAAGTGGTAAGTGATGAGTGGGATTCCTCATGCTCTTCTCAATCACATGCGAGATGTGAGTCCAAATGGTGGATGGCAAAGTCTTACAGATATTAGAGATGGAGTGGAGAGAGGTAGGATCAGAAGATTTAGATGGCAGATCTAAAATAAAAGGAGGAATCTCAGCAGTGGGTGAAATTTCGAATTGTCAGGCAGGTGCAGTTACGGAATGTCTGATTTCATCTCAATTTCTATTCAGACACTTATCCCATTTATACTAGGAGAGAGTTTATATTTTAGCTTAGAATTGAGAGGGGAGTTTTAAAAACTGTGAGGAATGAGGATCGCTCATTTTTACACACTTGTTGGGTTGAGTGCTCATTTTCAATGGCATGAAAATATGAGAGGGGGGCACCGGAGGAAAACTAATGGGCTGCACACAGAAAATTAGCGGTATAGGATTAATACATGACTTGGAGGATTTCTAGAATAAAGTAACTGATGGATACGACAAGTGGAGAAAGTAACAGAAGTGAAAGGCCAAAAGGAGAGGCATGCTAAGGATACGAGAGATAAAAATAATTTAAGGGGGAAATGATGATAAGCGAAAATATTTTATTGAAAGGATGAGAAATTGGAAAATTATTCCTCTCTGTGTTATAGGACTCTACAATTTATGGAGAAATATGCATACAACTCTAGAATTTCTCAATCCATATCCATCATTTCTTTAACGGTACTGCAGTGATATTTGATATCTCATCTCTCATGCTCAGACTTATATATCGGCTTCTGTGGTTCCTTTCCTCTGCTTGTAATGCCTTCTATTCTCAATGGATTAATGTAACAACTCAAACACTCAAACGCTTAAACTAAGTCTGAGATTTTATCCTTTCAAAGATTTGACCCATGAGATTTTCCGGACTCAGTTCTCCGGACGCTAATTTGATGTCCACAATTTAACCAAAATATAATAAATACTACAGGTCAATCACAAGCAGCCTCACTCACCCTTTCATCGTTCCGTTCTTGTTAACACACGCCACAAGATTTCCTCTCCTTCAAACCGCAAACCAAAAAAAAGTAGAAGCCCGATCAAGGATTCGAACCTTGGATCTCATCATTTTTGTATTCATCGATACGCTATCATTCATGCGTTAGCCCATTATCCACATCTTCATATTCTTGAAAACAATTGGTACTTACAGTGATGCGCGTTAACCACTACGCTAAACGGGCGATTCGTTTTTATAGACAAGGGTGAATTTTTGGGTATCTATTTGAGAGAGGGGGCTTGGAATTGGTGATTAAAGAGTGAAGGTTGGTTGTTGGAGAATGGGGAATGGGGAAGTGAATGAAGAGTGGGGAGTGATGAGTTTGAATATTGGTAGGTTCCTTAGGAGTATGTCATATGTCATCCTTTCTCCATCGGCAATTCTAGTGGTGCGTTGATGATAGTTCATGTAGCTTCTGCTTCTTCCGTCTTCAGGCCATCTGTTACAGAACAAAAGAATGTGTTACTTAGATACCTCTTTGCTTGTGCCCTTGGATGGATCGATCGTATCAATTCACTATCTTTTCTGAAGCAAAGTTTATGGATGAAGAAGTGGAGTGAAGTAAAAGTGAATCGATGTATGGAAAAGGCCGAGACAAGAAATAGCTACCTAATGTTTATCTCGCTATGTTAATAACATTCGACTAAATCATGAGTCCAAACTCCCAATTTCCACCTCGAGTTTAAAGACTGGACCTCAAGTCACCACTTCCCCCAGTATCCCGCCGAGTAAAAGCAGTACCAGGTGAATCTAACGCATATTCTTGAATCATTTTCTCGGCTGCCGTTTCACCCACTAGGTATGCTGTTGATTGTGTATGATTACTATTTTCACATTCGTATTAGCCGCAAGCCACTCGCCTGTTCACTACCCCCCTTTTGCTTTATTTTCCGCAGGTTTTTTCTACTCCATACACTCTCCACACAATGAGAGGAAGAATATAAAAAAGTAGGTGGCAAAACCCCAAATTAGCCCACTTGCTATACGTAACCATTTTGAACGCTACTCCCAGAAACGGGTCAGGTAATGAGGGGATGTAACATAACCTTGAACAAATCACCAATAAAAATAAAAGAACAATACTCACTTTGGCAAGAGCGGAATCACACTCAAATCCACCACTCTCAGTCCTTCCACACCCAGTACCCTGAAATTCGTATCTACACATGCTGCACTCTCATCTTTATCTTTACCCATGCGTACTGTACTGCACATGTGCCAACTACTGAAAAGGTTGTTGCGGCAGTGTTCCTGCGATTTCTTGTTAGCTTTTGCTATTTTTAGAGAATTCAAGAAAGCGGGAAAACATGTAACGACGTGAAAATGAGAACTAACCCAAATACTTTCATCACTCGCCCCAACACCACCCTCGGGAACTCCAATCATTTTTACAGTCTTCTCTTTAAAAACAGGCGTGTCTAAAAACTCCATCGCTTTTCTTACTGCTTCAATAAGAACTCGTCGATCATATGGATGATTAATTAGATTCGCGTCGATTTTCGGTGGTACAGAGGGGTCGGCAGAAGATAGTGTGATGCTGCCTGTTGCTTGGGGGTTCATGACGAAGGAGGAGCAGGTTAGGTAGGAATCTGTTGGGGAGAGGACGTGGGTGCCTGTAAAAAGGGGAGGTATGTGCTAGAGGAGGGATGTCAGTTCAAGATTCAGGTGAAACGAAATGAAAAAGCCCCCCAACAGTGACCAGTGGAGCGGCAACAAAGACATGAATGAACACATACCGTAGCAATTTCAAATATAGGAACATTCTTCTGTCTCAGAAAGGCCTTCTTATCCTCTGACAAATCATTAAATTCTTTTGATTCCAAAACCTTTTCGTTTTTAAACCAGCCCATCGGAACACCACAGTATAATTCCGCCAACTTTCCACTCTTATCTTTAATCCAACCTTCCTTTGCAGTTTTCTTCATCTCTTCATTCATTTCAAATTCCATGCGATCATTTGATCCTTCTTTCAGTAACAGAGTTGTGGTAGAAAAGCAATGATCTTGAAGATTCTTTCCTACTTGTGGAAGATCTTTGATGATTGGTATATTGTGTTCCTTGAGTTCGGAAGCGGGACCGATTCCAGAAAGGAGAAGAAGTTGAGGACTATTCAATGCACCCGCTGATAAGATGACATCTTTACGGGAATAGTATTCTCGGCCATCGATTGTTCTAATACCCCTCGCTTTCTTTCCGTCAAATAGGACTTTCGCAACGGGGGCGTTGAGGATAGTTTCGAATCTCGGACCCATCAATGGTAAATAAGATGCAGCGGTTGTTCTCAACCCATTATGCATACAAGAAGAGCCCATGCCCATCCCAATTGGATTCCCAGAATTTATATCAGTATTCAACGGCAATCCGGCTTGTTTAGCTGCTATAAAGACATCCGTCAACCCCTTTTCCCAAACAGGAGCGTAAGAAAGATGAAGTGACCCCTCGGTTCCATGATCTTCTGGTTTTGGATTCACAAATTCGCGATGTTGGTCTGGAACTTCATCATGGTAGTGTTCGATTTTTTTGAGGCGTTCTTTAACTTGCGTCCACGACCATGTATCATCATCGACCTGTTCAGCCCAGGCATCGAAATCTTCTGCTCCTCCGATTACCCAACAGGAAAAATTAATAGCGGTACTACCGCCAATTCCTTTCCCCCGTGAATAATCAATTTGTTGACCTCCTAGATGAGAACAGGGTTCTGTCTTATATCCCCAATTTAAAGAGGGTTGAGTGCCAAAGAGAGTGAAGCGGTCAGCGGGAACAAGATATTCTTGGTCATTGTTGGGACCTCCTGCTTCAATGAGGAGAACCGATGGATGAGAAGGAGCTGACGAGAGGCGTGCTGCGAGGGATAGTCCGGCTGGGCCAGCTCCTACGATTATGAAATCGTAATTATTGTGTGGTGTTGATGTCATTTTAGGGTATTGCTTGTTAGATCGAGATATATGTTTTCTAGGTAGAGTGTGAGAAGGTCTATAAGTCAAATGATTGTAAATTGAGGATCATCTACTTACGATTGATATCGAGTCTGAAGAACAAAGAACCCGAAGATTTTGTTAATAATCAATATTACAAAATATGCTACGCAACTGATACCTAAATTAGAAACATCAATCCCAAAAGCAACGTAAATGCAAGGGGCTTACTGATCACTTACAGATTATGTGTATGTTTGTATTGGCGTAATGATCGATAAATTTATGTTAGTATCAAGGAAGTCCAATCCTTATAATCTGTGTAAGAAAGAGACACTGTTATCGTTGATATTTAGATGAAACCCGAATATCAAATACTTACAACACATCATGATCAACATCACCTAGATAATAGAAGGATAATAAAGTACATGGAGGATCTACCAATATGCAAGGATATCTGAACACAAGTTCCCGTCCCCGGATCACGGAATTAACCCGTTCACCCGCTTGGCTTCTCCTCTTCTTGATAATGGGGTCATGTATTGACACTTGTGAATTAATACATGGCGGGCTCGAGGCGGGGTAGCTCGAGGGTAACATACTAAATCAAATAATTGTAACATTGGCATCCTCTTGCTTTTGTCGGGAAAGAGTTCGGTATATTTTTGGAATGGAAGCTAGTCAAAAGGCCGTCTGTTTCGGGGAGCTAAGCTGAAGCAGATCCAATGAAGATCAGTTTATTAGTTAGTTGTTGTATATGTGTGTTGATTGCGGGGTAAATAAGGGGCTGAGAATTTGAAGTGGAGATTATCAAGTCGGAGCTGAATTAAATCATGGCTCGGTAGTTTATGCGGAATATAATCACGTGTATCATGTGTATTATGGTGCAGAATAACGGACGTCACAGTTAGTCCTCGTCGTTTTGCCGCTTTCACGCATACCAATATTGGAGATTGTTGACGACTATTTGCCTCTTGTTTCTCACATCCCAATCCAACCATGGAACCAGATGATGAGATTCTGGATAAGTCTTCACATGTCACTTCAATCTAAAGCACGCATTTTATGTCCCCCAATTTTTGTATATATGCTGGAAAATTGGAAATCGTAATTTATCGCTGAATATCTTTGTAGCATTGAATAGGTAGTGTATACACAAAGCTTCTATTGTAGAATAATTTGTGGAGTTAGCATTTCACTGAACAAGGCGAAGTACGCTACACCATAGTGAAGTTCTTCAGAGTTGTTCCATTTCGGCCATCAATATACAAACGTTGCTTAAACATCTTGACATACCTCACAAAATATTGGAGATCTGGGGAGTGGAAGCCATGTATGTCCGCTATCATGTCATCGTTTTCATGCAAATCAAACTCTCTTATGATATACCGCCTGGACCCCAGGAAAGGATCTTTTATCCATCAAGACATGGCAGAGTTTGCGCTCTTTCACAAGTTGTTTTGGAGAACGGAGGGATGTAAAAACCCTCGATCAGGCCTGAATTCACTTGGGATGAGTAGTTGAATATCCTATCAAAGAAGGAAAAATAAGACGTTCAATCATATCGACCTTATGCTAGAGTCAATGCATAACCATTCATAAGGTGTGCTCCCAATCATGACAGTGGGATATCTATAGCCTAAATGTGGAAGAAACATGGAAGTGAAAAATTCTCCGCAGACTATCGAGTGGCCAGAAGGTCACTAACAATATCCAATCATATCTTAGCTCAATTGATAGATCTTGATAAATACTAAGTCATTTCTACCTCATCAATAGTTGATGAAAACTTCCACAGGTAGAATCAAACACACTCGGTTTCCAATTTTGATTTCGTCTACATGGCATTCATCAATCGCCTATCGACTTCGATTGAGAGCTCCTTATCTTCAAGAAATAAACATCAGCCCCGTGTATTACCGGTGACCACTTAAAGTGATGCCTATTTTTGAAAGATCTCATTGATGGTCTTGTCAAACATGGATATAAGGATTGAAGAAAAACTGAAGTTTGAAGATGTAGCGGTGAAGATGCTGTTCTGAAGATAAGCCCGTGGCCTGCAGTCATCAATAAGCCCTGACAGCTGAGAATCATTTCCTGCAATCGAAAACAAAAATTGTGTTCTGGGGATCAAGATATTCTTCATTGAAATATATTATAGCGAATAAGACTGGTGCCTTGTAGACGACCGGCAATTGATAAAGAGAAAGACAACCTCGGTACCGTATTGGAATCACTGTGATAATTCCTTCTGTAGTTTGGATTTAGTCCACATAAAACGAACCCCGAAACCTCAATCGGAGTTGAAATTGATTACTGCACTTCAGAAACTGTAGATATCAGAATGGTCAAATGAAGCAATTCCGATACAGTTGGTGTAGTCCATAGACCAGGGCATATTGATGCCTAGGAAATATGATGAGACAAGATGAGATCCAAAGCACGGATATACCACTTTGGTACAGAAACTTGTTCAAATCATATAGCAAGATACGATTCGAGACGATGTTATTTTTAGGGATTTGAGGATTGAATGTAATAAGCTCGTGATAATTGTCCCTGAACCTCACTCAGATAACCACTTGTGTCGACCTGAGATATGCAAATGATCTTGACGACTCGGAATTGTTCCAGCTAGTCGGATGAAAAGAAGAAGAAAATTAAAGGCATTGTATTGATCGCTTGTAGAGAGAGGTGAAAGGAATGTAATTTCCAAGGGTGTTGTCGGAGGAGAATGTTACATTTGATATTTGATGGAAGCACATGGCTTTAATCCATCGGAACTGAGATAAATCTATTTCGAGTGTGGTTTGTACAAGAAATGATTCGAAGTCCTCCCAAGAATGCTTGTTTGCACCTAGAGAGGCGTGGTATTCGTTACGGAACGGTGCGAACAATGAATCCATGGAGCCATGGTAACATCGACCTTAGATAATCTTCTACCCCGCTTTACCAACATCTATGATTGGGATAAATTCTTGATCTCCTTTGAGTTTCGAGAAACTTCCGCTGATGTATATTGTACATAAGCTATACGACAAAGTATTGGAAATCATGGCTTGTTCATGTAGTGATACAACAGTAGGTGTGCACTGAGGGGAGAGTTTCCTCGAGATGGACAATACTCACAAAAATAGCTTTTGGGCTTTCGAAGGAAGTTTCGTTCAGCCGTTTTGTACTCTTGATAAGACGCTACCAGAAATTAAACTTGTGGACTAGGTTCTCTAACAACCATGCTGCAACATGTGTAGAACCATGTACGCGTAAAATGCATTTGATGTATAGCTGTGGGTACCTGTGGTGGTAGCCGTAGCCAGTCGAGGGACTAGGATTAGAAATCTGAACTGAAAAATTCATACCAACCGGTACAAGACTGCTGTTGATTAGCTTACGTAGACAGTTGACAGCGTGGTGCTATTTGATTATATCGCTTAAGTTTGATGTGGTTGGTAAGACAGACAGAATGTTTCCTCCGGTGGTAAAATGGTTACAACATGGCTACACATGGTAATTCTCCATTTAGACGTTCCGACCGAATGGCTGACCCAGTTTGAGACCCAAAAAATCGATTCGAAATTGATTAATATTATGCATCTGTAGGGTAATACATGATTATATGTATACTACCCACCAAAAGTCCTGACTATTATTAGTATCTCTCACATACTCGATGTCCAGTCTCGGCCAGCAACCAACGAAAGACAACAAAAGTCATAACTTACCACGCGACTTCGATCAATTTGCAAATTTTCCCTGTAAATTTCACCAGCTTTTGGTCTCTTGGCCCCTCCTTATAGGTTCTTGCTGTCATCCTGATACGACGAAATGAATCAACATGTAGAGGCTTAGAGAGTTTGATACCTACCTACCTAGGTACTCTTGGCTGAATTTGGAGATTCGAGACGAAAAACTCTCAAGTAGTTCTTGAAAATACTTCCGTGTCATTATTATTGGCTAATTTATGAAGTATAAATGATCACTAATATTCCAATCCAATATAGATATGATTACATGCCCGAGAGGTGAAAGGGGAAAAAAGGTCTAGCATCTGCAACATCAAAAAGAGAAGTTCTAGGAAGGAAAGGTACTAGGAGACAAACCACCAACAAAGTAAAGGTATTTCAAATCGACCATCTAAACTAATTCTCTCTGCCTTTCTATTCTTCTATATTCCTATGTTCCTAATATTCTTACCCTCCCATCAACTTTCATCAGCTCTGAAACCATGTCGTCCCCACCTTATCCAACCCCTCTTTAAGAAGTTGTCCAATTTACCTTTTACTGCGCCACGTTAAAATACTACTGTCACTGTTCCCCCTACACCTTACCCATGAACACCTGCGATCAACACAATCTCCACCTTTGATATCCCAAAAAGAGATAGCAGCCGCGTGCGTTTTCTTGGCTAAACTTTGGAAAGCAGATAGTTACGTTGTTTTTTTGGTTTGCGATTTAATCCGACGTTTAATCCGAATGGACTAACCCGCGATAAACCCCATACAACTTCAGACGAAGCTTTCTCAAAGCTCCCCTAGAGCTCGCTCAGATCGTCAAGAACCACTATACAAAATGGCAGTCTCAACTTCTGCACCACGATTGCACTTCGAACCTGATAGTGTACCGTTACCTACTTCATCTGATAATGCGGAACCGGCTTCTCCTGCATTATCATCTTCGACAGCTCTCGCACGTTTCGAATTTGAATCTGGCCGAGGAAATGAAGGAACTAAAATATTGATGGTAGAATGGGAAGATGAATCTACCGAAGGATCCATCAAAAATATGGGAGATTGGGAGGTATCATGGGAAGGGAAAAGTACGGTTCTATCCGCACGAGATGGAGCAGATGGGAAACTTCATCGACTCTACTTTCTACTGGCTCCGGGAGCTAGCATACCAAGAATCATAAAGTTATCACAAGTGGGAGGGAAGACAATTCAAACAAACCCATTACCTGCGATATTCCCACCCGAACTAGGATTGACTGCACGACAAGCTGGACGAAAAGGTGTGTTACATACAATCTGGGCGAAGAAAAGAATATCCGTCTTACAAAGGGAAATTGATGAGGAAATGAAAACAAATGGAGAGGGAATAGGTCTAGAAATGGCCATGCAGGAAAAACAATGGATTGAGGAAAACTTTGGTGTTGGGCCAAAAGTTGCACAGCTGGATTTACAACAAAATGCTACTCCAACTAGTCCAAAAACACCCGGTGGTGGTAGGTTATCCGAGAAGCTTAAGGGGTTGAAATTAGGAACTAGTGCCCACGACTTAAGTAATGTTTCAGGTACGCTTAAAGTTAAATGTCCATGAATGAAAATGATGAGGTTGACAAGTCTTAGCACCCAAATTCGAAAGTCAGCAAAACCCATTATCTCCTGAACAGGGTGATGTTGCTGTGTCGTCATTCTCCTTGTTTCATGGAGGAACTTCGCGCCATCAACCAACACGTCTTGTCGCTCAACATCCACCTAATCATTCCTCACAATATGGCATGAGTTCTCTAAACGCTCTTGCAATTGGTGATGTGTCACAAAAAACATCAGAAGAAGATCAAACAGAAGATGAATTATTTGCCATCAAAATGAGTCCAAGAAGTCCAGAGATGACAAAAAGTCCTTTTAGTTTCGCAACGAAGGATGTAGCTTTGAGTATGGCTCAAAAGAATTAGGAAGCTCGATCGCTATATCTTTCGAAGAAAGTCCAGAATTTTACTTACGATGATATGATTGATGAAACAAACGGCAGAATCGAACGAATTGATCTGACAAAGTACACACAACATTGGGAGGTTATATTTTCAAAAGCTACGAGAACACTCGCTTTATACCCACTACTTTGGTCGTCAAAATTTTGGATTTGGAGAAGGTCTTAGCGACCCATTTTAGATAGTTATTTGGATACCTATTTTTTATTCCTGAGATTGAATTTCTTGAGGGCTTTTGGATTTAAGTCTCTTATGTGTCTTACCAAGGTTCCTACACATCTAATACACTACCGGACCGAAACATACCTCCGGACTCCGGAGTCACCTTGATTGTCCCAATTATCTTTATAAATGCCTCGTTTGTCTTCGTATCCACAAGTGATATACATAAGCCACAATCTGTCTGTTGAACTAACTGCTAAGTACTAACTACAAGTCTGTCTAACATTTAGTCTAGGAATGTTTCCGCGAGGTTTGGTTAGAACACTTATTTATACTCCATTTAGCATACCCCACGCGTGGGAATAGCCCGTCCCGCTCCTCGTGGCATCTCACGACTGTCACGAATCATTTCGGATGTGGTTTACAATTTGAATCAACTCTCAACTACTTGGGTACTGGCATTCCTAGTTCGTTAAGTGAATAATAACCTTATGGCTCGTGCCCACTACTTGGGTAAAACGTAGGTCGGGGGCACCGTTATCCGATCCAACGAATGATATTGATGTCTCGTTGCCCCTCATCCTGGTCTCATCAAGTTCAATAAGACCTGCCACTGTGACGCGACGACTTATAAGAGTGAACCTTGTTTCTGATCTACACATGACCAAGATCCCCCAACTGCTCCTCGTTTCAAACAACAACTGGGGAGTTTTTCGAGAGGTATTCTCAACTTCCCTTATGACAACTTCATGAATTCATTTTGCATTTGTTGTCTACGATCCTTTCCAACCTAAGTGGCTGCTGCATTAACGATTAGTTGAACGGATAGTCAACACCACAATTATCAACTCAAAATTTACACCTCTTTACTTCACTCCTTTAATACCTCTCACCATGTCTACCAACACCACAATACCGCTGACGCCCCTGTCGTCTACTTCCCTCTCGTTTGTGGGAACTTCCTCGAAAACCACTATGCTCATCATAATCTCTACATATCTCCTCATAGTCCACTTCCTTCGCCTATCGAGAAAATACTACATGATTAAAAAATTCGGATATAAAACCCGAGAATCATTGAAAAACATGACAAATACGGATGCGCAAGCAATCATCGGTCACATAGGTGAATTAGAATTCCCCCGTTTCTACGTAACCAGTCTTCAATTCGCTCTCTTTAAAACCTACGGCATACCTACAATATCCAAACTTCTCGTCGACACAAAGCAATTCAGTTCCAAGGAAACAGCGAGTAAACGCTATGCGGATACAACAGTTTTGATTGCAGAATTTTCTTCTCATCATCCTCTTCACCCTAGAGTTTTAAAAGCAATTTCGAGAATGAATTATTTGCATTCAGGATATCAAAAAGCGGGGAAGATTTCGAATGAGGATTTGCTTTATACATTGAGCGTTTTCATTACGGAGCCGATTAGTTGGATTGGGGATTGGGAGTGGAGAACACTGAATGAGATGGAGATTTGTGCAATTGCTACGTTCTGGAAAGGGATCGGTGATGCGATGGGCATTTCTTATCATGATCTTCGTCGTTTCAATGAATGGAGTGATGGGATTGAATTTTTCGAGGATATCAAGAAGTGGGCAGAAGATTATGAGAGAGAATTCATGGTTCCCAATGTGTATAACAAGAAAACGGCTGATGAATTGGTTCCACTTCTGTTGTTCCTTGTCCCAAAGGCACTACTACCCTTTGCGAGAGATGCAGTTGGGGTTCTTATGGGCCCTCTTCTTCGGTCCGCAATGATCTATCCGGAACCTTCGCGCCTCAATAAATCACTCACTATCTCTATACTACGCAGTCGTCAATTATTTCTCCGCTACCTATCACTCCCAAGACCAGAATGGATGAGAGTTAGACAAGTCTCGAAGTCGGATGATAAAGGGGTGGATGGGAGGTATCATAGTACCGATTATCTCGTGCATCCGTATTATCAACTCCCGGGTTTCTGGAATCGTTGGGGTCCGATGGCTTTGGTTACGAGACTTATGGGTGGATTTGTACCGGATAATAAGAGGAGCGATTGGTTTACAGAGGGGTATAGTTTTGAGGAGGTGGGGCCTGATAGGAGAAGAGGACAGGGTAGGGATGAGATGAGGGACACGGAAGAGAAATTGGAGAGGGAGAGAACTTCAGGGTGTCCTTTTGCTTTCGGAAAGTAAACTATGTGGGCTGGGCGTGTTATGAAGGTGTTTTTGTGAGTTTTGGACATAGAATCTTAGGGAGGGGAAGATTTTGAATCTTTCTCGAGATTATCCACGGTATATGTGATAAGAAAATGGAGTACATACGGAATTGGAGAAAAGAGAGGAACGGAGGCAGGCGGATTAGATAAACAATCTTGTCATTGACATCGTTTTTGAATATACCCATCGCATAATCGTGGTATTACTGCATCCCAGAAGAACTTCATAACCATGTCACGAGAAAATGTATAAAAATCACCGTGAAAAGTTGCACCCAAAGTCGCTATTTCTGAATTGCTGGTTGCTACATAAGATTGGGGTATCTACTATCTCGAGATTAAATCAAACTCCAAAAGAAATGGCTATCCTAAAACTGTGAACTATGTGCAAAAACTTGGGTATCTCAATTTTAAACCTCGCCCATGCCATACTCCATATCTCCCAATCCCCCACGTGCAAAGTCTACCTCAACTCCGTACTATTCCATGCTATGCTATCCCAGAAAATTTTAAATGCATAACCCTCGCCAATCATGCAATCCCTTCCAGACTGATGCCATATGCCAAAATGCTGTTCCCAAGATATCCCGATGACCCATATGCTGTAGATGAATGCTACAGAAAAGAAGAAGAAAGCGAGGAAGTGATCGAGTATACCAGAAAGACATAGAAGAGAAATCGGAGAACTATTAGGAGACACTGTCTCGTGGCGAAAGAAACAGTGCGGAAGATTTTGATGATGAACAGGCAACTTAGAATGTTGACTTATTTTCATCAAAAGCAGAAAGATCGTTTTCACCAAGGAAAAGCGAAGGCTTTGTGATGTCTATATCTTTGACACACTTCGCGATGAACGCTGGCTTCCAGCGATTGTTGAGCTGGCCAGGGAGAGCAAAGTCCAGGTCAAAGGACATCGTTTCCTCGGGACCTTTCGGTTTGTTGGCAAGTGCTATCTTTGTAAATGTTGCACCGCCAGCCCAGAGCTGGTTCTCGGAATCTTGAATCCGCAGAGCCAAGGCTTGAGGCATGTTCTCACAGACCCTCTCACCATATTTTTCTCCTTCCTTCAGGACGTATCTGCAAGTTGGTCCATCGGGATCGTAGTAATCTTCCTTGTTTAACCATCTATCGATCAGCTCATCTCTCGCGAGGTTAATCTGTCGGATGATGTTGGAACAGTGCACCATGTTTGCATCTTTTTGCATGATTGGAAGGGGCTCACTGTCCATGAAAGCGTCTGGATCATTGGTAAAACCTGGATGCGCATTGACATGATATCCAACCTCTCTGCTAGTGAATTCTTGAAAAGACAGAGCTAGTCCAGAGAGAGCGGGTCTGGCTTGGATAGGAGTGCGACTGAATTGATACTTAGGTTCAGTATCCTCATCAATCGTGACTAATTCCTGGGCTTCGGGGTTAGGGTCATTGTCTTTTTTATTTGATTCCCAGGCTTTGGTTTCAGCAGTATCGCTATCTTCATCCGTATCTGGAGATTCAAAGTCGGACTCGGTGTCGCCGCCATCTTCATCAGAATCCTTGGAATCGGACTCAGTGGCGTCACTATCCTCCGGAGCCTCCCATCCAGAATCAGGAGAATTGGCATAGTACTCAAAATCACTGACAATCTTAATGACTTTAGGATTCTCTTCTTCCAATCCCTCTCTGATGGTCTGTGTCATATCATGCTCCCCGCCCTCATCAACCGGCCATCCGTCCTCGTAGAAGTCTTGTAGCAGTTCGACTCCTTCTGGGACTTCCTCGAAATCAATATCTCCGGGAGAATCCTCAAGTCTGATGATTATCCAGGGTTCCCCATCAAGCATCTCGCGAGATTCTTCGTGAGGTGAATCAATAGGAAATTCAACTTGTCCAAACACAAAGGCTAAATCTTCACCGACCCCTTCCATTGTATCTTCGATGACGAAGTCACCGACGTTCTCGACATGATCATCAAGCAAAGATCCCTGGTCATCGTAAAATTGCCAGCTACCGTGATGCTTTGAAGCTAGGGAGCTATTCATGAACTCCTCAGGGGCTGGAACTGGAGATGACTGATTTGGCATAATTGAAGCTGGAGATGGTCCTCTCAGTGGTGACGCGCTATACAGATCACCTTCTTCTTCCTCGTATGCAAGATCAATGTCCGACACAGCGTGTGCTTCTAAGCTGAAACTTAAGCTCTGTGTTGGTTCAACACTGGTATCGCGTGTAGAGACTTGATCTTTGTTGTTGCCACCGAGTGAGCCGAGAGGTTCCATGGATTCTTCACTGTCTGATGTTTGGGCCGGAGCGATACCTTGATCAGTCGTTGTTTGCGCTCCAAAGAGCGATGTAAATCGGGATTTCCTTGGTTGAAGGGATGTCTCAATCATCTGTAGACCAAAGTGAGCCTGTGGAGCAGGATCTTCAGGAGTCTTCTCTACGACTGAGTCTTGAGCCGCCTCTGGCTCAGATTTAGGTTGCGTGGGGAAGAATTCTGTAAAGCGAGACTGTTTTGGTAGGACAGAGAAATCAATCATCTTCAAACCAAAATTGCCAACTGGAACAGGATTTTCAGAGGTATTTGGAACTACATCCTGTGATACCTCTGCCTTTTCGCAACCGTTTTCCTGTTGTGCTTTGAACACCTCAGCCCATCGAGATTGCTTTGGTTGCGCTTGTGTATTGATCAACGCGAGATCAAATTGAGCATTCGGAAGTTGTGGAGGTTTTGACTCCACATGCTGAGCTTCGTTACGAGCCAAAACCTCTTGAATGACGACGGAGTTCACCTTCACCACCGCAATCTCAGAATCCATAAGGCTCATCATTTCTCTTCTGGCTAGTTTTACCGATTGGGCGAACTGCAACGATGAATTGAGATCAGCGTAATGATCATCGGCAGGTTCCACTTGAGAAGCCTCTTGTTCTCGGGCTTGTTGCACACGGGCTTCTTGCTCATGAAGCGCTGTCTGCTCAACAGTACTTGCATTAGTCTCAGGCTCATGAACAGCGTAGTCACTACTCGGTTCATTGTCAAGTAGCAATTGCTCATCCCGAAGGTTCTTCCACGAAGTGTAGTAGGAATGTAGATCGAAGAAAAAGAGACGGCCGTCGACTTTAGAATGTTTACATTTTTCAGCCTGGCATCCATACCACCCACAGAAATTGTTGAAAGCGTACAGCTTACTCGCTAGATTTTCTTCAAGATGGATTACTGCTTTGAAGTTCATATCTAGCCAGAATAATCTTGTCTGGTAAAGTACCTCCAACTGAACCCAGCGTCTCTGAATTCCGTTCAGTTGGTGGTACGCATCTGGATCTGTCCATGGTGTTGGGAGCCAAGGGTCGTTACCTCTAAAATTGTCTATTCTTGTTGGAATCGGGTTGTGGGGACCCCAAGGAAAGCTGAGACCAGGAGGAGGAAAGACTGATCTGAATTGACTGTAGCGTGGAATTCTGTACATGCGTACAATTTCTTCCGCGTGAGTTTCACAAGGTTGATTGGCTTTTTGAGGTACAATCACCTCCTCAGTTTGTTCATCGACAACATCAGAACTATCCTGCTCCACAGGGAAAGTGTTTCGAAGCTCTGATAGGAAAGTTTTTCGGTTTGCGTGCTCCAATGAGAAACGCCCTCCAAGTTCTAACATGAAGGCTCCTTGTTCAAGTGAGTCTGGTTCGTTTGGAGAGAGCGACCCCGAGGCAGAGTCAGAAGCAATTGGACTAACAACGTGGGCATAAGTAATCTCTGATTCCGAAATTGGAAGAGAAGCCCCTCTTTCCGGATCATTAAGTGGTGCATCAATCATCGGAACAGCAGGCTCCACAAAAACAGAAGGATATATATTGAGTTTAGGCTCAATGTACATGTCAGAGTCATCATGATCAATGTAATTGTTGGGATCATTGAACATTGCCTCGTTCTCCGCATCAGAAGGTGTTAGACTGGCACGCCTCCTCGTTGGATAATGTGAGTCTGGCGAAACTAGATTTCCAGGTGCCGAATTGCGACGTTGACGGACCACATCTTCAGTATATTCATCCTCATTCCATGCTCGTTCCTCTGGCTGAGGGGCAGTGAAGATCCTACCACAAAAGCTGCGCGCCTTATGTGGAACTGTGGTAGCTGGAGCGAACCGACCATTCAAATGGTACCCATCAATATGGTCTGGGAACGCAACAGGATTTTCCTCTGAGAATACGCCAACTTCCTCATTCGAGGTGATCGATTCATCCTGGATGGCAGAACCATCGATGTTATTGATAGATCCCTCATATGATTGAATTGAAGCTTCAATACTTGGTGAAACTTCGGCTGAGGGCATCTGGATCGAACCAGGAGTTGAGGTATCGCTTCCGATTTGTTCGGTTACTTCTGGTTCGGATAGCACCTGTAAAACACCATTTTCATTTGGTGTAGCCAATGGTTCGAAAACCAAATGAAAATTTTCTGGAACATCGATAGATAATTCAGTTGTAACCACAGCCAAAACATTATCCTCCGTGTTTTCATTGAAGATTGGAGCAGCATATTCTGCGGCATCTGCTCCATTATTCACAGTCTCAACTGTAGGATCTGTATTGAACAATGGAACATTAGTATTTGTCTTCTCACAAGCGAGGGGAATTCTGGTCAGCTTACCTTGGCTATCAATAACATCATCATTGTCAAAGATAGCAGGATCAGCGGCTTCTACTACCTCAACTGATTGATCATTGATATCGTTCAAGGCGCCGTCAGGAACCGACTTGATTGCAGGAGTGGGCGGTTCCGATGGAAGCGCAGCGAGCTCTGCATCTTCCACGCCCTCGACGAATTGATTACCAACGACAGTCGCCATGGAAACTGGCAACACATTCTGTGCAGATGAAGGACCGGTGAGTCCATCTTCAATCTGATAGCGATTCGTATTCTCTGCGCCAGCATGGTCAGGGACTTGCTCAAATGTCTCGACTCTGTGATTACTTGTCGAGGAAGGATTTGAAGAACCGACGAGTGTTTCTGATTCGGGTGCTGATTCTGATGAGTTATATTAGTACCTTGCGTCATGAATGCTTGAATTTCAGGGATTTGCTTACCAGTGGAATATCTTCTAGATTTGCTACCGGTCAAGAATTCAACGAGATTCTTGACTCTTTTCTTGGTGGAGTTGGTAGTTTTGCTAGGATATTGGCTCTTGGTGAGCTTCCTAGACTTCGTGGTGTTTTTTTGTTTTGCGACCTTCTTGTCCTTGGTGGAGAAAATGCGAGCGACCGAGTGGAAGGCCTTTCTGAAACCCATTGTTGTGGTAAGCACAATGTGCAAGGTTGAATTGATTTGTGGTATATAGTGGGTATTCTGTGCAAATGTATGTGATGGGAAGATACCAGCGAGTAGACGATACTAGCCGGAAGAAGATGATTAACTAGTAGATTAGAAGTCGATGATCGATACAAGATATTATTTGTATTGGGAAATGTGAACTGCGTGAGAGTAGCAGTTGTAGTTGCTTTGTGATTACTTTGCTTTCGTAAAGTACTGTGTCAAGACAAAGTTAAAGGGGATTAGGATGAAGAAGAAGAATACCTAAATAGTAGAATAGAGCAACCGTTCCAAGTCTCCAAAGACGTTAACATGTTTGCGTTTGATACAATACCGTACTGACTGCTTATGATTGAATGAATGACTTGGTTGAGTGGCACAAATGATTGCGATGGAAGAAGGTCTGCCGTAGCTATTCCATAGAAACCAAAGATGTTCGGTACGGTCCTCATAATACAGCATTGGTTCAGCCAGTTGATGGATGGCATATGGACATGAGATCGATGGTACGCACACGTCTTGTGTATCTAGTCCGGCTCCAAGGTCAATGAAAACGATGGATCTCACACATTTTTGAGGAATTCTCAGCTCTATCGAGTTTCATGTTGAACACCACCGTTCCACGTTTGAAATTTATCCCTTCCACATGACATTACGGTAAAATAATACATAGTGTACAGCATACAATATTCCACTTGACTTCAAGCTAGGCATACAGTTGTACTCTGGTAGACTTTAGGGCTCAGCATGGCTGTTGTAAAGATTGACTTGAACTCGTCATTTCCCAACGGCTCAGCTACTCAGAATGTGATACTCCTCATCCCGCGCATTTCGTTTCCATCTAATTCCGTTGACTAGCCAGCATCTATTGACAAGCCCCGACGACAACGCAAGTCACTTCAAGATAAGACGTATATTCATAGCCATTCCTGTTCTCATCGAGCAACGACAACAACCGAATGGTTGACCTGTTCTTCAAGATGTGTTTGCTCTATAGACAGGTGAAGCTAATTCTCACGATCATGAACTATCATCTTGACGTTCCCCTGCGGTACGGATCACCCTCTTAGTGGCATTTTGTACACTTATTTTCGCAGCCCTCTCAATCATAGTCAATCATAGTTACAATATTTATTATCACTATTTGGCGAGCCTGTGGAACCTTTCACTCACGATACATATCGATCCGAAGAACCTTCTATCTGCCGCAATGCCCAGACTCGATCAACAAAGTACTGACAGCCATACCGAGAATGCGGAGCAAAGGAAATGTGTAGTAGTCTCGCCCTCACGCGCGGGTTTTGGGATGCTTTCGGCGATCTTGACGGTGCATAATTGGAAAACTAGAGCGGTCTCAGGGGAACTTTTTTTGTTCAATACGTCCAATATGAAAGATGAATGGATAGGGAATCTTTGTATCATCATCATTTGCAAATGGGGAAGCACTTGAAGAATAAGTGGAAAGCACATTTTATCGCGCACGCTGCACTTCGCAAGGGGCTAACCCTTTATTGCACGATGCTATCCGACTAACAATGGTGACAAGTAGCTATGAAAGCTCGAATAATCTAAGGGAAACTGGGCCCCACTGCATGCTGGGTAACAAAGGGTTGATGCGCTACATCTTTCACTGTTGTTATGCTCCACTTTTATCATGCCGAACTATCAGTATCGAAAGTATGATAAAGTAAATGGGGAAAAAGTCGAAGGACAAGGACTCAATACATCCATCATGCTTCATGAACATTCATGGTTTAGCAGAAAGTTTGGATCTTCTTCTATCCAACAATGCAAAAGAAAAGGCACAAGAACTTAGTAGCCATGATCTAGAAGTCTCGATCATTTGAAGCTGTCCTGGAGTAGGCACATCAATGCAGAAGACTACATTTTCAGAGCTCAAATCCCAACTACTATCGAGCTCTCTGCAGGCTACCAGCATAGCAAAGGGGAAAAGTGAGTCGTCAGAGAACGACTCATGTACACTTATTCTAGAAGAACACTTCCCTTCATCATCGTGAGATCTCGAGTTTCAGGTGAAGAGCAAGTTGCTTAACTTTTATGGCATTTTTGGAAAAATACAGCCGGTAAATGTCATAGATCTTGAAGAAGTTATGGTAAGAGAGATGTCTTCGAAGATTCTCCAGATAACTCGCTCCGTGCCCATTCGCTTTGTTTGCTTGACTGCATTGTCTCGAAATATACTACTTGAGAAGTGAAAACAGGAGGAGGTTTGGGAAGGAAGTGAATCTCAGAATTCATTGGTAATCTTTAGACAGATGGCTAGATGTAGCGCAGATGAGAATATGATTTGCTCCATCAGATAACATCAGCCAAAATTATTAAATCAAACATTCTCAGCGAGTGACTTCTGACGGGTGAAGCATGTGGTCTTGGTGGTGAGATGAGAATGAGGTTGTCCGCAGCTCCCTAGTTTATCGTGCACGGTCCTTCCTCAATCTCACAGCAAGCTCGAAGCTCCCAAACCCCCAGCATAAAGAGCAACTTATTAAAACAATCCAAGAAACTCTACGACGACGAGGTAATACAATCGAGTTATTCAACTGGAGCGCAACTGGGTTTCTCTTGATCCCACTCTCTCCGATACCACCCACCACTTCTATCGAGTAGCAATCCCTCGGAAGTTCAAACCATGTCTGTTCCTACCAAATACATATTGGTATCTTTACCAACATCTATCTCTCAATCCAGCGATAAAGAAGAAGCTCTAACAGCTCTCCGGTCTACAATCTCCGCTGATAATGGCACTACGATACCATTCAAGATTCCTGAATTCAAAATCGGTACACTAGATGCATTGGTTGGGCAAGCAGATGATCTTGCTAAGTTGGAAAGCGCTTGTCAAGGTGTTGTAGCAAAAGTTGGAGAATCTCTTCGCAATTTATTGGAAGGAGATGAGGGCAAGATTGCACAACAGAAGACTGTGAATGACAGTAAGTCTGGTGATCTGCGAGCTTGTGATTACGATCATGGGCTAATAGTTTGATTATAGAACCGGCGGATCAATACCTACGCACTTTCGCATGGAACAAAGTCAAATATCGTGCCGACAAACCACTCGCAGAGTTAATCGATTCGTTACAAAAAGTTGGTATTGATTTACAAGGAGAGCTAAAGCATTGCTGATGACATGTAGGAACTTGTCAGTATCGATAATGATGTTAAGGGCAAAATGAACCAATATAACCAAGTCAAGACGAATCTTACAACATTACAACGAAAACAAACGTAAGAGCTCAAAATCTGTAAATAATGCAAAAGGCTAACAATGCGAAGAGGAAATCTTTCTACGAAATCCCTTACTCCAGTCGTCGATCCCAAATTACTGGTACAAGATTCCGAATACCTCGAAACTCACCTTGTCGTTGTTCCAACAAATGTTAAGAAGGATTTCCTTAAGACTTATGAAACCATATCGCCCATGGTTGTTCCAAGATCCTCCGTGGAAGTAACCCATGACGACGAGTTCACATTATTTGCGGTTACAACCTTTAAAAAGCATAGCGCAGATTTCCAACACAAATGTAGAGAAAATAAATGGACACCCCGTGATTACAAATACGTAGAGGGTGGAAAGGAGGTGGAAAGAAAGGAGGCCGAGAAAGTAGAGAAGGATGAGCGCAAGGTATGGGGTGAAGCTCTAAGACTTGGTAGAACTGGTTGGAGTGAAGCCGTCATGATCTGGATACATGTCTTAACCTTGAGGGTATTCGTTGAGACAGTCCTGAGATATGGATTACCTCTGGATTTCGTCTGTGGTTTGGTTAAGGTATGCGCATTTAGCCCAAGTTTTGTCAAGTTTTACTAATTCATTTCAGTCAAACCCCAAAGGAGCCAAGAAAGCGAAAGCGGCACTTGATTCGACATATGGTTACCTCGGAGGTAATGCTTTCGGTCGAGACAAGAAAGGAAAGGCTTTGAAAGATGATTCGACTTTATCTTCCGAAATAGCTGCAGCGGGAGTTGGTGGAGGAGAAGGCAATGAGTACACGGCCTATGTCTATTACGAATTCGAAATCATATAGATAGTATTGGAGGGATTATAAGAGTATGGCAATTGAAAGTTGGCGCATGGAAATGGGGACATATTTGTTGAAGCATGCATTTGTATTATTGTATCGTAGTAAGAGATATCAACAAAGCAATTGTTTTCAGATCGATCAATGTTTTATTCATTGAATTCTATAATGTCTAGCATTTTTGATGAAATAATCCTTTTCAATCGCTTGCAATGTCTTGCCCAAGGTATCTAAATTTACAATTTCAACAACTTCTCCTTCTCCAAATACTCCACAATCTTCTGCACACACTCCTCCACACTCAGCTTATCCGTCCTCAAATGAATCTCTGCCTTTTCGGGCTCCTCGTATGGCGCACTAATACCAGTGAAGTCCTTAATCTCACCCGCTCTAGCCTTCTTATACAATCCCTTTGGATCTCTCTTCTCTGCCTCCTCAACAGGAATATCAATGAAAACCTCAATGAAAGGAATAGCCTCATCCCCATTGGCGGCCTTTTCATGCAATTCTCTGGCAACAGCTCGGTCTGCCTTGTAGGGGGAGATAAACGATGTTAAAGCGATAGTACAACTATCTGCGAACAACTTTGCGACTTCGGCAATACGACGAATGTTCTCGTTGCGGGACTTCTCGTCGAATCCGAGATCCTTGTTGAGTCCAAAGCGGACATTGTCGCCGTCGAGACGATATGCGGCATGTCCGAGATGGAGAAGATGTTGCTCGAGAGCTGTGGCAATGGTGGATTTTCCAGAGGCAGAAAGCCCGGTAAACCAGATTGTGAAGCCGCGTTGTTTGCGGAGGGTGGTGCGCTCAGCGCGAGTGAGGGAGGGGTGCCAAGTGATATTTCTGAGGGGGGTTAGTATTATTTATCTTTGGTTGTTTCTGCTTCCCATTGGAACTCGGGGCAAGGATATAATTAAAAAAATTAACCGCAAAAAGGGAGAACATACGTAGACATTTTGAAGATTTGTATGAGAAAATTGAGAGTATTTTTTTTCGAAAAAGTTGTGAGCATTAAAGAAATAGAGAGAGAAGAGCAATCACGCAATCACGCAATCGAAATTCAATGGATTACCGTCGTTAACAAGTCGAATGTCTCCCCTTATTAACCCGCTACTGATGCACTATAAAAATCTGCCCCGCACTACCATAAAGTTGGCAAACGCGTAATATGTTTCTGAATGGTGGGGAATTCAGGATCACGTGGTAATTATTTTGCGAGCATCTTTCAGGGGGAAGTAATTTATCTCCTGCATTTGTTACATGTTGGTATGGCTGGACGCTGGACGCTGGAGAGAGGAACAGTTTTGTCTAAGATATGGAAGTTTGAAGATCGGAAATTGGTACTAATATAAGATAAGGCCATGAGTCTAATATCTTTCTGTATGAGCAAGGTGCTAGGTAAATCTACGAGTAAAATCTAAACCTCACGCTTCTTGTCTAATCATATATACGTCTAGAACACTGAATGTGCATCCTTTCTCTATACTTAACAACATCGGTCCCCTCCGACCTTCAACTAATGAGACATCCTCTATAACAGTCTATGAGACCGGGTATATCCTAGCCATCATCTGAAAATTAATTAGTATCAATCGTAACATTATCCAAACTTTCTAACTCACCTTGGCCTGTCTAGGTTCAATAAACAATGCATTTGCCTCACATAAGACTTTCGGTTTCTCTCCCTCCCCAACTAAAGTCTCAATTCTTCCTTCAACCCAAGCCTTTCTGCCCTCAACTTTCGTAGTCTCCGCCCTCAACACTACAAAAGTTCCCGCCGCTGTAGGAGCTTTATAATTGACTGTCAGAGTAGCCGTCATACCAATCTTATTCGGTAGTGCACCAAAACAACATCGTGCTAGCCCCTCGTCTAACATCGTGGCTAGAAATCCTCCATGTATGATTTTCGGATGTCCACAAAGATCTTCTCCTAGGAATGAGATTGATACAAGAGATTTTCCGCCTGCTTCAGTCCATACATATGGTGGTACTTGAACACGTCCCGGGCCCATCAATGTTCCACCTGTAAGATTATGTCCTCGCTGTGATTCTGGGATTTTCATATGTGGTCTTGATTCTGTGAATTCGGGTCGGCTTCGTAGTTCCTTCACAATTGGATGATTATTTATATAGGCTTCCACTTCTATAGATTTCGCATCGGTTGGTGTGTATAATTTAAGGGACTCCTCATCAGATGGGGGATCAAGTATGGCATTGGCGGCTTTGAAGGCTGGATATGCAGCTATTGAGAAGCCTACAGATGTGAACACAATAGCGATTCCAAAGAAAGTGAGAGTTCGTAAGAGTAATGAGGGTTGTGGAGGTGGAGGCGGGGGAATAGTAGCTTTGTGAGGTTAGCTAGAGCTTGGAGAGAGGGATTGGGAAGAACTTACTTTCAGCATTGCATAATCGACGAGCTGCGGTAAATGTTCGAGAAGAATTCAGAGGAGATGAGTTTCTTAAAGCTGTTCCACGATATTGTACAAGTCCTGAACTGCGAGTTACGGCTCTGCATATACCAGCTCGAGGCTGTAAAATTTGGCGAGAGAAAGACATTTCAAATTGTGCTTTTTTCAAGCTACGATCTTTGCATGCTGATATATAAAAGAGATGGGCAAATCTATGTAGAAGCTCTTTACACTAAACGCCAACTAATAAAATAATTCGTGCGTGGTGTATTTTCTGATAACTATCGCAATTGATGGACAACCAAGCCGAGGATAATGACTTCCCGGCCGGCCCATGAAAAGTCGGTGAAATATTCTGCCGAGATCTTATCTTATCTTATCCTATGAGATCAACTAGGCATCGTGAGCTAACAAACTAGACTAGACTAGACTAGCAAATTAGGTACGTATTGATACATTTTGTACCTGCTTCAGTATGGATCGATGTTATTATACAAAGCCCTAAACCAGGGGCTGTAGTTAGCAACTTTGATCCCACAGATGTGAACGGATACCGTGGTAGAAATCTAACACATCTTTATTTATTAAACCACCAAACAACGACGTCACCTTCTGGAAGTTCTGGTCATTAATCACTTCAAACCTTTAGTTCTATATAATACTTGCTCTGTATTCGACTATAGTCACCCAATAACCATCATCACGTGTCTTGGGACATTGACAGCCATAGAAAAGTATAGCCAAGGAAGTCAAAAGTCAACACCTGTTTTTAAGTGATGCATAATGATCCACATGAAAGCCCCTCATTTTATGCAGTTACAACTACCCCTGTTTGACCTCAGCCCATTCACTTATAAGACGAGAACATCCATCATGAATTGATCTCTCCGTCTGAACATATTCACCCAAATCTCGTAATATTAAATAGTCCTTACTTTCACTCCAACTATTATTTATCTTCTGCATCTTGCACAACCACTTTCTCGAGCACAAACAAAAAAAGCAAGTCAAACAACACTATTCGTACATTCATCATGGCAACCGCAGAGACTGTCCAACTTGGAGATATCCATGCGCCAAAAGAAGATAGCATCATTGCCTTTGAGAAAATCGAGACAGAACTCAAGAAGAAACTTCAACATCTCCGCCATGAAACCAATAGTTTGTCTCCCTTCTTTTCTCCTCTTCTCTTCCTGTAAACTTCTCCAACCCCATCACTAACCCGCTCCCCCATAGAACACGAGCCCCAATACTTCGCTCCCATCTCCCACCTCTCAGACCACACCCTTACCTCGTTCACTTCCTCTGCCCTCACCTCCGTCCGCGTAGCCACTAGTGCCTATGGACTTCACCTCCTCGGCAAAGTTCTCATTCCCGAGACCGAAGATAAATATATCATGTTCCGAGCTTTCATTCCAGGAGACTCGGATACCGCTACTCTTCATTGTATACACATGGAAGAAACGGATGTTGGAGGTGAGGAGGGAAAGTTCTTCAGAGCAATATTTGGAGAGGAGGATGAGTTGAAGTGGTTTGATGAATAGATCTTCAGTGCAGGAAGGGTAGAACGAGGGAACGGATGGAGTTGATAAGGTATGGGGTTGTTGATGATTGTGGTTTGGCCATAGGAAGTCATGGGCACTTGAACAGGAAAATGAGCAATGGTATCTGGAATCAGGATATTTCAATCAACTACCATGCATCCTGAATTTGTGATTTGAAATGGGTATAACTTCTTGAATTTACCTCGAGATATCCATACTGACTACCTGCAAACGTTTTTACAAAACAGCACAATTTTGTGCAAGTATTTTCCTTGTCCCCATCTCCAATATTACTACTTTATCTTCCCTTTCCAGTTTCCATACCAATATCCTCATCTCCGTCATCTTTGTCCAACATAGCCGCATAATCCTCCGCACTGGCGAATGTTGGAAGATTCTTAAGTCTCCTCTTCTTACTTCTGCTAGTCTCTTTCTTCTCTTCTTCCGCTTCGGGACTCTTTGCTCTCTGTAATTCAGCTTCGAATAATGCATCCATATCTGATCCTGCTTCATCATCACTGTCCTTGAGGTCATCTTCTTCTTCTGAGAAGATGCCCTCTCCATCATCTTCCTCAGCATCTTGCATATCCTCATCTTCTCCTTCAACATCGACTTCTTCATCCGATCCCTCAATATCAACACCGCCTTCAGAATCATCCTCGGACATGTCAAAGTCATCCATATCCAAATCATCATCATCAGACTCTGGACCCTCGATATCTGGCTTACTTTCAACCAAAGCTTGCCAAATTTCATCCTCATCTTCATCCTCATCATCTTCTCCATCTTCACCCTTTTTCTTCTCCTTCTTCTTAGATGCATCCTTACCCTTACCAATTTGGTTGAAGTATTTATGGAAGAAGACTTCATCAACTGCAACGTCCTCAGCCTTCTTTCTCCAGAATGCTTCCGAGTTGACAGATTGTTGGACCTTAGTACCACGATTGGATACAAGGATACCTTGACTTGCCCCACCAGCAAGAGGTTGCATAAGAGAACTTCCCTTTGGTGCTCCAGCTGCTGCTTTTGCGTTTCTGTAGACAAAACGATCTAAGAAATGGGTTAAGGAGTGGGAAGCGAGATCAGGTTTAGGTGGCATTTTTTCGTCATTAATAAGGCGGTCAACAAATAGAGATACAGATGGATGGAAATGTCTCAAGAAAGGAATCTAATATTATTAGCAAAGCTCCCTCATTCACTAGAACGCAACTCACAATTTCCCATAAACAACTCTTGTCAGCATTGCTATGTTCAGGATCTCTCTTCTTTCCATCATATGTGTCTGTTCTAGATTTCGATGGAGCTGTTGTAGCTTGAATATCTGCAGTTTCTCCATCCTCTGGCACATCTCGATATACCTCTTCTTCCTCTTCATCATTTGCTTCAGGAGTATTGAGCAGAGTCTTAAGTCCAGGGAATGTGACTTCTAACTCTCTCAACAAATAGATGATACCACAAATGAATGGAGGTTGATGAAGAGTAACAACTTGTAACATTCTCTTCGCAAAAGCCTTCACACGCTTGATATTGACATCTGATTTCAAAGCCCTATAAAGCAAATTGAGATACAGTGCATGTTTCGAAGAAGTGATTAGACGAGGATCGAGCAAGGATTCGTAGAGAGTTCTGTAGAATCTGTCGACAGCAAGGTGCTTTGTTGTTGATAGTTGCTCAATCAACATCAAAGCTTGAATACTGGTGTTGAAATTGGATGAATGGGTAATTCGGAACAAAGTATCCATATGTTTCTCAAGGCTAAATCTAGTCAGTATTGTCCTCGGCCAATATAATTCTTTGAACTTACGTTAAATCATCAGTCTTTGTGAATGGGAATGCACGATTAACACCGGTCAGAACAGCAGAGATCATCTTCTCTGTTGTCTCCTCACTTGCTTGCTTTGCTTCCTCCTCTGCTGTCAACTTTTCCTTCGCCTTCTTTCCCATAGCGCCTCCACCTCCTTGGATCTCTCCTTTCTTATTGAGTTTAGGACCTGTAGGTTTGATAACTTCGGGCTTTTTAAGAAGAGATACGAAAAGACCAAAGTATATGCTCAAAAGCTTCTTCGCAACAACTTCCTCCTTCGAACTGAGAATCGTTTGATTAAGAGTATTGATGGCGTAATATTTAGCGTGGGAACTCTGTCCAGGTCTCAATATAAGTTCGTTCTCGATTGAGTTGATAATGATCTCCTTCATTGCGGGATGAGAGGTTTGAAGTTGCATCAGGAGATATGATGATCGTGAAGCAATCTTTTTGTCTGGGTCTCCAAGTTTGTTGACCAAGAGTCGAAGTAAATTGGATTCTTGTTCTGGCTTATCCTTTAATAGTTCGTAGACGTACATAACAGCTCTTGAACGAGCATATTCTACCTCGTCGCTACACCAAACTTCCAGAATCTTGAGCATATCAAAATATGACTCCTTGAGCCAATCTTCATATGCCCATGAAATGAGATGTGCTTTGGTCATATTTCCTGGTAGAGGTTGTCCGGATTTCCAAACACCAGTATCGCTTTCTTGCAATGTACCGAGAAGCCCAGGCTGTGAAGCAAATGTACGAAGACGTCTGTCTGCAGGAAGCACGACACCAGCTCCGAGCAAATCCTTCATAGCTCCCAGTGCTGTAACGGCTTGTCCTCTACTTCTTTTCTTTGCCAGATCCAATAAACTTTCGAATGATCTTGTGGTATGAACTGGGGATTCTTGAACAACCAAAGTTAAAGCGGAAATCTTATCGGATAATGTACCAGAGGACATGATCGTAGCAAGGAAACGATGTGAAGAAGTCGCAGAAAGATGTTTCGAGGCATATAAAGTACTGTCGGCTTCAAGAAGAGCTTTGGCATATTCGTTTAGGTTATTGATCGACGATCGGTATGGTCCTGTCTCGCTGAAGTCTCCCACCGGAAGGACGGGGAGTTCTGCTGCATGCCAGTCTGGTCGCGCTTCAAAATTCTATAATCGGTCAGTGGACTCAAAATAAAGGTAAGAAGCTACAAACCAGGCGGTTCTGATCCTTCATAGATTCTTTGACTTGAATGGCCGCGGGTTTCTCTGCCACTTTGGAAGTCTTTGAAGATTCTTTGGCTTTAGTCACACTTTTCTCGGGAACTTTGGGTGCCTCTTCTGGTTCACTGGATTCCGATTCCGATTGTAAGGCCTCGTCCCGCCAATCATCAGCATCTACCTCTTCATCCTCCTCATCTGCTTCCGCTTCTGGAGCTTGTCCTTCGATTCCAAGACCTGCTACAAATTTGGCAAACTCATTCTTAAAGTCCTTGTCTGTGGATTTGGTTGCTGGTTTTGCTTCGTTCTCTGAATCGGATTGTGCATCGAGTACAAGATCTAAATCTTCCTCTGTTCCTCCCAATGCCAATATTTCTTGTAACAAAACTTCTTTTTCATTTCCTCCTGATTTTGGCGCTTTGTTAACTGGACGATCTTGATCCTCTTTGTTGGTGTCGCGCTTTCTTTTTTTGTTATTTGACACCATTTTGTACAATAAAAGTAATTCAATTGAAATGATGATGGTGAAAATATCGAGGGGTGTTCAAATTATTTCTTATTAAAGTTGCGACATTCTTATTAGAAGTTCTTGATTAGAAAAAAAGTTTATTTCACCGCCTTTTATTCTGCCACTGACCGTCGGGACAAAGATTTTCCGATGCTAGAAAAGCTTCATCCTCCATTATTTGTTGTAAGTCGGAACTTTTCATTGGCTTGGTGATATGAGGGCCAATGTGAACAAAAAGGCAACCCGAAAGATATCCATGATAAGAATGAAAACATAGTCTTTCTGCTTTTTTCACATCCCAATAGTTCATTCGAACTTGTTTGTTCTGAACGTAGGACGCAGAACCAGGAAGTACTCCAAGATGCATTCCCTCCAAAGTATTTCGCGGTTTGGAGGATCTGTAACAAACACTTGGGGCTTGTGGCGCCGTGCAACGAGTTCACCACGGCCTCCTAGGCTTTCATATACTCAAACGCAATCACATTTTTCTACATTTGTAGGTTCAGATTTATCACGAAAACAACTTTTAATCACGTGGGCATATCATTGATTAATTGATATGGTAGAATGATGACAGGGCAAGATTATCCAAGTTCTGGGTACCTACTGGTGGTATAGCTGCAAGCGCAGATGAAGGTAAAATTCAAACTAGATATGTTCATCGAAATTGGGAAAACTGATTCGGGATAGATTCTCATGCTAAACTTATTCGAGGGGGGTTCTTACGTCAGGTGCGTTGTCAAGTCATTCCTCTTCACTCATAAGGGCATGCTCACACACAGCATGGCTAGGCTCACACGGGTATCTTTCACATGTTACCGCTAGGAAGAAGAGTACAGGATAAGTTGGAAGCACTTATTGATAAACATATGTCAACATTGGGTTAGCAAATCTGTCCCCTCAAATTGCTTTCACCATTCATGCTAATATTAATGTCTTCTGAAAGGCGCATCGAAACTTGCTTTGTCGTCTCTGTCGTCTGAAGAGCTCTGGACTAAAAGTGGTCGATTGAATTCTAGTTCTGAGGTATTTCCCATCAAATCATTTCATTGCTATGATTTTAACACTATCAGCTCTTCCGATTGGAAGACCGAAAGGAGGCGAGGTATCTTCTTGCTCCTACACATGAGGAAGAAATCACGGAATTGGTTTCAAACTCGGTCCAATCATACAAAGAACTTCCTGTTCGTTTATACCAGATTAGTTTGTTCAAACCTGCCATCTTTTTTGTTCTTTGCTCATTCATATATAGCTCGAAAGTATCGTGATGAGCTCCGACCGAGACAAGGACTTCTCCGTTCTCGAGAATTTGTCATGAAAGATCTTTATACGTTTGATTACAATAACATTTCCGCTCTGTCAACTTACGAAAGTGTTCGTAAAGCATATCATAATCTTTTCGATGAATTGAAAGTTCCATATCTTGTAGCCGAAGCCGATTCAGGGGACATAGGTGGTGACCTCAGTCATGAATTTCACTTTCCAACTAAGATCGGAGAAGACAATATCATCAGTTGCAGTAAATGCAATTATGTGGCAAATGAGGAGTTAGCAGAAAGTGGGTTGCCAAAATCGAATGAGACCGAGAGTTTGAAGAATAAGTTTAAAACCATGAAGAAGGTTGGTGGATTCTCTCGTGATGGATCTACCCTCATTGTTACTTGGTTTTATTCTGAAAACGGAGAGGAGTACGACGTGAACACAAGTTCAATCAAAAGACTTGTACATGACTATGACCCTTCGAGAAAAATAGGACATGTGGAATTGTCGCAACTCATCAGTGAGGATTTTATACTCACGAATACACGTCTCAATGAAGAAGATGAAAATCATATCACCCATGTTATTAATCTTATTGATGGACGAGTCCCTCTTGAATTTTCGGAGGCAATTTCACGGAAACGAGAGGGGTACTTTGATTCGTCTTTAAATGAGTATAAAAATTCGTCGCTCGCCCTGGATCCATCTACTGGGGAACCGCTGAATTTGAAGCGTATTACGGAGGGCGATGTTTGTCCCAAATGTCAAGAACCGACACTGAAAGTCGAAAAGGCCATCGAACTTGGACATACTTTCCACTTGGGTACACGATATAGTAAGCCGATGGAAGCAACTGTTACTGTACCTTCTGGCCTTGTGGAGACAAATCTCGAAGTTGAAGAGAAGGAAACTCAGCAAGGAGGAAATAATCAGATACGGGTTCCTATGGAAATGGGATGTCATGGTATTGGTGTAACGAGAATGATTGGAGCCGTGGCAGAAACTCTAGCTGACGAAAAAGGTTTGAATTGGCCGAGAGTTATGGCTCCTTTCGAAATTGTTGTGGTCCCTGGAAAGGGATTGAATGAAGATGCATTGCAGATATTTGATACCCTTTCTGCTGCTGAAATGGATCCAGTAGTTGATGATCGAGAGGTATCGATTGGCTGGAAAATGAAGGATGCTGATCTGATTGGTTATCCGGTCATTGTTTTGCTGGGTAGGAAGTGGAAGGAAGGTCTATGTGAGGTCCAGTGTAGACGAATGAATGTCAAGGAGGATGTCAGGATCGAGGACTTAAAGAACTTTGTTGGGAAGCTATTGAATCAGCTTTGAGTCAAAGAGGTGTAGTGTACTATAAACTGTGATATATCTCACTAAAAGGTGTCAATTATCGTCAAGGGCTGATGGAATACTGCCAAATAAAAGGATTTTTTTTCAACTTTGATTTTTCATGTACTCATATTTTGGACGAGAGTCGGATTTGGTGGCAATTCAAGCACTTGAGTTATTGCTGAGCAGTGCTTTGGACTTCTCTTTAACTAGGTATCTATGTGTATGCATCAATCTTTGAAACAATCTCAGTTCACTAGACTAGCCCGATCAACGCAATACAGGTAGCTAGGCGGCTACTCATTCAAGCACCGATTTCGGCACGCGACTCCCTTTTCTGATTTTCTCCGCATTCTGAGGCATGTGGATCATGTTGTAGTGAATTTCAAAGACCGCAGTTGAAACTCAAAATTACGTGCTTTTCTATACCACAAGCTATTCACTCATCCGCTATCGCAACCTGAATTTACCTTTCACTTCAAAGGATTCGCAAGTTTTTGCTCCATGTACGATCAAATACCACCACCATCACACGCAGCCTTCTCAACTTTCCTCTCAGTCTTATTCAGCAGAGGAGCAACCCTTCCCAAAGCAATAGTTGCGTCGAATTACAAGTAACCTTGCCAGCTCTCTCCTCAACAAAATGTCTTCACCCCCACGCAAACTCACACTCAAAGTTCTCGGACAGTTCGACCAAGGCAAAGAAGCAGGCAAACAAGCATATCGTGAGGTTAGAGTAGAGGCACTGTTTGAATTCCAGCACACGGAAGAGTACCGCAAAGGTTATGAAGCAGGTGTAAAAGCAGAAGAGAATCTCGGAATTCCCGGCACCGAAGAATGGACAGCTGATAGGATCGCCAAAGAGGCCAAGAAAGCCAAGGAGCTCGAGCTATTCAAAAGAATCGCAGAGAGAAAAGCGAAAGAAGCTAGAAGAATCAAGGAAGCAATTGAGACTGCTCATCGCGATGCTGTTATGTTTCATAGGGAGTTTGGTGAGTCTTTTCGCAGATATGATTAGGCTGAAATGACGGCTCAAGGACAATTGGCTCATTTATTACACTGAATATAGATAAATCACAAGGAGTATCGGAAGAGGAATTGAATCAAAATTTTGGATGGATATGACCTTTGCAGATACGGGAGGAATTTTAGAAATTCATGGGCCTCGTGCGCAACTGGATAAGGATGGTCAGATTCAGGGCGGGCTTGAGCGGAAAAGTACGTATCTATCTCGCTTGCTTAAATTCAGTAGGAGAATAGCTAATATTTGATAGTCTAGATATATGAAGTAATCATCACTGACAAGCGGCTAAATTTGGGGCTGGGAAGACAAAAGTTTGCCGATTTAATAATTCCGCGGGTCGGAAAATTTGCCACAGAGCTACGAATGGAAAGGAACAGTATGACAATTGATCAATCGATAGAAGATAAATAGCTTCGGCCCAATGAAAAGCAATCCAAGTCAACCTGATTAGCGCAATAATGTTTTGAATGCCTTTCCTGCATTATTACCGTGGATTGCCAACGACTTCTTGCGTCGTTTGTAGGCACGTTGAGAACCCCTCGACCAAATTCTTCAAATTTGCAAATATTTCTGTTAAACTACTCTCCACTTCAAATCTCATGCTCATGACAGGGTTCTTATTCTCTTTGGGGATAGTCAGTCTTGAGTAGTGCAACAAAGCTCACTCGTATTGGAGGAATTGAGTGGTAAAGCACTTGAGATCCAGTTTCCCCATAACACGTAGGCGCTTGTCAATGAATTTTTGCGAGTTATTCTTGCCTTCGGAGCTTGCCGTTCTAAGGCTCAGAGTGACGTTGATGTTTGTATTGCTTGAGATTTCAACCGTTTGAAGGTGGTTTAGACATCCCGTAACAATGAATACTAGGTAAGACCGACGAGGACGTGTAGACCACACTCTCCATATCTCTATAAGAAGCTAGTTTCACTCAAGTATTCTGAATAGCCCGAAATATTCCTGCCAGACTTGCTTGTGCCCCTCTACTTCACTAATTCCTCGAGTTTATTGATTTTTAACTTTCCACTAAGGATAAGTTGAATGGTAAAGATTTTTATCGACGTAGGGTTATTCAGTGGCGAGAACTTTATTGAGCTCTAGCAGTTAGAATAGGAGTATTCTCAAGGAACATGTTAGTGAAGAAAATTCATACCATAGGATACTCTTTGCACAAACATATGAAATTGCGCTTCTGGAAACCAACTCTATATCCTTGTTTATCGCACTCAGAAGTGATAAAGTGAATCCATCTCCAGATCCAAATGCCCGTGACGTATTTGCAACAAATGGGTTTGAAGACGTAGAGATGGAACGATTGGTTGATTGCGTAAATATGGTATATAAAGATAAGAAGGAATCGTTGTAAGAACAAACAAAAGACTGCGAGTGGTATGTACATCAAGAATTTCTTATGGGCAGCCCCTTCAACGTTGATAAGAGATCCAAATAACAACAAGATGAGCAAATTACGCTAATTATGTTACATGTAGATTTCTGTTGGCATCATTAATTCTAGAAGAATTCCGCGATGGATTTAAGAGTGGTACAGCAGTGCTCATGGCCGCTTTGAGCAAGACTGCCAAAACTCGCTGGCTGCTAACCAGAGCAAAAATCTTGAGGCTCTCTATAGAGGCATATTTTGATGTTGCAGAACATGAATGCAATTTTCCCTTCACTGTGGTGATACTTGATAATAATCCAACCAATTCAAATCCGAAAGTTGCTGGGTAAACCAAGCATCATTCATCGAATCCATCTGCATACCTGTATCAAACATGATAATATTATCATTCCCAAGCCCTCCATTGGGAGCTCCAGGCACAGTAGTTGGATAATCCTGGGCAATTGACCCTTGAGGATTTGCGAAGTCTTGCTCGGCAAGTGTTGGATTGCCAGTTATATTTGACTCGAGTGGATTTCCATTCGATGGATCCGTGATTTCAGCCGATTTTCTTGCTTGGACTTTCTCTTTCAACGTTTCTAGAATGTTTATAGCTCGTTTGGCTGATTGGATCTGAACTTGGTGATGTTCTAGAATCTCAATACCTGAAGTCCATGACGTTTCAAAGCAATGTTCGGTGGATAAACTGGCTTGGATCAGCGGAGATAATTGTGCCGCAAGAAGGATAGTCGCGGCAGCGAATGCAACTGTTATTGTCAGTATACAAGATTTGAGGGAGGATCCTCTGTTTCCAAGAGCATGGACTGCTGTCAGATGATGACAGGTTTTCGCAAGAAGCTTACAGTAAACAGTGTGCCATCCCGAGCTACGATACCCCGTGTCGAGATTTTCGTGTATCGTCTCAACAAGTAAGTGAGCAGATTTCACACATAATGTGCAAACTCCAATTGCAAGATCTTTCGTTAGTCCAGGCTCAGATTTGCCGAGTAGGGCCGACTTTTCCTTAAAGACGGATGCTAAGAGTATGGGTCGTAGGAGTAAGATGCGAACCAGTAAGAACCTGAGAGATAATGTCAGACATTGAGATCAAATTGACGCGCTTTGCTTGATTACCTGCTTTGTAATACTTTTGACTGTAAAACAACATGAAGTTGGCCAGGTGCGAAAGCGTCGGTGCCAAGCGCAAACGAATTAACATCCTTGAATATTCGAGGAACACTCTCCCGAAAATCATCGAGTTTCGCATTGATGGTCAATATACTGGCCAGATCACCTACCGACCAAGGATCGAAAGACTTGGTAGAATCGCTTTCATTCTTGCCACCTTGAAATACATAGAACTTTGAAAGTATTTCATCCATAATGTCGAATAATCTGAGCGAGTAGACAAATAAATTCATCCGAGAATGAATTCCAGATGGTTGAGCTCCGGGAACTTGATGGAAATCTGCTGTTAAATATCGGTCATCAATTATCGATGGCTCTGGAACATCGTAGGATCCAGTTCTAATCATACTCGGTCGACCAAAAGTCATGGCCAGCAATCTTTTTGGGAATTAGCCACGGAAGGAATAAGAGTTAAATAGAACTACAGACCGGTCAAGCAATGTACAACAATGCCATACCCTTCGCTTAATCTCATAACTTAATTGACTGGTCCTATGTGAGTTATTTTCCGTGTTAAGACCCAATCCTTGTGCGGTGCGAATAGCTAATCCAACCACATTCCAACATCTATTTGCATGTTCAGTGGACTGCAAATAAACCCCCGTGAGTAGAAACAATTGAACCAAAGATAACTGTAGTGCATCCAATATCTCAAAGTTCAGTAACCTTCTCGATCGTCGATATAGTTCATCTGCATAGCTTGATTTTCGTTGTGGAGGAACGTCCTTACTATATTGACATCCCAAAGCAAAAACGAGATTAAGTGTAGCGTGAAAGATTGTTTCGTTCAACTCATCTCCGTCTAATCCTTTTCCTGGTGATGGTACCCACAGTTTTTCGTAAGTGGCATTGAAAGTTTGGAGGTCCAGAAGAGGAAATACTGGATGAACGAATTCCCAGTAACACTTTATGAATTCATCAGCTTGTTGACGTTGAGGTAAAATAAATCTTGCAAAATCTTGCTTATAGAGTATTTCTACTTCACCATGTGGTTGAGGTAGATTGTCAATCGGTGTTTTATGCGTTTCATTGATCGGCACTGCTCGATCTGACGCTGCTTGTCGAACTTGAGATACTAATGCAATTGTCGATGATCCTCCGTAAAGAGAATCTTGTGTCTCCGTATCGGAAACCATAGCCAAACCACCAACATTTCCAGGAGAAGCTACAATCCCTGCAGCTGGACTCGGAGATGAGGTTAATTGACTGACTGATCGAAAGTGAACATTTGGTTTTGGACTACCGATCATTAAAGACTTCCTGAATATCGGCAAATCAGCTGATTGGACACGACTTCATAATGCTGGGACAATTGTCTGAGTGTAGACTATGGTTGAAAATATCGAGCATTTTGGATGCATCAAAGAGCTCAAATGTTCAGATATTCAGATACGCTTCACGGAATCAAAAATAAAATAAAACGCTTTGGTTGTTGGGTGAAATCCCGTGCAAAAGGACCCGGCCGTGCAGCTGGGGAAATTTAGGAAAAACCCACCCAGTGTTAATAGAAGCTTTAGTGCCTACAGTTGCCTCCTCATAAGAACAACTGTCTTGAACACCTCTTCTTATACACGATGAGCATGAAGGGCGATCACCGTTGCAAGCTGTCTTTCTTTGACGACAAGAATTGCAGGCTAATTGAGTTCTCCGACGTTTACGGACAGGTTGTTGTGCTTGCAGTTGGTCCTGATTTTGAGACACTCCGGGTACATCTTCGGGCAGAGGAATATCCATGGATGGAGATGGAGAAATGGGATTCGGGGAGAGAGTAAGAGTGGGGAGGTGAGAGGTAAGAAGAAAAGTTGATGGGATAATGATGTGCCAAGACTCGGATCACACGTAATAGTTGTAATAGTTGATAAAAGGGGAGGTGAGATTGTGCTGATAACAGCCCTATATAATATATCAATGGAATTCTTGATGTATAAGATGCATGTTATGAAAAATTATGAAATATTGAATTTTTGATATTCTTCCTTTACTCCACAGAAACATGATCCGGGTAATAGGTGAGGATCACCAGGGGTTTCTTGTTATGATGATCGTAGTCTCAGTCACATGATTTCACGATTCTAGTCGACTCCCTTCTTATGTACGAGGGCGTGTCTTTGATGAATGCCGGGCCCGTGCACAACCCAAATTCGCGCGGTATCGAGAATACATTTTCAGTTTTTAGATTTTTTAAATTTAATTAAAACTCAATTATTCTATATAAATTATTAAATTATACTTTATAAAGATTAACAAAATAAAGGGGTATAATTATGAATATCTAAAACTAATCGAAAAAAGGTGTTCAATAAAGTTAAACAAATAATTATATATATAGATAGAATCATTATTACTTAAAAAGAAATAATATATTAAATTATAAATTTTCAAAAAGAATTATAAAATTAATATAACAATATATACAAAATTGAAACAAATTGAATAATATATATAACAAAGTTATATAATCTTTATTAATTAATAAATCGAATATTGAAAATATATATATTTGAAAATAATAATCTTTTTTGAAATTATATAACGTAGTTTATTAATGAGTGGGTTATATTAATAAACGGGTTATTTTGAAAATTATCTAAATTAAGCTTTTTAAAATATTAACATTTTAATAATTAATTATTATTTTTTTAAATAAAAGATTTTAAAAAATAATTAAAATCTAGATTTTTTATTAATTTAATTTTTATAAAATAATTTTATTATATTCTAAAAAGAAAAGGAAATTGTTACAATTTTCGTTATAAAAAATCTATTTTTATAATAACAGTTTTATAAATTCAAATTTCTTAAAACTAATAAGATTTTTAATATTCTTATATATTGAAATATTTTATATCAAATTTTCAGAAAATTATATTTATAAATAAAGAAAGTGTATGGTTATGTATAGATGAATTTTGTATATAAAATAAGTGATTCATTTATTGATATAAATTACTCACTAATAAACCACATTAACTAAATAATAAAAGCTAATTTCTATAATTAAAATAACTCGAAATAATAAAATATTATCTATAAATTAATATATTTTAAATTGAAATATATTATATTAAAAAAAGATTTATATTTTGATCTTTTGAAAAATTATATGTAATAATTGTTTTTTTTATACTATATTTATAAAAAAGTTATAATTGAATGTTTTATGTCACAGTCGTAAACTATAGAGCTCTATTAGACACGTGATGATAGGCCCTCGGGCCTACTACGTACCGAAGGAAGCCCGCACACACATATAAATTATATAGTTTCATAAAGTTTAAAAGAATTAATAAAAAGTCTTTGTACTACATTACACCTAGTTGATTCATTGCTAGTACCTACTCTAACATTTTATATTAAAAAAAAAGGATTATAGAAACTATAGATTTATAAGGAATATTGAAAAAGATTTCTGAAAAAGTTATTTTTATTAATATGATTATAATATAAAGCTTTAAAGAAAATATATATTAAATATAATATATCTTAGAAAAATATAAATATAAAGATGTAAAATAGATTTCTAATACAAATCTATAATATAAATATAAACAATTCTTTAAAAAAATATTTTGAATTATATACTATATATTCAATTAAATCCTTAAAAGAGAAAAGAAAAATTATTAATAATCTAAAACATTTAAATAAAGAGTATAATCGATTTTATAATTTAGCTTTTAAGAATTCTAAATAATATAAAGAAAAAGCTTATAATTTAAAAGATTCTAAAAAGTTTAATTCTACTTCTAACAAATAGATTTATAAACAAAATGTTATATATAAAAAAAGAAATCAAAATAAAGAGAAAATAGATTGATATTGTTTTTTTAAAGGTTTTTTAGAATCTCTATTTGAATCATGACTATAAAAGCTTAAAAAGAATAATCAATTTAATATCTACTTAATATTAAATAATGTATTAGTATATAATACTTTTTATATTAAAGAATTCCTAAAGAAAAAGGATATTAAATGTATAGATTAACTATCTCAATCTTTTGATATAAATATTATAAAATAGAAGATTAGGGAAAAAAAAGCTTTAAATACTTATTTATTAACTATAGAAAAAATACATATAATTTAGAAAAAAGAATAATATTATATCCCTCAAAAAGTTATTAATAATATTATTACTTATATTATAAAAATATATAATTTTATTATAAAAAACAATAGGGATAACAACTTTTATGATTAATTAGTAATCTGGAAATAATAATATTATTATTTATATTATAAGATTTTAATAGGGAGTATACTTCAATGTTGGGTTGACCTAGTAAGGGGGTGTATTGGGTTCAATAGTATTATAATTCATGTCTGTCCTCTTTATACGAAGAGGGCATTGCTAAGATACGAAGTGCGTAAGTGGGGGAGAACGTGACATGTTCTCAGTCACGTGTTCCAACATTTAATAAATAATGTGTTGCTATATGAATTTATATAGAGAGTTGTTATTAAATGAAGGTGATGCACAGGCTCGGCACTCATCAAAGACACGCCCTCGTAGTGGAATACGAGTAGAGGGATGAAAGAGATGGAAGGGTCGGTCCGTCATGCTAGAATGAAACTCGTCGCACTAAAACTAATACGGTTAGAGCTACACGGGATTAGTCTTTAGGAATACTCTCTCTAGCTTCATTATTACTTTGATATCATGTTTGAATATTCCCACAATGAACGACACATTCCAGCCTTTCTCATAAATGACATAAATATTCCATGGTACTGTACTTAATTGAACCATTTCCAGATGTTCAAAATTGCTTCAATTAAGAGCAAAGATTCGCCCAGCGACCATCTCCATGTACAACACTACCGCTTGTACTGACAGGTCTTCGAGCGGCAAGACCTAGAGACTTTTCTCCACGATTGATCAATTTCTACCCCTTCATTTACGGTTTGGATCTTCACAACTACATTGGTCTCGCCGATGCTCTCGCTCTACCTCTTTTCTGGATGACAATTTTGATGCAAGTGAACCACATGAGTCACACCGTGGCGTCTCGAATTCAAGGTAAGCTGACACCGGTTGGCTATGTCGTAAGGATGGATGGTGGTGAACCTCCAAGGTGCAGTTCATGATAAGGAACTTGTTATTCTTCCATCAGTACATGCTCAACTATCAGGTATTTATATATCTTCAGTAAGTCCATAAAATAGGCATCTTTAATATGAATTGAATATCTCTTCGAATCTCTTAAAATTCCCATCAATTAATTCAAACCCTCTTCAAAGATGTCGTGCCCAGATTGCTTTCGAGGTGGGTTAACCACAACAACCGCAACTGGCAAAGAAACTATGATTCACGGTCTCCCAACTTATGTTGCAGAACCAGAAAATGGGAATGTGCCAAAGGGTATAGTTGTTATCATTACTGATGCTTTTGGTTGGGATTTTGTCAACAACAGTGTATTGGCAGACCGTTATGCCAAAATAGGCTGATTTTTGGTTTATTGTCCCGACTTTATGGACGGTTCGTTTCCTCCAGCTTCATCTACCTTCCAAGACAACCTAACTTCTCCATAGGCAATGCAATGAATCCTCGCGCTTTTTCTCTATTTGATAGAATCATGGAGCCTGCGTCTTGGTTGACAACAATTTTCCTCAAACCTATATATATTTTTCAAGCTATGACTATCGCAATTCCTTGGAAAACAAAGACCAAAATTCCTATCACCCATCCTAAAGTCGTTTCCTTCTTTCAAGCTCTTCGGTCATCCAAGCCTCCCTTTCCAACGAACAATCTCAAGATCGGTGTTGCGGGTTTCTGTTGGGGTGGAAAACATACTATACTTCTTGCACAAGACGATTTGTCATCGCGCGTTCAACGACGTCAATCGCAAGCCAAATCTACCACTCCTGAACCATTGATCGACTGTGCATTCACGGCCCATCCTTCTTAAATCGAGGTCCCAAACGATATTGAAGCAGTCAAAATTCCACTCAGTGTATCAATCGGGGACAATGATTCAGCCATGAAAGCTCCTCAAATTGATCAGATGAAGGAAATACTCCAGGTGAAGCACAAGGGTAATTCTGAAGTCAGTATTCTTCAAGGCGCAAAGCATGGATTTGCTATTCGAACACATCCTGACGATAAGGATGAGTTGGAGTGTGCAAATAAGGCAGAGGCTCAGGCTATTGATTGGTTCAAGAGATGGTTTGCTTGACAATCATTATCGTCGAAGGTGTTCAGGTGCGATTCTTCCGTACTCAATGCGTCCTGTCGTTACATTTCCTCGTTACTCAAATGTTTGCGTGCTACTTTCCCTCATCAGGCATTCAATGTCATCACAATATTTCAATACATTCACGTGTTATCTCCCGTCCACTCATTATTCTGAGCCTCAAATTATCGACATTTGCTTTGCTCCTCTGTCCAATGAACATAACAATCAAAGGTTCCGTCGCTATTTACGAGTGAAGATCATAATTGCAAGATATGTTTGGTTATATTCTTCTAATTCGGGAGGATCAGTAAGGCTCGTGGCTTAAAGAAAGGTAGTTACCTAGTACGCATTCGATCCCCCGAGGCCTGCGTAGTTCATGAGGTCAAGTTGCTGAATCGTCAATTCTCACGTAAGTAGTAAGTGCCTTTCCAGTGGAAAGGTTGGTCAGTACAGTCATTTAGATTGAACTTATGTCGAGCGTCCGCAAGAAGCATTTCGAGGTGAGACTAATTTGGCAAATGAATGTATGGTTGATTTTCTAAGAACTGTTTCTATCTGGTCTACAAATACATATTGAAAAAGGTATTAGGCTCTTTCCTTCTACTGGTGGATGCCTTAGACCTTACTCGACCACAGCTTCCGAATCATGGTACTTTCCTAGTCTCAACAGCTTCTTCGCATTCTCCCTTCCAACATCTTCATATGCTTCTCGGCCACCAAGCGCCTTCTTGATGTTCTCCGCGTCTCCGTCCCACCATCCACATCCATTATCAATTGTCTCATATGGATAATCAACACTGAATAGCAATCTCTCGGGACCTAAATACTCACAAACATACTTGAGAGTAAGGGTCGAGAAATGACCGGAGGTAGTGACCCAGATGTTTGTCTTGAAATAATCAACGATAGTCTTCTTCCAAGGAATGTCACCATTCTTCTCGGCGAGGGGGCTTTTCGACGTCCTCAAACCAATGGTTAATTCTCCAAAAATCGAAAGGAATGTGCTCGCCCAAGTGACCAATGATGAGTTTGAGTTTTGGGAAACGATCAAAGACACCGTTACTGATAAGTCCCAGAACATGAAGGGAAACGGCATTAGCGAAACTAAGTGATGGGCCAATGAGATATTTGCGTTGAGCAAATTGCTTCTCATACATGGATCCAGTTGGTGCGGCAGGATGAATGTAAAGTGAAACATCAAGCTCTACGCACTTCTTCCAGAAAACGTCGTAAGCAGGTTGATCGTAATAGAGGTAGGTCTCTCCATCAGGACCAGCATGTTGAAAATCGTTGACAAGAGCACCGTGAAATCCAAAGTCCTTGACACACCGTTCCAACTCTGCGGCGGCTTGTTCGGGGTTGTGCATTGAAAGGCATGCGAAAGCTCCAAGTCGATCTCGGTGGTCTTTGATCTCATTGGCGATGTAGTTGTTGCATTCAGTAGCATGTTTCTCGGCCTTAGTTGGGTCCAGTGTAGGCATTAATATACTATAGTATTATGGTAACGCGTATAAAGCTTTTGATATAGTAGATAGTATATATTAGAAAAATGAATACTTATTGTCATAGATATTATTCAAAATGAATATCTATAAAGATATATAAAAAAACTGAAATATAAAAATCTAAAAATATATAAAAAATAATATTAAAATCAAAATTAATCCTAATAAAGCTTAAAAAGTAATAAAATAATATTTAAAAAAATAATCTCTGTTTTTTATTTATTCAAATTCTCAAATTCTATATTATCTTTTATTTATAAATTCAAATCTAATTATAATTTTAAGTATTTTATTTTTTTGATAATTATAATTTGAAGTTTATTTTGTTTTATAATAATAATAATCTTTATAAAAGAAAATAAATATTTGAGAAAAACAAATATACTAAAAATATTAAATAAATCAAATACCATTTTGCTTAAATTAGAATATAATTATTATTATATAGAATCAAATCACTATTTATAAGAATCTTAAATATATTAAAAAAACAGAATAACAAGATATTTTATATATTTATTCATTAAATAACAAAATACTTTTTTAATTTATAAATATATAATTAATATATTTAAAAAGATTTCTTTCAATAACAATTGAAATAAATTTTTGAAATTTAATTTATAATACTTTTTCCAAAATCTCTTAATTTTATTTTTTTATTTTTCAATTTATAATAAATAAAATTCCTTTTAAGATATTTTAAAATATAATTATCTTTGAAAAAGATTTAATATAATAACAATAATATAATATAATAATTTATTAACAGAAAAATAGTATTTTTTGAATTTTGTCTATTTATTATTAATATAAAAACTCAAAAATAGATTATTTATATAAATAATCTAAATATAATTGAATATAAATAAAATAAATAAATAAATAAATAAAGAAATAAAAAATAAAAAATATATAAATAAAGAATATAAAATATATAAATAAAGAATATAAATTATACCTTTCCCTTTTCAAATATTATAATAAAAACTTTATTATAAAAAGTATTTTTTCAAAAATAATATTATTATTCTCTATAAACTTTATTATATTTTTTAAAATATCTAAAAAAATAATAAATATTTTATAATTGATTAAAATTATTATTTATTAATTCAAGCTTTATAAAAAACTTATTTGAATATCAAATTCATTATTTTTTATATATTTAATATATTTAAGGTATAAAAAATATTAAAAAAAGATTATTAATAAAATTTTATTAAATTAAATTATTTTTTGTAAATTATTTTTTTATTAATCTATTTTATTATTAAAATAAATAAAAAGAATTATTAATTTTAATAATAAAATTACAATATTTGTTTATTATATCTTTTTTTTTCTAATATTTATAATTAAATTTTAAAATCAAATTAATATTATATATAAAAACTTTAAGATTATAATCCAAATCAAAAACTTAATTTGTGATTTACCTAACGTGGTTTATCACCGGGTCGCTAATATCACTAGGTCGCCACTTTTTATACTATTTAACCATCTCAATTTCAATATATAATATTCTAACAAATTATTATGAAAATATTATTAAAAAAAGCTTAAATTATTTTAATTATTAAAGTTATTCATAAACCTAAAAATTTATTAATTATTAAAATTATAAAAATCTATATAATATCTTAATCTATATTATATAATAGAATCAACAATTGAAATAATGAAATAAAAATTCGAATGAATTATTATAATTTTATAAAAATAGAAGAGAAAGTAATTATTGAATATATATTTAATATAAATATAAAAGGATTTTTATTTAAATTCAAAAATATAAAAAATATAGTAAATTATATTCTTGAATTAAGAGATATAAAGTATATTAAAAAGGTTTAAATATATTAATTTATAAAATATTACTTAGAATTAAAAATACATTTTAATTGTATTTATGATTTTTAAAGAGTTTTCTATAAAAATCTTAAATTTATTAAAAAGTGATTTCAATTAGTTTCAAATATATAAGCGAAATACAGTATTCTCAATAATGATTTCTATAATTCTAATAAAATAGATTTTATAATAGAAATTATATATATTAGTATAATTATTATTAATATTAAATAAAATAGCAAAAGTAAGATAATATAATTAAATAATAGAGAATGAACTATAGTGATTATATATGATAATAGAAAAGATAAAATTATATTCCTATTTTTTAATAATTTAAAAATAGATTTATCTTTTTAATTTTATTTATTTATTTATTTATTTATTTTAATTTACATCCGGGGGGCAAGCCGCAGGGGCTCGCCACAACCTCCCAGGGGGTACTAGGGATGGACTATACTAACAGAAATACCGGTATAGTCATATGTTTTATTCTTCTATAATTGTGATGTAGGTTGGGGGAAAAGCAGTCAGAAGCATTATACACACTCCTGCCACTTATTTCCTATTTATAATATCGGTGTTGTTTAACCCATTTCATACTGAATAACCTAGGTTTGCGACTAGCTATAGGGCTTTATATTATTAATTTTTGTGTAATACAGTTTATATATAACAATAGAAAGGGGAAAACAATTCTAGAGGGGAAATATAGTTTTAATTAATAATATAAAAATAGGAAATCAAAGAATCTCCAGAAAAATTGAGTGTGATTATTCGAAATAATTAGTAATCGCTAGGAAGTTTGTGAAATCTATTAGAATCTTCAAAAAAAAAAAAAAATAATCGATTGTATTCTTTATATTTTATAGAATTAAATTGAATTTATTTGATTAGTTTTTGAATTAAGTATAAGAATATTGATAAAATATTAGATATTCAAACTTTTTGCTATATTCATAAAAGTATTTTGGGGTAATATTATTATACTGAAAATATTGGTAATAGGATACAAAATCCCTATATTTAATTCTAAATATTATTAATTATTAAAGAATAGAATGGGGAAAAGTAAATTCTTTTGATTCTTTGATTTAATAGTTAAAATATTAGTAATGGTATTAGTTAGTAAGGGTAATCTTATTTTGCTTTTATTATTTCTATTTTGTTTTTTATTTAAGGGTTTTGGTTATTAAATTTATTCTATTGATAGTGGGAAGCAATAAATTATTGTTTTCAATGCAATTGTTATAGGTATTTAGATTAATGAGCTAATTAGCTTTCTCATTTTTAAGGATTCTAGTATATCTAGATAATTATTGAATTGCTATTTATCTATTCCTTATAATCTTATGATAGTGTAAAAATGCTTATTGGGATAAGTTAGAGATATTATCCCTAATATTTTAGATAATTAAAGTACTATTAATGCATATAGTAATCTGCCTAGTCAATTTTAGTCGAATAATGTATTCCAAATCTTTTAAAATATTTATTACCTTAATATCAAAGATATATGAGAGTGAATTAATCACTTTGTGGCTGAATACCACTAGAAATTGTCCCTGGTAGATTATATAGTTATAGCTGATTATCTTTTGTTTTTGATAATATTATTTAATGTTATTTAAAAAGATTATAATGTAATTATTAGGTAAATAGTTTCATTATTATATGAATTCAAATACAACTACTTCTTTTTTTATATCTTCTATAGGGTTAATACAGCTTTCTACAAAGAAATATAATAGGGAGAGTATTAATCTTAATACTTTTGGAATCAATCTAATTAGTCTATAAAGATTAATATTGTTTATCTTATATTAAAAAATCTATACTAGATAAATCGCCAATAAATAGTTTTTATTTATTTTACAAAATCAAAATACAAATTTTATTTATATTTATTCAAATATTAGTTTATTAAGCAATAATCTGAAGTTTTTTAGGATTATAATGGTTAAAGTTATACGCTAAATGAATAGAATTTCTTTTATTACTAAAATAATTATTTAATTAATCTTAATAATATAACTACCCAACCTTATACTTATTATTATACTATAAATAGCTCCTCTAATCTAATTTAGTTTTATTTGATCTATATATTATATCTCAAATCTATATAAAATAGAGAATAAAATACAGGTAATCATCATTTTGTATAGCACTGTAATTAACAGATTGTGATATATCTATACAAACCCTTTGATATACCTTATGATCTTGTAAACTTTCACTTTTTATTCTGCTATATATTTTTTAAAGAAAAGCTTCCAATCAAATCAAACTCCTAGTTAATGTAGAGCTGATTAAATAATTTCATTACTCATTTTATTAATAAAATGGATCATTATTTTATTATTTATTTCCAAATATGGGGTATATCTCTTTTCTTTAAAAAAAATATATTATCTTTAGCTTTTTCAATGTAAATATTATACAATTTTATTTATTCCATTAAAAAATCTAATAAAAATTGTATTTGAAGAAATTAATATTTTTATAAATATTTTTAATTGTGTAGTAAATATAGATATTATTAGTATATCCAAAATATAATTTAATATCTTGATTTAAAAACTTAATAAAATATAAAATATATAATATAAATGAAAATAGAGAGTTTTATAGAATATTATACTTAATATAACTATACTCTGTAATTATATTTTTTAGCCAAATTTTTATTAAATAATTATTTAGAAAAGCTTGAATTAATTATAGAAGGGAATAGAACCATTCTTATTGACATATATATTCCAACAGTTTATTCAATAAAAGTATATCAAATATACCTTATATATTCAATATAACCATTATAACTTTTTACTTATAAACAAAAGCTTTTTCAATATTATATACAAATAAAGTAATTAGATTTATTATTATTCATTTAAGAAACATTTCTTTATATTAGGGGTTAATTATATCTACTATTATTATAATCCATAAGATATATCAAATAATTATATATTCTAAACTCTTTGAGATATATAAGAATAAAATTATTAATTACTAAAATTATATTAATAATTTATCTTTTTTTCCAATCTTAGAAATCATTACCATCTTTACACATCTCTATTTATTTGGGAAATAGCTTAATTACAAATATTAAT